AATATTAAAATATTAAATAAAACATTAAAAAATTTTTTCTAATTTTTTAAAATAAATATTTAAATAAATATAGAGATATATTAAAATAATATATTAAAATTAAAAATGAGAAAAAAATTAAACGAATAAAAAATTTAGAAAATATTGAATTCCTTTCATCATTCCTTTTTATTTTCTTCATTTCCTTAATTCTTTTCCCCATATTCCTTTCTTCATTACACTTCATTGACGAAGAACGAAGAAATTTATCATCGTCACTGCTAGTGCTTACTGCCTGCTTACTTATTTACCTACTTACTTACTTGCTTATATAAATTTGCTTATATATTTATTACGAGAAAATTTCTCATTTATTTCGCACACAAACTAACCAATAAAGAAAACTTTGTAAGTGACACAATTAATAATAAAATTATTTTGCCATGAAATTAATTTTCATATCAAATTATTGCATTTTCAGTCAACTAATAAATCCGATTAATGCGATTCTCAATAATTCATTTTTATATCGACTTAATTGCTTACTTAATACTTTAATAATAATAATATTAATAATTTAATTATTGATCTTTGAAAAAGATTTACCAATATTCGTATTAATTAAAATTACTTTATAAAAATTACAATATAGTGATTGAGATTAATTTTGAGATGAATTTCAATAAATTTACACTATTATATCTATAATATCTTTATATTTTATCATATCACATTCTGATAAACTTTCACTATTTCTTCTTAAATTCACTCCACTGCCTTGTCGATTTATATAAATTTTACGAGAGAGTAACTTAACGATTAGAGATATCTCTGAATCGCTAGCATTACTCGGCTATCTATTAGATTTTAGATTTAAAACTATAACTTCGCCTCTCGAATATGAATATGAATAGCCACACATTATATCACCGTATCGCCTTTCATTTCATATATAATAAATATAAAAATTTTACTAAAAAAATTTAGAAAAATTTAGAAAAAGGATGAAGCAAAACGAAATAACTATTTTTTTTACAAAATTTTTGATTTTTTCAATTTTTGAAAATCTAATATTAACGAACATTTTAAAATAATAAGCGAATGAATTAAACATCAAATGTTCGTAAAAGATTTATATGAAATAGAATGGCTAAGTGGATTATTGCTCTCATTTTGAAGTGCTAATTTTGGATTACTCGCAATAGGAATAAATCTATCTATCTTTCGAAATGTTGAGACTAATAAGTCACCTGCATTCCTATATTATCGCGTTAATATAAATTTATCGTTGATAAAATTTGTATATTTGACAAACAAATGATAAGAGTCTTATGAGAAATCTTGACTGTTTCTAGAAAAAAATTCTCAAGAAATTATAATTTTTATTAATTAAAAAATAACATTAATGTTAATATTAATAACATTAATGTTTTTCAAAAAAAAAAAAGAAATGCCTATTTCATCCAGTTTTATCACAAATGCAAATAACGATATTTCAGTATCTATTTTTAAATTTATATTGTCTATTGGTACAGCTGATCGCAAATGATGGACACAATAAATAAAAATAATTCCAGCTAATTCTTTTTTTAATTTTACACAATATCTAAATTTAAAACGAATTTATTAATATTTAATTACTAACAGGATAATAAGAGAGTGGTTACTACTTGGATTGTAGTTATTTTTTGAGCGCTAAGATCCGGACCATTTCTGTGATAGGAGTGAATCTACATTCGCTAGCGACTCTTTCCACAGGTGACTTCCAGTAATCGCTAATCCTATGAACAGTGGATGCAGTAAGCCTGACCAGAAACAATGAATACTAATCGCGTATTTTTTTACTTACTAATTTCCTAATAAAAATTAACAACGTTAATTTACGGCAAATGAACATATGCTTAGCTAGAAATTTTTTCAACGATAGAAATTCTAGAATATTTATGAAATTATTTAATTATTTATAAAAAATGAAGGTATAAAAATTGCATATAATTATAGTTATAAATTAAATTAACAAAGACGAACAAGCAATTAAATTTCAGTGATAAATGAAATTTTAATTGAAATGTTCTCTTTTCCTTTTCAAATTAATATTTTAATATATTTAATAGAGCTAATAATAATTTTGCATGATACTAAGGCATTTGTGCATGTAAATTTGCATTAACAAGCCCTTGATTTGAATAAATAGTCAAGCTAATTTGTATTTAATAAATAATTATTATTGCACTGAGATAAATATGATCAACAAAATTTTCATGACTATTTATTAAATTAATTTTGTTTGCTAGTTTTTTTTCCTCGCATTATTTCAAGCATAGCGACATTGCATGTTAAGTTTCCGTCATTATTATTATGATTATTATTATTATTATTATTATTATTATTATTATTATTATTATTATTATTATTATTATTAATTACTGTTTTTATTGTTGTTGCATTTATCTAACTTTTCAATTCCATGTGATTTCGATTAAATTTAATATTTATTAATCAGATCGAATTTCACATCGAATTTAATAATGCCACTGATTTTCGCAATTAAAAAAAAAAACAAAAAAACGACGCGAAAATTTTCTTTAAATAGAGGAACAATTTCGATAAAAATGAATCGTCGTTTAATAAATGATAATAATTTAATTATCAATAAATTATTAACAACTGAACGATGGACCATTTAAATAGTAATTTTTTGAAAATCCTTAGTTTGCTAATGATATTTAAAATCATAAAAATTTGTATTTTCAAAATGCCAATTTTTATTCATTCGAGAAATTTTTAATATTTATAAAATATTTCTTAAATTAATTAATTTAGAAATGTAAATTGAAAATGCAAATTGCTATTTGATTGATTGAAAAATTAAAAAATGCTTTCATTAAGAATCCATAAATATTCTTAATAAATTTTTTTAAAATACCTATCAATTAATTATTTAAAAAAAAAAATTAAAAATACAAAATTAAAAATATTTTCATGAATAGCAAATAAAATTTTTTCGATATGAAAGGTAAAAAATTTAAAATATTATGCAAATCGATCGCCAACTTTTAACAAATAAATATCGTTTTCATTGTGCGAAAAATATCTTTTGCTTATCAAAAAAAGACCTTTAAGGCACGAAAAAAAATCATTGAAAAAAAACTGTAATTTTAATTTAACTGTAATTTTAAAAACTGTAATTATAATTTCAAGCAAAATTCGAGACGAACAAATAGTAATGATAAAATAAATATTTTACAATATTCAAAGAAATCTGATGAATTCAAATTGAAAAAAATGAATAGCGAAAAGGATTATTTTTTTAAAAATTATATTTTATTTTATAGCCTTTTTTTATTTTATTTCATAAAGTAATAAAAAAAAAATAATCCTTAAAAATAATAAAATAAAAATAAATAAAAATAAATAAAAATAATAAAATAATAAAAAAAAACTTCACAATTTATCATTATCATTATCATTGAAAATTTTTTTAGTAAAAGAAGAAATGATTTAGATAAAAATCGCCGTTTAATAAATGATAATTTAATTATCAATAAATTATTAACAACTGAACGATGTACCATTTTTAGAAAGAAAAAAAAAAAGAAAAGAAATTTGAAAAATTTTAAAAAGTATCAATATTTTTAATCGAAATAACAAAAGGTATTTGAAAAATTGAAAAAATAAAAAATGAAATTTTGTCTTAAATATCGAGACAAGATTTATCGCCGTCGTCATCGTCGCCGTCATTAATACATACATAATTAACTCAATGAATTCATTTTAAAAAATATAAAATATATTAAATTTGAAAATAAATTAAATTCTAATTCGTTAATTTCATAAAATATTAATAAAATATATTTTGCCTATGAAAAATGAAGCAACCAAAATTTAGTATTAAAAATATACTAAATATGCTATTAAAATAATTTAATATTAAAAAAAATAAATATAGTTTAGTATTAAAAATAATTTAGTATTAAAAATCAAATAAATTTAGTATTAAAAAATATTTAATATTAAAAAATATCGAAGAAAAATTTTTGAAATAATTAGCGCAATTGGCCTTAACGATTTTAGATCGGGAACTTCGACTTAGATTTTTCAATTTTCTTTTAGAAATAAAGTTTATAAAGATTCGCGAAAAAACTTGGAAATGAAATGCTTTAGTTCCAATCACCAACTTGATGAAATGCTTTAGTTCCAGTCACCAACTTGATAAAATGCTTTAGTTCCGGTCACCAACCTACCAACTCGAATAGATTCAAATTTAGATTTTCATTTATTTTTAGGAATATAGCAACGAATCGCGATGCTTTCACCTTAGTCAACGAATGAAGCGAGCAAAACCAGAAATAAAAAAATTCACATTTTTGTTTGATGAAGAAAAAAATTGTCATCACTAGAAAATTATAATGGGCTTTTAAAATAGGATGATTAGATAAGGTAATTGGCCGCGCCACGAAATAAACTATTTTCAACATTTAATCAAAAAAAAAAAAATGATAAGAATTTATAAAATAATTTATGAGTGATAATAGTGAAAATTGAATAAAAATGCGCTGATTATTTGTCGATTTGTTGAATGGTTATATAAAATTAATGAGAAAAAAAGGGTGTATTTAGTGAATCTTTTAGTTGATATCTTTTATCTTCTTAAAAAAAAAAAAAAACTATTTTCTTATAAAATTTTAATTTTCTTAAAAAAAAATAATAGTATTTTTTTCAATTCAATTTCCAATTTTTTAATTTAATAATTTTTCATTTTCGCAATAAATGCACATTTATTTAATCATTATTTTTATTTTTTCAAATTTTTCTTTTTTTTTCGTTTTAAATGAATTTTAATTTCGTTTTTTTCTTTTTTTTATTTTTAATATGAATTTTATACAATGCAATTATATTCAATTGAATAATTTTAATTTTATGATTAAATTTATTCAATAAATAAATTAGACTTTTATTCAATAAAACTTAAAAACATTCCTCTTTTCCTTTTTTTTTATTTTTTTTTTTCTATTAATCATTTATTCATCTTTAATGTCACAAATAACGGCAATTGCTTCGATTTCAACGAGAGCATTAAGTGGCAAACCGGCAACCTAGAAATTCGATAAATTACCAAATATAACGAAAAAAAAAAAGGAGCGTCGTCTACATCACCAAAAAGATGACATTAGATGAACCATAAAATGAAATTATCAAACTTAGAGAATTATTGAAATTCATAAAATTTCATGATTTTCGTTGATAGTACTGATAGCAATTAAAAATAATAATAAAAATAATAAATAATAAAATAATAATAATTAAAATAAACTAAAGTCGACTTTTGGTGTAAATTAGCCATTTGTATAAATTATAAGTATAAAAAAAAAAAAAAAAAACAGAGATAGAGTTTTTAAAAGCAAATAATAATAAAAATAAAACCTGAAAAGATGTACGAGCGGGATACCGTTCAGTAAAATATTTCTTGTAAACTTCATTAACAACCGCAAAATCTTTCATGTCCGCCATTAAAATAGTTGTTTTTATAACTGCAATTCAATTTGGAAATTTTTTTTTTTTTCAGGTGCTTTGAATATAAAGAGGAAAATATAAAATTTAAGTTTTTCGTTATTTTTAAAGGGCGATATTTTTTCTAACAGCGATCACCATTTCTGGTTACACTCGTTCCACTGGCTTATCTAACCAAACGAATGTTAGTCACATGGCAATAGAAGCACAGGCACAGGTAAGCCGCCAGTATAACCGCAAGTATTTTTTTTGTACATAGGTTAATCACTGCCAAAATTAAAACCACAGTATCCGAAATAACCTACTAAACCATTCTACTCTCATTTAGATACATTACTGTCAAAATGAGTACCAAAGCAAAGCAGTACGAAAGCAAAAGACACAAAACATAAATAAATAAATAAATATTATATTTGCGAAGGTGATTTATGAATTTCCAATAAATTTTTCGATATACGATACTTTTCTATATTATAAAATAGATAATAAAAAATTCTAAAAAATTTAACCGTTCTTATATGATATTCCCGCTGCTTCTAGAATAGAGCCAATATTCTTTAGTGATTGCTCAGCTTGATCCTTCACATTGTTTCCTGCAAATACGCCAGTCTCTGGTACCAATCCAAGCGATCCGCTTATATATAAAGTTTTATTGATCAATACTGCTTGACTGTAATATAATTATATAATATATTATATATATAATAATATATAATGATATAATAATTATATAAATATATTAAATCACCTAAAATTTATTAACTGTTCTATGAAATCTACGAAAAAGAGTAACAAAAAAACCAAAAACCTATATAATTAATCTCGCTCATATTTTTTTTTTTTTAATAACTGTGGAACATCGATATATTGATCAAAACCATCGATATATTCTCGTCTCTTAACAGGAGAAAACCTATTATAAAAAATGATGCAGGTGATAGGTGTCTACAAGAGCAGACAATAAAGATAATATAGAGAAAGCCAGCCAAAACCAGAAATGGTAAATGGCAAATGACTTTTAGAAATCTTATTAAAGTATGAAACGATATACACCTAAATTTTAATTAAATATGAAACGCTACATATTTAAGCCATATTTAAATTAAATATCTTTCTAATGTGAAATGATAAAATGATAATGGCATGCTTGTTTCAGTTCAGTTTAGTTAAGATAGGAACTCTAAGTTGATCACAACCGAAATAGCGACAAAGCCTTAAGATGGATGATTGATCACAAGGTGGATGAAAACGACAAGTTGCAGATAAGATCTGATAGCCAGAATCAGCAGAAATTTTGATGATCCAGCGATATATGCGAGCTTTTATGTCGCTTTTCGATAAAGCATCGGATCTTTGGAGAGGTTTCACCTTTGTGGATCCAAATGAAATAAATCTAATACGCTGTTAGAATAAAAGTAATAATAATTAAATATTACTAAAAAGTGATAAAAATATAACAATTAAAAGTAATAAAAATTATAAAAAGTAATAAAAATTATAAGAAAGTAATAAAAATTATAACAAATAAAACTGAAAGAAGAATGATAACGATTTACCTGTAAGGTCCAATTGCAGCCGGTGCTTTAGTGGTCGAAATAATTTTACGTACAACAGCTGACATCATTCGATGTGAATGTCTAAATAAAATGAGAAAATAGATGATAAGGAGTTATCACTTATCAAAGTGATCAATTAAAAGAGAAAACATTAAAATAAAAAAAAAGGAAAATTGTTATCGAGGTCGATAGAAAGAGTGAAACAAAATCAAATTCCATTTTCAATAAAAAAATATTGCAAATAAAAAAATAACAATAAAATTTTAAAAATTACAAAATCTATTAGGCGAATAACAAATTAATAATAATAATAATGATAATAATAATGATAATAATAATAATAATGATGATGATGATAATAATGATAATAATAATGATAATAATAATAGATAATAATAATGATTATTAAATAATAATAATAGTGATTATTATTATAAATAATAATGATTATTTAAAAAAATTCTAAAATAATTTAATGAAAACCAATATAATAACTAACTATATCTTTAAAAAAAATCTTTATTATAAATAATCTTTGTAAAAATATATAGAAATCCAATCGAATTCGAATTGATCTGGTTCGTGAAACCATATAAAAATCTTAGCCAAGAGATTACAACAGAAAAACTATTATTATGATTTTCTTCATCGTCTTTTTTTCCTCTTCCTTTTGCTAATCCATCCAAAAGAACCAACAGCTAGGTCCTCGTCTATTTTAGTCAAGAAATGAATCTAGGTTGTTTTAACCTTAGCTGAAATGTCATCACGAAAATCGTTTCGCTATAATAAAACCTTCACTCGTAGCATAGGGCGCAATGCCGAAGTACTCCATAGACGAAGAACCGAAAAACTCACATCAAACCCCGCATATTTTCCCCCTCTTCCCTATCACCAACTTCAAATATTTTTATATTCGGCGAGAAATTTTAAACATAGACTTCCATTATAGTTTCAGCTTATCCGAATCGAACGACTTCCATTATAGTTTCAGCTTATCCGAATCGAATTAATAAAGCAAGCGTTGAATTCTGTTGCTAATTTGTTGATATGATATGAATTTTTCCACCTCTCCACGAAAAATGAAAAAACAAATTCCAACCACAAACTCATTTTTCTCAACAAATTTATTGCAACAATTATGTGATTAATGAAATCCGCAATAAATCTTCAGAAAAAAAAAAAAATATGGCAAAAAAACCATTCGCTCAACTTATTTTAATAATTAATTTTCTCAAATGATTTTTTTTTTCGAAAGAAAAAAAGAAAAATTTTCGCATCAAATATTACAACCGTTTCCCAAATTTTATTGTTCATTGAATTATGTTAACAACAATTTGCCAATCATTAATCGATATAAAACTAAAAAGCCATTTTTTAAACTTTTTTTTCTTTTTTTTAAATGCAATGATTTAAAATTTGCAACGAAAAAAAAAATTTATAGCAAAATATTTTAGAGTTGTAAAATATCGATAGACATTTATAGACATGTTCGTCTGTTAACTGCGAAATTTTACTAGAAAAGCAAATTTATCAAAACATAAACAACCATAAACAGAATTTTAACAGATGAAATTGGTAAATCATCTGAATATGGCGAATGAAGACAAAACAGCTTTAACATAATTATTTGATTAGAATGCTGTGATTGGAACTTGGCCGGGCATGACTGCTATCATATCCTTTTTATTGTCTTTTCCAGGTTCCGAATATGGTTGCAATGGAGCTGGTGGTTCATTAGGTTCTTTAATATGAATTTGATCAGGTAGAGCAGTTCTTGGACCAGCTTGACCACGTGGATCATGGGGTAGCATAATTTTAACTTTAATACCTAGCACGCCTGAAATGCAATAATTTAACTTCGTAAAATCATGAAAAAATAAGATTTTAAATTCTAAAAAGAGAAGGAAAAACCTGCAGTAAACCTGTCCAAAAATCGAGCAATGCTGGAGACTCACTTGTATCGCCGAGGGACTTCTTGGCACATCTGTCTAGTGCGACAAGTCAGATGAGCCAGTCTAATCAGTAATGCTCTTTTAAAAAAATCGATGAAACGAAAAACCTTGTCTGAGCTGGACATGCCGAACAGCCTGCTGAATATAATCATTAACTGGTTGTCCAGAATGAATCATGAGGCCATCAACGAATTTCATAGATTTGGCTCGCTGACCACGCACTTTACCCGAAACTATGACCTGAATAATTAACCTGAATGAAACAGATTAAATAATATATTTGTGCTACAAAAAGAAATAAAGGGCCAACAACTGCATATTTTTCAGGGAATTAAAAAAATCGAAAGAAATAAGGAAATTAAAAAATTAATACAAGAAAAATTAAAAATACCTCGCAGCCTTGTGCATTAGATTCCATTATAAACCTTAAAACACCGTAACATGCACGTCTGACAGCCAAACCGCCAACCAATTTATACCGAAGAGATTCGCATTGTGCGACTGCACAAAGACCACGATTTGAGACTTTCTCCGCATATAACTGAATTGGTATCATTTTCAGTGGAATAACTATTTATGAATATTAAGCTAAAATTTAATAAAAGTAAAAAATTTTAAATATATATTTCAACGAGTGATAGAATGGCTCAGTGGGTTGCTCAATTTAGAGCGCCGATGCTGAGAACCTGTTCTCCTGCAGGAGTTAAGATGTCCAAAAATCTGGGTAATGCTGGCGACTCAACTGTTCTCCTACTGCTAAGGGACTCCCTGGCATATTTGCCCAATGCGATAAGCCAGTGAAACAAGTTATATTAACCAGTAATAGTGAGGACCCTTAAAAAAACGAAAAAAAAAGTACTTCAACAGTTCCTTCGTTAAACCCAAACCGTTTTTGGACGACTGATGTTAATTCGCGAATTCGACGACCACGTTCACCCAGAACACTTTGAGTACGAGTGGCCATTATAATTATCTACGAATTAATAATAATTTATAGTTATAATATAAATTTTTGGAAGTCATAATTTTCATTATATTCATTACTCTTACTATTATTTTTATTTCTACGATCCAACCACCTATTATTTAATAATCTCATTTATTATATCAAAAATATTTAAAAAATTATTTAAAAAAGAAAAGAGCAAAGAAAATCCGTACTTATCGAGCCGAAAGGGAATAAATGGCTATGAAAAAAAGAACATTGAAAAAAAAATGAGAAATTTCAAAATTACTTCAGCCCTGGAAGGAGTTCTACGAATTTCCACTCCAGAATAACCATCTTCGGCCAATTCTTTCATCAAAAAATTATTCAATTCCGCTTTAAATACACCATCTTGAACCGCTTTTCTTTTCTTATTTAAATTTTGAGGTGCTGTCAAAGGCATTTTTTTTCAGATGATACTAATGCGAATTTAATCACTGCCAAAATTAGAATTCTTTAGAATACTGAAAAAAACGATAGAAGAATATTAGCTTTATAGAAAAAATTTTGCAATACTTATAACAATATTTATATTTATCACAATATTTATAATTTAAATGCAGTTACATATTGCTATACTTTTTCCTCTTTCTAAAAATAAGTAATATCATTGGTTTAGTTGGCTCCATTGTTAGGGAAAAAACCTCATTAGCCAAGGAATAACCTACGAAAGATTTGATCCTCCCATCTCATCATCGGGAATTCACTTTTAGTGGTACACATCAACGAAAAAAGGCCGATCTGACAATGTCTCAGTCAAGGTAATACACCACTCGTTCATTCTAACACCTTTAGATTATCAAAATTTATAACAGTTCAGTTGGTTTCAGTGAAAATTGTGCATAATGCCAATATAATTATTTGCCGTTTTAATCGATTTGTTTTACCAAATGCAATCCAAAATTGCGAAATAGTGGATGCATTCAAAAAACGTGAAAAATGAAAATCTGTGTTCCTACACTTTTTCTTTCCGTTATTTTCGACACTTTCCTCAATGGAATTTTCCTGTTGATTGTATTATTAAAATTAATTACAACGTGAAAAACGAGTAAACGACTAATATAATGATAAATTGTTGTGAAATAAAACGTTACTATAAACAAAGTTACTATAAACTAAAAAACTTTTAGAATATTAAGATAAGAAATTCTTACGAAAAAAAAAAGAGCTATTAAAAGTAAAAATATATAAATAATTATAAATATAAATAGAAAATATATAAATATAAAAAATATAAATAATATATAACAATAATAATAATATATAATAAAATAATAATATACAATAATATATAAAAATATGATTAAGAAAAAAAAAAATTAAAAAAAAGAAAGAAAAAAACCAAAAATTAACGAAATGAACAATTAAATTAAATATTAACAATATATTCATATATATCAAAGAATTTGTCACACAACTGATTTTTTTTTCTAAAAATTCACTTACAATGTTGACCAAAATAAAGAGATTGCTGGAGATTTAAATGGTGAAAACCAGTATTACTTGCGGTTTTTGAAAGAAAGGTTTCTTCTTCTATTCTAGTAGAATTTCAATTGGACATCCCAAAATGACAATAACAATCCCATTCAGCCATTTAAATCCACATTTAATATTTGCCAAAAAAAAATTTTAAAAAGGCGAAATTCGAATAGCGCTTAGCCTCTAGGCCACTATAGTATCACAGTACACTACTATACATAAGCATTTAGAACCACGACCCCTCGACCTAACCACCACCAACACCTTCCTTCCAGCCGTCGACGTAATTACTTGTCAATTTCAACTCTAAATCCTAATTCCGATATATACCGTAGACATAAATTCCTTTCAGGAAAAATATTGAATAAGTCAGTAATTGCAGCTCAAAATTTTTATAAATCTTTTTTGACTCTATCAGTCCACGTCTTGATTAGTCATTCTCGCTTTTACTGCCATTCATTACTAGGCAGGTAATGAAATATATACGAATTGCTATGTTGGGCGACAAAGAGCATATCCTAGTCAGCGAAAGCGGCGCTATATGATGGTACTTAGTGCAGGTGATGATAAATGAAAATAAGAAAAATGAGATAATATTTTTTTATTCAATTTTTTTTTGATTTTTTCGTTATTCTGTTTATATTTTTAATCATTTTAAATTATTCATAAATCATTTTATTCGTTAATAATAAAATTAATAATTATAATTAAATATAAATTATATTGAATTATATTATATTAAATTATATATCAAATATTATATATTAAAAAATTTTAAAAATTTCTGAATTCCTTAAATCTATAATTAAAATCGGGAAAAATTTTTTTTATTTAAATTAGATTAATATTAAATCGGAAAAAAATTTAAATATTTAAATTTAAATTTAAATTATAATTTATATTTAAATTATTTTTAAATTATTTTTATTATATTTATTCATTTTGGAATAATTATTCATTTAGCGAATTTATAAATAATTCAAAAATTAAACCTTTTAAAACTGCCATAGTTTTATAAACTAAAATATTAATTTTAACATATCTCGATAGATTACTGTAGATCGAGGTTTATCGATCATTATAATTTCGTGCAGTTTTATTCGGACCGATATCCGCAAATTATTACGGTGGTACCTTCAATTTAAGATTATCGTAATGTTTCGATAATTTGGCTTAGAACATAACCACTATTTTCATATTATTTGGCTTGAAATAACGAAAGATTTTTGTTGGCACTATTATCAGTTTCATATGACTTGAGCGAGTTACAACGCGGAGAGCATTAGCTGAAGTTCCACGCTTAAACCACAGTATGGTTTGAAGGTTATGCAATGAGTTTAATTTCCCAAATTTCCCTAAATAGTCGATAAAATGTCTAAATGCCTGCTTGGCAATTTTCATTGGTACATTTTTTCTGATACTAAGTGTTTAATCAGCGAACTTAGCGTGGTAGTGTGTCATCGAGCCTTATATGCTTACATTCTTCCTCAACTATGCCTATCGATATAAAATTTTTTAACAAGCAAAAATCTCCATGGAATTTATTATGGTTATCCTCGCATAAAATAGGGATAGCTGAAATAATGTAGAGATTTTTTTAAAATCTGATATAGGCTAATTGATCTTTAACAGATGTGCAATCTGATTTGAGCAAATCGTTTTCGAGGTGAAATCACAATTTCACTTTGACTCGAGTTATCCGAAACAGAAAGATATTAACACCTTCGAGATACAACCAGATGCAAGATTCAGAATGATATGCCCTCAGGCAAGCATTTTATATCCAACTGATATGTAGATAAAACGTAACTGTAACCTATGATGGTCCGTGAGCTTTCCACAGGTCTGATTCGTGACTTTCCACTACCTATACACTGTTATCTTTTTATATTCCTTAAAAAAATCTAGAAGAGTTCCCTAGGACTCAGGACTTTTATTATTTGAGATATTACTAGAAGTAGTTTTTACTATTCGATTTTCCTCATCCGATTCACATAGTCGCATATGCCAAAAGGGCTGTGAACGATAGAACGTCATTTATATATTCACCACTGAGTAACACTGCGATAGAAATATATGTGGGTTCTCAACAAATAGTTTCAATGACAAATACTTCCTGAAGAATTCATCTTAAAATTAAAAAAAAAAATTTTGTAAGTGTTTCATAATATGTCTCATAATCATAACTATTATCAGTTATTGGCCGATTTTTTTGTATTCCGGAAAATATTATTACTGTATTTCTTCAAAGATTGATTTTACACTTTCGTCAAAAATGAATAATTTCGCTGGCCCAAATTATTATTATTTTTGTCGGATATTTTCTATGCCAATGGAATAGATGAGTCCTGAGGACCATTCAAACTCCATATTTAATAAAACTACTTTTTTTTCCTGTCACACGGATAAAAATCCACATTACTTCAACTAATACTTCAATATACTTCAATTTTTTTTAAAGAGTTCTCACCAATTCTGGTTAAACTCGCTCCACTAGCTTGTCGTAATTGAGCAATATGCCAGGGAGACCCTTAGCGATAGTACAGGTGAGAAGCCAGCACCACCCGGATTTTTGCACAAGTTTTTTCTTGCAGGGGATCGAACCTCAGCATCTGCGCTCCCAATCGAGCAACAACCCACTGAGCCATTCTATCCTTTATTTCTATATGAAATATAGTATTTTGTTGTAATTTCAACTAAATTTAACCTTTCTTTTAGAAATTTTTTTTGGATTATTGCGCGAAATATTTTTAAAAAAGAATGATAAACTATAAAATAAAATTAGATAAAATTAATTAAATATTAATTTTATCGACAATAATAATTATATGAAAATAATTTTAATTCGTTGAGTAATTTGTCAAAAATGAATAAAAAGAAATGATTTGGATTTGAAAATCGAAGATTAATGCATTAGTTTTAGGTTGTTGCTCGGCGAATGGATGGATTGGTTTGGACGAATGCAGCACATCTGCAAGCAATATGTGCTGCTATTGCTGCGAAATTTGATGTCTCTTATGCTGTATGATTTCCATATTTTCCATATTCCTTTCTTTCTTATCTTTATATAATTTTATTAGATTTTTATTTAATATTTTCTAATTTCTTTTATTTTCTCTTCTTTTTTTTATTATTATTATTACAATAAAACTAATTTTTAGAAGTTTCACCGAAAAAGAATCACATTTCTACCGTAATAACATCGATAATAAACATTATTTTTATAATCATATAAATCCTGAAAAATTTTTCAATTTACCTTATTTTTTACAAATTATTTTATAAAATCTGCAGATTATGGTGAATTCTTTTTACTTATCCCTCCCTTTAACTTATCTCTTTTATATGCCTAGAAATTTTTAGTTAGTTTGGCTCTACTGGTTTATTAGACTGGGCAAATTTTTTAAAGACAATCATTTAGCGAAGAAATTTAGGTGAATGAGTTGAATTTTTGAAAACATTTTTATTTTATTCCAACGGAGTATAGAATACCAGCATTGGCGTTACGAGATAAAAAATAGGCAACAATTCATTTCTCCAAGCATTTTTCTCCAATTTAAACTTTTTTTATCAAAATTATTTATCATTTAATATTTTCTTCAGTTGTGTTTATCCATTTCGCATGATAAAATTTGATAACTCAACTAATTCTTCTTCTTCAAATATCTCATTTATGGTCATTCGCTTGGCTCAATTCGCTGCTATTTGCATGGTAATTAATTTGAGAATTATTATTTTGCATATTGCCAAGAATTACAAACTCTATGGATTTTTCATTAAAACATAAAGAATAAAAGTGATTTTAAAAAATTTTTTATAATTTAAAATTATTTATTCGATATTTTTCAGCTTTTTATAAATTCATCGACTCTAATTTCGAATAAAACTATCAAAAATTCGAGAAAAAATTTAAAATAATTTTTATAATTGATAATAATTATTGTAGTTTATCAAATAAACTAAAATTTTTAGTGAAATCTAAAATAAAGATTTAGAAAATTATTAATATGAATTTGTAATTAAATAGTAAATATTAATATTTTTTCCTAATTAACAATTTTCCAATAATTTTTAAATATAAATTTTAAATTTTTTTTTAATAAAATTTTTTATTGTTCTAATCGGCGCATCCACTTTTTTATGTACTTTAATTATTCTTTAGGGATAATTTTGCAATGGGCGATGCGCTTTTATTGAAAGAACTTTTCGAACAAATAATAAGCCGATATGGATGAAATATTAATCGTTTATTCACGCCAAAATGTTTATAAATATAATATATATTGCATACATATAAAATATAAAACATAAACATTTATTCTTTTCATTAATATGAATAAATATCTCAAAAATATTGGATATTGGATTGGATGGTGAAATTTAAATGATTATAAGTTATCATCGAAATCATCTAAATGAATAGCTGCAAGAAAAGTACAATAAAAATATCCGTAAATTAGGTGAAAAAGAAAAGAAAAGTGATTGGAATGTTTCAAAAAAATTTGAAAATTGAAAAATTTACCATCAACCAGTGATAATGGGACTAAATGATAACGGAGTGAGTGATAAAACTTTAAAAAAATAATAAATTTACGATTGAATTCGATGCATTAAATGTGTAATTCATTTATTTGTGAATTTTTTCAAAATAATCGTTTTAAAAATATTCATTTGTAATATTTTTTGTAATATTTAAAAAATATTTTCATTTATTTTTTCAAATTTTTCTCCAATTTTATTTCAATATTTAAAATTTTATTTTCAGATTTTCCAATGACATTCCAATTTAAAAAAATAATAACAACTATGATAAATGATAACAGTATTGATAATTGTAATTAATAGCAATTAATAACAAAAATAAAATGAAATTTGAGAAATTTATTATTTTATTTCATAAAATCTATAAAATATATAAATTCTTTATATATTTGTTATATTTGAATTGTTATTTTTGCATTTTTTTTAATATAAAAAATTATTTCTCTTTAATAAATATAAAATAATATTAAAATATCTCCATTATTTTAATTATTTTTCTATTTTTCTATTTTATTAATATTTTCTTTAAAAAAAAAAAAAAATTAGACAATTTTCTCATAAATTTCTAATTAATAAAACAATTCTTAGTTTTTTATTTTTTAAAAGATAAAAAAAAAAGAAAGAAAAAAAATTGTCTTTTATGAAAAAAAAACTCTAAATAAATTGATGATCATTATTCAATTAATGTTTATTTAAAAAACAAAAAAAGCAATTTAATCGAATATATTTATTTTAGAACGACGAAAATAATATTTATTATCTCTTTGTGAACTAAAAATTTTTTTTTGACTTTTTCATTTTTTTTTCTTTAAAATTTTTACCCCTCAAAGAACGGTTAATAATTCATTTTGGTGCATTAAAAAAAAAACATACACACAAACGATCACCCGTAATCATAAAATTTGTAAATTTTGTCGCCTTTTTTTTTTATAATGAAACGCTTTGATCGACCGACGATGAAGACGATGACGACGAAGACTCAACAGGAAACCAATTCTCATCTTCTAAAGTTTTCCTTATTTTACGATCGGACCCGTCCATTCTCCTCATTATCGCTATTAATTGGTTCACTTTACCAACAAATCTTATTATATTTATTATTGAATATGAGAAAGGCATATAAAAGAGAGAGAAAGAGTGAGAGAATAGCTTAATCTTTCCCTTTTGATATTCTATATTTTGGTGATTTGACCTTTTGAACTTTTAAAATAAATAATCATAAAAATTTTTAATTTTGGAAAATACTATATATAATAATTAATTTTTTTGCTTCGTTAATATGGGAGATTAATGTGGAAAATCTTAGTGAATGAATGGATTTTCTCAGCTAAAAAAAAATTTTTTTTTTTAAAATATCATTTATCTTCGAATTCTTCTTCAAATTTGTTAAATTCTTTTTTTTTCCCTATATTAAAGCAAGCAGAATTATATTTCCGTTGTACCGCGGCTAATTTCAGCTATTTTAAAAAATAATAAAAAATTCAATTCAATTTAAATCAGAGAAAAATATCGTTCAATACCTAAACAATTGGGTAATTTTCAAGAAAAAATGGAAAAATTCTAATGAGAAAATTAAGTTTTTATTTTGTCTTTCAAGAAATGATACAAGGATGGAAATCTAATAAAAAAAAAAAGTGGAATGCTTACTTAATCTCAATTGAAATGGCATGTTTATTCGGAAAAAATACTGATAAAATAGCGAAACTAACCGGATTTAATATAAGAGGAGCTTGATACAGTTTCTGGATAATACTGAGGCTGAGAAGCCATACCTCCTCTCCACATATTAAAAGTTGTTTGCAAATTTCCTTCGTAAAGCGGCATATCACAACCAAATAATCTACATCCATCGCCGTTCATCTATGAAAAATACGGTTAACAATATCATTATTAAAAAATCCGGCATAGATTAAGCGCTTTATCTATTACCTGATCAAGAAATCGGATATAATCAGTCGCTATACGAAGAGTATGAATTTTACTCATTTTGTCGGAGGGTAAGGAGGGTACAATCCGTCGAAGTATCGCAAATGCATCATTTAATTCCTTGGTACGTTGCCGTTCACGTCGATTCGCCGAGACTCGTTGTTGCAATGCTTCTTCAGCATTTTCTTCCTGAAGTGAAAAGCAAAAGATAAGGAAATTGAATCATCCCAAGCCTCCTATATTTATCATTCCAGAAATAGCGAAAAAAATTTCCTACTGCTTCATAATTGATAAGCATTACTTGTTGATATCTTCATCGTTATCAAATTGTTATCAAATATTTTACGAAGTTTTTTTTATTGCATTGTCATCCTATTGAATTTTTCTACGTAAATTTAATTAATCAAATTAAATCTTTATAATATTTTAATAAAGTACTTAAAATATCATCGATAAACGCAAATTTTTCGCGCGTAATATCATTCTATTAGTTTAAAAAAGAAAAATATTTTAACCTAAAAAATTAAGCTAAAAAATTAAAAAATAAAACTTATTCAAAATCATTTAAAATGATAAAATTTAATTAAAATAAAAATTCAAAATAGCCTATTTCACCAAATTTATTATTTCTAGTTTTCAAATTGATTAATCTGGATGGTCAGAAAGTATAAAAGTAAAATAGTGCATTATAGATACATTGCAGAAACTAAATTTGTCTTCAAAACTATTATTAATAATTTAATTAATTAAATATTTAGTAATATTTAATAAGATATTTGAAAGCGAAAATCTGGTATACCGTAGTAATAAATTGAATAAGATGTATAATAGTGATTATAACCTTTGAAATATCACTTATTTATCATTTATCAAATTACTTATCAGTTGTTTATCAACAAATTATCAATTATAAAATTCCAAGATCGATGCTTCTTTAAAATCAGTCAAGCAAGACGATATTATTTAGATAAATTACTTTCAAATTTTAGGTATTTAGAGTGATTGAAAGAATCGAATGCAGATAACCATACATATAACTATGTTACCACTATAAATGCACTATAAATCTCCTCTAAAACAAAAAAATTCGAAGTTTCCGAAATGAAAACTAATAAAAACCTACCTTACGTTTATTTGAGCGCCTCTTAGCTACCATTGTTGATGCTAAAACTTAACGGTGGATGGATGAACTAAATGAAAAGATGCTCGAACTCCGCCCAACAATAAAAACGATTCATTTTGTCGCACTGCGAATTATTATTATTATTATTCTTTTCTCCTTATTTCTTACCGATTCCAAAACATTTCTGATAATTTCATTTTGTATAATAAATCTCGGCGGGGAAGGGGGGAAATGGAAGGAGGAAATGGAAGGGGGAAATGGAAGGGGGGAAATGTGAGAGAGAAGAATGGCTCAATAGGTTGCGTATTCATTTTCGAGCACCGATGCTGCCGATAGGATGAAATAAAATTATAAAAATCTTTCAAAAATCCAGAATTTCAATGCTAGCGCTTCGTCTTCAATTAGAAAATGATTCTTTGGGCAAATTTGTCTGATCCGAGAAATCAGCAGAATGAAAGTCTAATCAGAAATTTTTTTTTAATAAAAATCTCAATATCTCTATTTCTGATAAAAATCTCAAATCTCGAAAAGCACTGGAAAAATATTTCGAAATATTTAAATATTTTTAAAAATATTTTTAATATTTTTTGAAATATTAAATATTTATATAAATATTTATAAATATTTATTATAAATATAATATTCATTTATATAAATATATAATAAATATTTAAAAAATATTTTTTGTCTATGCAAAAAAACAATTTTTTTTTAATAATAATTGTTTTTTATTAATAATAATTGTTTCAGAAAGAGATATATGAGAACTTCGAGCATTTTAATTTTTCTTTTTGTAAGCGTCTTTAAATCTTCGTTAAGGAATACGGTATCGAATTTGTTTTCAGATGAAGCAAAATAGCACCATTCACCGAATAAAATTTAAAACGTTTGCACATATGGTACACATTTATCAATTTCTTCATTATTTTTGGTACATTTCGCTTTTTTATTAAACAAATTATTACAAATTATAACAATGCGTAACAAGCTTATTCAATGCGTAACAAGCTTACAATAAGAAAATTTGCTGCAAAAAAAAAAAATCATATTATCATTATCATATCATTTATCATATCATTTTTAATATATATATATATGATTTTATATAATTTTACATTAATTTTACTTTTATATATAATGTTTTTATATATTATTACCCAGCCTAGGCAAATTATATATTAGCTATATTTGCAAAACAATAAAAATTTAATGCTACTAGCTAAGGTCCATAATTTGCCTAAGGTGAGTAATCGGTTGCTTTATTTTACAATTCTTACAACTCTTCTATCGACAATAATTTTTTAGGTAATTTTTCGTTTTTTTTGAGTTTGTATATTAAAAATTTGATTTTAGATTAAATAAATATTAATTAATTAATTAATAGAATAGAACTCTAATTAATATGTAATTTATTTCAATAAGGAATAATTGAATAACTGAATTTAATTGAAATTAAATCAGAAGATTAAGCTATAATTGAAAAATGAAAAAGAACCAATGGACCAGTGAAGGACTTATTTATTCCAAGTCAAAAGCTACTAAAATGTTTCAGGTTACCTGAAAGTTATGATCTAATTATTCATTTATTTCATTCATAATACAAAAATACCTTCCATTATAAATAAAACAATAATTTTTCATACTTTTTTTTTCATAAATTTTTATTCTTTTTTTTTGACAATTGAAGAATAATTTGATAAATAAAAATTTTATGAAAAATAATTTTAAAAAATTTACAATTTAAAAATTTACAATAATTTGATATAATTGAAATTAAAGCTATAATTTATAATTAAAGAAAGAAATCTGAAAAAAATGAAAAATTTAAGGAAAAAAAAATTTGATTGGAATGAATGGAGAAAATCTCAATGCAAAATCTTCCAATTTTTTATTTAAATCTTTTTTAAAAGAATATTTCATCAAATTTAAAAATTATTATATAGAAATAAAAATAAAATAATAATTTATTTTTTAAAATATAACAACTAAAATTAAAAATATCGCTTAAAGAAATGTTTTACAATTTATTTTTATATTATTCATAATTTTATTTATATAATTGAAATTTTTTTGCCAAAATTAAAGCATTTAAATGAATTTTATACACGCAAATGCCAATCGAGAAAACAACTGGTGGACATTGGTTCAACTTGTGATTTATAGTTCTGAAGATCATTAATTACTTCAGCACAATTATCGTGAACTGTTTTAATATGAATTAGTACCACTCCTTCATCGTGTGTTGAATTAAAATCACACAATGAGCACCTAAAAATACTTTTCATTTTATTACGCTCAAACGTATTATTATTTCATAGAAATAAATACAATACTCTTCTATCGATAATAAATTTTTAGGCCATTTTTCGTTTTTTTTTTCTTGAGTTTATATATAAAAATTAAATTTTACCTATAAATAGGTTGCTTTAAATGTCGTTCCAGAAGATGAACTAGACGACGCTTACGACTTATAGTGGCACCGCATTGACGACATTTCGCACGTCTCCCTTCATCAGAAATTGTTATATTTGAAAGGCGTTTCGGTCGGCCAGGAAAGCATTTATCATGCATTTCTGAGAAAGCTGCACGATGTACAACAACGTTCGCAATTGGTTCGAGACCCTATAAAATCAAAAAAAAAATTATCAGATAAAAATTATCAGTTAATCAGTTATTCGGTGAGAATCAATGCACAATAATCTTTAAGAATTTTCTAGTGTGCAGCCAATGGTAAATTTTTTCAAATTTTCTTATTTATTAGAATTTTTCATAAATTTCGATGAAATTATCAAATCATTAAATAATGTGGAAATAAACAACTAATAAATTTTATTTCGTAAAAAATAAATTCGCTAAATAAGATTGGCTTTTTAAAATATAATTAAGTCATTTAGCTTACTTTAATTTCCTTTTTTTTATGATTGTTTTTCATATGCCTTCGAACGAGGCGACTCTCTGCTCCGCCATAATTACATAAAGGACATTCATGTAAAGACATTTTTAGGTGAATTTCAGCGATATGTCTTGAAGTTTGACGAACTTCCACATCGCAAATACGACATCTTACAAAAAAAAAGTCAATTTTATAATGCATTTTAAAAAAATAAAATAAATTTAAATAAAATGATTCGAATTTAGCTTATTTCACTGAATATTAAGCGTTTTCTTTGTCAGAGAACCATTCGGTGATAAAAATGCAGGCGAAAGCCTCACAAACACCCAATTTCATCTTAAATAATAATTACTCCAAGCATCTAATTTACTCCATTCGAGAGAGAACTTATGATAATTGATAGTAACCCAAGTAAAATAAATCTCCCTCCAATCTAATAGAGATAATTTCAAAACTTAAATTTCAATAAGTAATAAAGACCTATTGAAGTCTTCTAAAACAGCAGTTGGTAGGCGGCGATTTATCCAGCCTGGAAAGCAACGCAAATTCCATTCAGAAATTTCCTTGCAATATTTCAACAGGTTGGATTTCGGTGTGACATCTGAGTTTTCTCTATGGGCATATCTAGAATACTTATGGAATATAATATTTCAACATATATATAAATGTATATATTATAACATATAAATAAATTATTATATTTCAAAAATATTATTAAATTAATATTGCTTGGAAAATAATAAGAAATATATAAAATTTTAAAAAATTACTAGCAAAAATATTCTAAATTTATTCAAATTTTATCCAAATTATTCTAAAATTTTCAGAATTTATCAAAAGAAAACTATAAATTGAGAAATGAAATCTTTATCAAAATAATGCCATACTTAATATGTGCTTTTACATCCGATGAACATGCATGATGTGAAAAATCGCATAAAGGACATTCATAGAGTCGAGATTGCTTCAAATGGTGACGATAGACATGGATCTATAAGTAAGAAAAAAACCCAAAATATTGACTGCTTATTTGAGATTTCAAATCAGTCAAAGATAAGGATCATCAAACAAAATCTATTATTTGATAAAGTTTATAAGAAAACAATTAACGAAAGTTTTTTACTTGTCTATCTTCAGTCTTCATTTCTTGAGAGCATTCACGACATTGAACTTTTGTTTCCTCTGATAACTTTACTTCTTGCGATATTTTCTTCTCCGATGATAAATTCTGTAAGAGAAAAAATAATAAAAAAAAATGAAAAAAGAAAAAATAGCCTTAATGCTAAAATTCTTATAATCAACCTTGAGTCGACGACCAGGAAAACACTGTTGATAAACGGTTTGAATTTCGGCAGCATTCTGCTCCAAATTAGAAACTGGCTCTACAGTGATTCCGCCATGAACCTTGAGCATATGTGAGCGTACCTCATATGCATCCTGACCGCCATGACCTTCACATATTGGACATTGATAAAGTGGAATGTTTAGATGATCTTTTGCGACATGACGAAGAAAATTCGATGATGGCTTAAATTCTTTCTTACACAGCTGCAAAATCAATCATTAGAAACCAGTCTTTAAACGAAAGCACTTATTAATCTCCGCTTAATTCACATGTGACACCTTTTATGATAATCACTTCGCTGGTTTGTCCCACAAGGCAAATATATGCCTTGACGATAGAAACATAAGTGAGTCGCTCAGCATCACCCGGATTTTTACACAAGTTTAACTCCGAATTGAGCAACAATGAGCACATTCTACTCTCCTCATAATTTAAATATTATTATTAAAATATTAAGAAATATTAAGAATAGTTTTAAAATATATAAATCATAAAAAAGACTAATGATCTACGTTTAAAGTATTATATCTCTGGATTTCTGGATTTCTGGATTTAATAAGATAATTAATTTAGACGAAAATTTATAAGAATATTTCTGATTCAAACCGAGGTAAATCTAAATTAATAAGCTTATAGCTTTATATGAAAATTTAAAATTTAATTTAAAATTTAAAATATATAATTTAAGAAATAGATGGATTAAAAAAGATTTATATTGTGTTTATAAGATTACTTTTGGTATTTGGTATTTGAATTATTTGATTTTTGATATTTTTATAAATTTATTGTTTTATTTTTATATGATTAAATTTTATTATTCGTATTATTTTGATATATTCTGGTTATATGGTTTTTGATATTTGTTTATTGATAAATTATAAAATCATCATTAGGTATTATGATTTGTCATACATTAGGGCAATGATTCTCTTTTGGACCTTTTTTTATCAAATTTCAAAGTGAAATTCTCCTTTTGGTAGCCTAACAGACTTAAAGATTGCTTGTATGGCTCTTATATGTTCTTATCCATCATGAAACTCTAAAATTCCATCAAAATGGAAAATTGTATACTGTTGAGAACTTGAGAACCTCTGTATCAGAGGAAATAGAATGCAAGTCCACCAGATTGTAGCTAACTATACCTACAACAAAATAAGAATATAATTTATTATTTAATATAGTATGTCTAATTCAATCCTCAGATTTAAAGGTAATAAATAAATAAATGATTTTTGTACCATGCAAGCCCATTCACTCGGCTTTGATGAATTTGTAGAAATCTTTGGCTTTTTAGCTGGTGGTTCATCAATGGAAGAATTTTCTGGTAGTTGGAGGGCAACTTTGGTTTTAGAACTTTGATTATCATTCACATGTGCTGTTTCTTTCGCAATTTCCTCATTAGCTTCCATCTCTATTGATTCTCGACTCTGTAATATGTTCTATTGTTTCTTATCAATTTTAACAAAAAATTATTTAAGAAGAAATATGATATAACTTGCTTTTCGATCTCTTCGATAATTGATATGTTATATGGAAATCTTGAAAATTAAAATTTAAACCAATAACATCATCATGTCTATAAAAATGATTTCTGGATATCAACATGATAAGCCTATGGGGAATGATAAGACAAATAAATACCTCTTCTATTTTTTTATCGGCCTCATCAATTTCTAGCCACCAAAATGGTCGTCGACGATGCTGCCAGCCAGGAAAACACTGTTCATTTAAACGATCGATTTCTAACCTATGAAAAAAAAAACACTAACCAGAAAGCCATTTAATAAAATGAACCATCAATTGGACTTCTAATTTCTTATCAATTTAAATGTTAAAATAATTATGATAAGCAAATTAAGCAATTAAGAAATACAGGTAAATATAGTTTCAACCAGATATTCCACCAATTTAAAGTGTAATTAATATGGAATTCGATCGGAATCAATCAAAACCAATTAGTTAAACAAGTAAAAAAATTGGAAATTTTAAGAAATGGCGCTGGCAAATTCCAGAAAATAGTTTATTAGTTTGGACTTAAGAAATATGATAATAGAAAAATAGTTCCAACTTCATTATTATAAATAACGAAAATCATATGAATCATGATTGTAGTTATCATGAAGTTATAAGTTATCAATATTTATCATGAAGAAAATGTTGATAAATGATTAAAAAATATAGTGAAGACAAGTGAAACAATTCAAACCTGTGTTCATTTTCATGAGAAATCGGTTCATCATTAGCATTTTCACGATGATTCCATTTTATATGCCATTTTACTCGATGCACATCATAATTTGATGAAAAACTGCACATGGGACATTCAAATATGCGTTCTTTTTTCAAATGCCTGTGATATACATGCCTTTGACGATCGGACTGAGCCACCTGAGTTCGTCAATAATTTTTAGTTCAAAAAATAGAAAAAGGTGATAAAAAAAAGTTTTACCTTAAGTTTGCAAAGTTGACATTTATGACGCTCTCGAGGTCGACCACCAATGTGTGGTCGTACGAGTTTCATAGGTCTATTTGGAAAGCACAAAGCCTAGAAAATACCTAACATTATTAAATATCATTAAAAATATCCTAGCTAGAAAAATTTTTATGAAGTATAAAATTTGGCTCAACACATCTGCAATAGAGTATTTTTTGCGAATTGAAATATCAACTTGTAAGTCTCGTATTTCATCGGCAAATCGTTCCAAATTCGAAATAGGCGGAATTGCGGTATCGAGAGGATGAACTTTACTAATATGTTTGACTACGGTGCAACTCTCATAACTTCCGAAACCTTCGCATACTGGGCATTCGTAGAGTGGTTTTTTTAAGTGCTTTTGCGCTATATGTCGACCCGGATATCGTGATTCCTCCCTGTAATTTCCCTCGTTAATGAATTTAAAATAAATATTATGTTAAAGAAGGAAAATGAGGAAAAAAAAAAAGAAGTCGCTAGGTTGGCAATTACCAACAAAGGTGACACGTTCGATCATCAACGATCACTCCTTCCGGTGGACTTCGAACAATATCTTCGTTACTGCACACGCTTTGATCATCATCATTTTCTCCATTATCATCCAAAAGACTTAACATATCACCATTCGAATTCGAATTCTTCTAAATTATTTATAACGATAAAAGTTTTTAAATAATTTCTTATTTATATTATAATAAATTTAAAAATATAAAAATTTACTTGATTTCTTAAAAGTGCTTCACCATTGTAGCGCCACCAATTTGCTGTCTTTTTTAATTTCCAGTCGGGAAAACATTTTAGATTTAAAGCCTGAAAGCCGGATAATCGATGTTTATCTAAATAAACATAATAATATAATTATCTAAATAAGTAAAGAAGATTAGCCTAAAACTTTAAAAAATGCGAATAAATTAATAAATTATAAGGTGAGAACCAATGTAACAAATTAAAATTAAAACTAATTAAATGAAAGAAGTTATTATTCTAAAGTAAAAAAATTATTAAGGATGATGAAAATCGATTCGTTTCGTGGTCCATTTTTTATGAAATTTAATAAATCTTTAAAAAAAAATAAAATTCGAATGGTGATGGTGAATGGTTTGATAATTTTCTGGCAAAAAAGACTACACCTTAGTATCGCCAATGGAATCGCTCAAAGTAAAAATGGAATATGAAAAATTAGAAGTGAAAAGTGAAAAATGAAAGTGTATGGTTATGTTAAACTAGATTGTTCAAAATATTATAATTTTAGGTTAAATTTAAATCCAAAAAGAACGAATAGGCTAAAATTACAAAAATCTATGTGTAAAACTAAACTAAGGACTCATGATTTCTTTATTCGTAATATTAATTTCTGGAATAAATTACCGAACGACATAGCTTGTGCGCCATCTCTAGCTATCTTTAAAAAAAGAATATCATTTATGATACTATCATTTATGATATTATTTAAAAAATTCACATCATGCAGGAAGTGTAAAATCTCGATTTTTACCATCTGATTTTAGTTATTTCGATTTGTACTATATTTTATTATTATTTTGAAATTTCTTCTATATTTTATCTTTAAATTGTTTATTTTATTTTATATTTTTTTGTCATTAATTCTTATTATTTGTTATTTTAACGGTTATTACTAATATAAGCATATGGCGTTTGCGCCCTGCTTGGCTGGTTTTCAATAAATAAATTAAAAAAAAAAAGAGTATGAGACTTTTTAAGAAAAAATCAACTAAAAATTTGCATACTTGAATCTTTTCTATGTGATGCTCTTCATTCGAAATCGACTTAGCCTGACCATGATGAACGGCAACGCAATGTTTACGCATCTCCCATACCGAATTATTATTCGTATAGCTACAAGCACTACACTGAAATAGATCGGCAACCCGAAGATGAACTTGGTAGACGTGGCGTTGACGAGCAGTCGTGCATATGTCCACTTGACAAATCTTAAAAAAATTATTACTATTTCATGATCCTCCAAAATGATTTAAAGGAGAAAAAAAAAACGAAATAAACGAATAATACCATCGAATTATAATAATTTTAAGAGATGGAATTTAATATTAAGAAAAAAAATTTTTATTAGAATTTATTATTAGAATTTTTATTAAAATTTTAAATTTTATTGAATTTTTAAAATTTTTTATTAAATTAAATTTATTTAATTAAAATTTTATATTTTATATTTTAATTTTATATATATTTTAATTTTATATATAAAATTTAATAAAAATTTATTAAATTTTATTAAATTCATTAATAATTTATTAAATTTATTTATTATTTTAAATTTATTAATTTTATTTTATTAAATTTAATTTAAATTTTCATTATTTAAAAAAATTTGGAACTTCAAAATTTGGCATTTTTCATTCGAATATTTTCAAAATACATAGTAATTTTATTAAAATTTTTTAAAAAATTTTAATAAAATTTAAAAAATCTAAAATAATAAAAATTGAAAAGGTAAAAGAATAAGTGAAAAATTTATAAAAAAAATTAAAAACAAAACTTGTAAAATGAACCAAATGGAACGTTTAAAAAAATTACCTGACATTTTGATTTTCTTACAGCTTTTGAAGCATTCGTAAAAACTGGTATATCAATCGAATCGTCATTTGATTCGGAATTACAAACACCATTCGGCTATAAAAATATTTGTTAAATATTTGATTTTCATTAAAAAAAAAAGATAATAAATAAATAAAGTTTTTAGAAAACCAACAATTGTATCGTTTTGAGTTTCAATAGATTGGAGATGATTCGCGAAGTCACCGATACGTAATGGCTTCCTTTTACGCTTTTTCGATGAAATTTTCGAGTTCGAGTTTTCATGGACATCGGTTTCTGATGAAGGCTGAAAATAAAAAAATATAGCCAAGATTTTTTATCATCGATTTGTTAAAATCATATTTCTACTAATAATGATTATAAAATGATAAAATCATATCACTTATATGCTTCTTTTCACCTCATCTTTACAGTAATATAAAATTCTATTATAAATTATGAATCGTAAAAAAATACATGACTAAATATAAAAAAAATCCTAGCCTCAAATTTAGCATTGAATTGATAAGAATCATAATCGATTAAATGCTAATTCATTTTAAGAAAACAAAAAGGTCAAAGGACTTACAAATGCGCCAAATGATGAGAAAAACGACAGATCTCCTTCCATAACGCTCGAATATACTTCATTTAAAATTCGGCCAATATTTTCATAAGATGGATATTCCTAAAAATAATTTAATTAGTACTTATAAATCCGTTAGTCAATTAGTTATTTTATCAAATAACCATTAATTATCAATAATTTGTTGATCATTTGAAATGGCAATAAAAATAACTAATAAAAATTTATAAATAATATTACTGACTCGACTTAATAATTATAACTATTTTATGAAATTATAAAATGATATGCGATATTTTTTTATAGGCCTAAATTTCAAAACGCAAAAAACTGAAATTATTAGAATATAATATTATATTTTTTCTTTTGTATATTGGCTAGAATGGCTCTGTGGGTTGTTGCTTAATTCCTCGCAGGAGTAAACTTGTACAAAAATTCGGGTGATACTGGCAACTCACCTGTATTTATTTCTATCGCCCAAGGGTCTCCATGGCATATTGCTCAATGTGACAAGTCAGTGGGGCGAGTTCAACCAGTAATGGTGAGGACTCTCAAAAAAAAATACTAGCTAGAATATAGTTCCATCATGATTATCATTTGTTGACTATTATAAGCAGTTAATGGTTAGCCATTCACCATTTTTGGTTAAATCGGTTAGAAAAAACCAAGTCATATGGGTGAAATACGAGAAATACGAGTGGATTATCGTACCACTCGAAATTTTTAATGAGATAAAGTTTAACCAGGCTATAACTCAGTTAGAAGCCAAACCTTAGCCTAGCAAAACAAAGATCTAAATCACTATTCACTCGATTAATGCCCGATATTCTAATCACTTTCCAAATTCCTTTCCGCTAAGCTTAAATTTACCTCCCTTCCTACTCCCTTATTAAAACTAGCAAATTTATTCATATTATCTCATAACTAAAAGATAAATGGATGTTTAACATGAAATGGAATCGCTCAACGGAGTTATTCTCATTTCACAATGCTGGTAAAGTTTTTCCTTCCTCAAAAATTCCAACGTTGGCTGCTGCACTTCTATCGTCAAGTGATTCTCTGGTCTAACCAGGATAATCCAGTCGATTAAGTCTAATCAAAAGCGGTGAATTTTTAGAGAAAAAAAACCTATCCAATGTAATTTAAAATTTAAGCTTAACCATTCCATATATATGAAATTTTATATTATTTTTATTAGCGACGACAATAGAATATTTTACGGTGACAATGAAATATTTCCTTATTAAAATGTACAAAGCGTTCGTTCGGCCACTTCTTGACTACAGTGCTACCTGTTACTCCCCGAGATATCGTGAATCAAGTGAAATAATTGAAGGATTCTAAAAATATTTTATACGGTGCCTCTTTTCTAGTTGGAATTTTAATTATAAAAGAAAACTTCTACAATATAACCTGGATTCTCTGTTAGTTCGTCGTATTAAACAAGATTTAATCTATATTTATAAGATTGTGTATATAGATTATGTTAAACTGGGTTGTTCAAAATATTATTAGATTTATTTTAGATTTATTTATTTTAGATTAAATATAAATCCAACAAGAACTAATGGCTTAAAATGGGCTTACTAAATTTAAAACTAAACTAAGGACTCATGATTTCTGTCATGATATTCGTAATATTAATTTCTGGAATAAATTACCGAACGATATAGCTTGCGCGCCATTCCTAGCTATCTTTAAAAAAATATTTCTCGATTTTTACCATACGATAATATTATTTCGAATTGTTATTATATTATATTATTTTGCAATATCCTCTTTATTTCATTTTAATATTTATTTATTTATTTAATTATTTATTTTATTTTAATATTATTTTTTTGTTTTTTATCATTAATTTTTATTATTTGTTATTTTAACTGTTGTTATTAATACAAGCACATGGCGTTTGCGCCCTGCTTGGCTAATATAGTTTCTAATATCGTTCAATATCGTTCTCATAAATTCTCAAATATTTAACAACTTTTAATGAAAATGAAAGGAAAAGACAAAGGAAAATATTCGGTAATTTAGATAGAATAATCCTAGAATTTGCCTAAGTTGAGAGAATCGATGAGAAGCGACGATTCATTTTCTAAAATATTCATAAAGTTGAAAGGTAAATGAAGCGAGAAAATTAATACTTACCATTTTAACGCCATAACTAGTATATTCAACATTACTTAAAAGCCAATAATACGTTTGATCACATAGATCGGGCGATAATAAAGCTCGTGAAACAAATTTAGCGTGACAATTAACTAAATGTTCGCGAAGTTCTTGAAGTGTTTCATAATTGTACGAAATACAATCAGCTGGTATAAATGCATTTTCATCTTTGCTTAATTCACAAAGTACGCAAGGAAACGTTGATAGTGGTGGTGATAATGATATTGGTAAAGGTGAAGAATATGGTGAAGTGCATGATGGTTGTGAACATAACGCAAGAGGATATGGTGATGACGATAAGGATGAAGAAGAAGAAGAAGAGGAAGAAGAAGAAGGAGAAGTTGATGAAGATGAAGGTTGGGCAATTAAAGATGTTGTTTGACATGGTGACATTGTTCGTGACTGTTGTGTAAACTGCGACATTCTAGAAGAGGAAGATGCTATTCAACCTAAAACTTTAAAAATTCTTCGTCATTATAAGAGAATTTTTTAATTTTTTTTTTTGTTTTCCAAGAGCGCTCACCCATTTTTGTTTAGTCCTCACCGTCTGTCACCTCATCCGTCCGCTGGCTTGTCGAATCGGACAAATTCGGCCAGAGAGGAGCCACCAACGCAATTTCATTTACTGGCAAATAAAAAATGAATGATAGAGAAGGAAATAAAAATAGAAATGATAATAGTAATGTTAATAGATAATATGATAAAACATAATTTTCGAAATAAATTTTAAAAAATTTATTAGAAATTTAAATTTTATTAAATAGGATTTAAAATTTTAAAATGGATATTTGCAATAAGTTAAACGATTAGACTTAAAATAGACTTTAAAAATAAGGAAAAACAAGAAATTGGTTAGAAAAGCAATACAATAGAAGGTTTTGATGATGAGAAATATATGAAATATGTGATGCAGCAGCAATGGATGGATGATAACGTCGATGCGAACCAGGAATAGATGATAACATATGTACGTCGAAGGCGACATATTAAGCTAACAATCGATGTTCATAACAACCAGAAGCATACCTATATTATTCATATATATATATATATATATATATATATAAGTATAAATATAGAAGGCACTCGGAGTTGTGAGAACCAAGTTGAAAAAATTGTCTCCAACAAATTCCAAGATTTCTATCAGCAGCAATATAGTGCTAGAATAGTAGCTAAAATGCTATAGTATAACGTTCGATCTCCAGACCTATGGTAGAGGACTCGACGATAAGGAAGATCCATAATTACCCACATTTAATGAGAACTTCTATACATACATATATATGTATTGTGGACCAAAAATCAACTCCGGTGATAGATATAGCAATACCAAGTGACAGGAAAATATTAGGAAGAAGGAAAATAGGAAGAAGAAACATTAGGAATGTGAGAAGATAGGTTGAAAGAGGAACTAGAGACGTGGAAAATGAAGACCAAAGAAATCCCAGTGGTAATCGAAGCACTAGGAGGAGTGCTATAACCACTAAATTAAACGAAATGATATCAGAGATCTCTACATAACTAGGAATAGCTAAGATATTGCGCAGAACCTAGAAAACTAGACGATCCGAGATTGACGATGATCCTTATCACCCAAGACGATAATGAAAGTTTTTTTTTTTTTTTAATAAATAAATTTATCAATTATTATTAAAAGTTTATAAGATAAGAAGTAGAAATAGTTATCAATAAGTTGTTATTCGTATTTTCGACGACGCTGAAATTCTACTGCCTTCAAGAGTAAACATATCATTCAAAAATCTAGTCGATTCAACTAAATTTCTATTACCAAATGACTCCTTAGGCAAAATCCATCTGATCCAACATGCCAGCGGAGCGAGTTTAATCAGAAATTATCAGCGCTCTTAGAAAAAAAAGCGCTTATTAGAAATAAGAAAAAAAAATAACTGTCTTTTTTGGCGGACATTATCAAGAAGTATTTATTTATATATTAATGATACGATAAGATATTGGGAAAAAACGAAAATTTAGTGCTGATATGGAATTTTATGGAGCAGAACACTGATATAATGGTGACGCACACAGCACGAACAACCAGCCAGGCAGTTGTATAGAATGGCAACGAGTATAAATCGATGTAAAATGAATGTGGATGACGCTGAACAGAGAAATGAGGAGGATTGATGATAGAATTCATCGAATTCGGAAAACACTAGTTTTCTGTTGCTGTTGCTGCAACGCCCAAACTAGGGCAAACTAATCAATTCGGAACTCCTTATCGACATGCTAATCATGCTTTTGATAGCTGATAAATGATAAATGATAATAATGATCGCTTATATTCATCATTTAAGTTTATTTGATTTTTACTTAATTTATTCTTTTACTTATTAATTAATTCTCTAATTATAAAAAAATCCTATCTTGATCATTTCGTTTTTTTCATTTCATCAGAAATTGCACTAAAATCCAAATTTTTATCAATCTTTTATTAATTTTTATCAATTTACTTTATTTTCAGTCTTTCTAAGTTTCTTTTCGAGAGAGAATTTTCTTTAGTTTTTGTCTAATAAAGATATATTTTTGAATAATAAAGATATTTATAATATTTATATTTTATAAATATTATAAATTTTTCTTACACTTAAGTTCTCTGCAAAATTTCTCATCATTTTCAAAAATAAACTTCACTCACAAAAAAAGGTTTTTCAAATAGCTTCAAATAGTTTCGGCTTTTCAAATAGCTTCTAGATTTGTCATATCATATCATCATATTTCATATTTATCATTGCGTTCTTTTACTATCGAAAGTCTTAATCACGTTAAAATTGATTAAACAATGTTGTTGTTTTTTGAAAATGATAAAATTCGCGAAATATTAATTTAAAGTGTATCTATGATTGATGATAAAATCACTAGCAAAATTTATGATTATCTAATCTAATCACCAGTAATATAAATTAAATTGAAATCTCAAAATTACGATAAATTTAAATTTAAATTATTTACTTTTAAATTATTCCTTCTAACTTTATACTGTAAAAACTATTTTCAAACTATTAATTAAATTTTTTCGAAAAATTTTTGTTGGATTCTTAAATTGAACTAAAATTATAACTTAGAAGAATTTTTGGAAATTAAATTGTCAATTAAAAAAATAATTTTATTAGAGCTATTTTTAATATTCATTAAAATTTTATATATATTAAAATAATAAATTTTTCATTAAAAAGATTTTAGATCAGCCGATTCTATTCGAAATGAATTTGAGGATTGAACAGCTTTTCATGAGTAAACAATTTAGAAGGTAGATTACTATTTCGTTGAAACTATCAATAACTAAATTTTTATTTATCACCAGAATTGCTGATAAATGATAATGATAATGATAATGTTAGTGCGATTCGTCAAAAAATATACCTAAGAAATTCATGCATTTTCGTTTCAAAACTAGCATTCATGCAATATCGTAAATTGGAAGAAATTGGAAAATCCCTCGAATATTTTTTATCTTACACGGTAAATATGAAATGAAATTGATTTGTTTTCATAAACTTATCCTTCTTTTCAAAATCAGAAAACAATGACTGAATGACAGCGTCCAATCTCCATGACAATCTCTAATATAGCTTAAAGCAAAGAATCATAGAAAGACGGAATTGAAAATTATTGACGAAACAAAATGAAATTTTTTAGTAACTTTGAAAAAATTTCTACAAAATGAGGACAAAATTGTTCCTCTTCTTTTTGAACTGATAAAACTGATAACTGATAATCTGGATGATTTCATCTTTTACGATGAAGGAAGGGACTGAAAATTGAAAATTGAAACATGAAAGTTCATAACTGTGATTTTTATTAGTTAGATTAATCGAGCTTAAAACCTTAACTTAGGAATTTTTATTCCAAAAAATTTATTGCAGAATATTATTCAAATTCTTTACAACAGCTTGATAAGCCTTTTCTACTTCGATTCTTTTGTTAGACTCGGCGATTACAATGTTTCTTAATTTGGTGACATGCTTTGGCGACGTCTTAGCCAGGGCCTTTTTAACAATACTAGGATTGTCAAGAAATACTTTTTGAACTACTCCATTGATCTCTTCCGGATTTGTTATTTGCCATAGATTTTCACTTTCGATAGCCTGAAACAACAAATAAACAAAAAAATTTTATTATTTATTTATTTTATTATTTTATTTTTTATCAAAATTTTATAAAAAATTTTATTAAAAAATTTCTAAATTAAAATAGCATCACTTTATTACTAAATGTAAAAATTTAAAAATGAATCGTTAACCAAAAATCTAAATCATAATTATTTTCAGGAAAAAAGGGAAGACTAGAGGAAATCGAAAGAAAACAATTACTTCAGGAATAGTAAATTTGAGATTGCCTTTTAGACAATCCTTAATCAACTGAATGGCAATAAGACGAGTGATACGTTCTTCAAAATTCAAATTGATAACTGACGTAAATATCGGAATAAAATTTTTTATCCTGAAAATTAGCGTCAATAGTACACGTAAACGTAAAAAATTTAACAAAATCAAAAATTGGCAAATGCTATTTATCGAAAAAAATGTGCATTTTCCGACTAAACAAATCACGAAAAAAGGAATAAAACCCTATTGTGAAAAAATGTAAAGAACGGACTTATTAGGCGGATATTTCGTAGAGCAATTTTTACATAACACAGCTAATTCATTAAGCCAAGCGATAAAATTTCCGGGCGGTAACTGACAAAGAGGTAGAGCCTCTTCAACAAATTGAGTAAGATCTTCATCAGCCTAAACAGTCAGAAATTAAATGGATTAATTAATGAGCGAAAAAAAATACCATCATAATCAAAATGTCAAAAGGGAAGCCTTTTACCCAAACAATTGTCTTGTTTTGAGTTGAATAAAACGATAAACATATATTTGAAGCATATATTTGAATTTATGTACGAAATTAGAGATTACATGAAGGAAAATAATTACCGCAATACGTAGTGCCGCATCAGGATCCATACCAAAATTTTCAATGTAATGAAGAAACTGTGGCTTCACTATTGAACTACGAGCCTCAGCAATCCATCGCTTGTCCAATTTAACAGCAGGAAGATTTGGCTCAGGCATAAACCGATAATCAGTTTCGATTTCTTTATCACGCATTGGAACTGTATATCTGAAACCTAAAACCAAAATAAACCAGAAAATGCAGGATCGAAAATTTTTAATATAATAATTTCGATCAGATCGTTTAATTTTTAAAATTTTTATTGGCATCTGAAAAAAAAAGAAAAAGACAACAAAATTATAAAAACCCTTTATTATCAACAGCCAACGTTTCGTTAACCACTGTTCCTCCATTTTTGAGAATTGCAAACTGGCGATTTAACTCATTGTTGATAGCAGCATATATCAATTTTAAACTGTTTAAATTTTTTATTTCTGTCCTTACACCTAAATCATTCGAACCTTTTCTGTTCAACGAAACATTTGCATCAACGCGATAATTTCCTTCTAAAATGGTGTCTTTGAAAATTTTTAAATTCATAAAAGTAAAAAATATTGAAATAAAAAGAATTAAAAAAGCAAAAAATGCAGCAATAAACTAAATAAGGAAAACATTTCTAAACTTTAAAAAATAAAAAAAAGTAACTGTGCATTAATCCTTTAGAAATTGAATTTTTCACTAAGAAAATTCGAAGTTGTTCACAGAAACAAAATGCTTCAAGCGCAGAATACAACTCTGGTTCTGTTACTATTTCCAACAGACCGACACCTATAATCAGTGATGAAGAATAGATCAAAGCTGTTGCAAATTTTTAAATAAATAAATGAATGATTTAGATAATTTTAGAGAAAAATTAGGTTCAGACTATAATCAGGAAAGACTTTTAATATACAGGCCAGACTTCTGATCCAGGGTCTAGATGGTGCAAAAACAGCGACTTTAATCATTAAATGCAGGCGAGGTACTGAAAGATAGAAAGAGATTTGAGAACATCTAATCTTATCAATTTGTGGAGCTAGCCAAAGCAGAAATGGCGCATATTACAAAAGAATATAAAGGAGATAATCTGGCTACATGTTAGCTTTATTTTCCTCAAAAACTATCTATAAATATATTTGAAAATTGAAAAACCTGCACGATTAAAATCGATAAGAGACCGATTATTTATTAGATCATGAATTGTTTTACCACTATCAATTTCTAACTGAATCCTAGCAATATTTAGTCGCTTTCGATATGATTGGAAATTCTTAAAAAATTTTTAGATCTTTATTTTTTTTTATTTATTGCGCATAATTACTATAAAAACTTTCATATTATATAAAATTATTCTAAGTTAATTAAAAATATGAGCGAGCATAAATGTGAATAAATATAAGCGTAATAATTATTTCAATTGACCAAAAAATTTAAAATAAGAAAACAGAAAACCACTTGTACAGATGACATTTTACTTTGCTATTTGAGTGGATAAAAAAATCAAAATGCCCGTCGAGAGCAAATGGATTTCTTTGTTGCGTGATTTGGTATCCAGCTGGCATATCTGCATAAAAATAATGTTTTCGTTCAAATCGACTTTGATAAGGAATTTTGCAATTGAGTATGATAGCCGTTTTTATCGCTTGCTAAATTTTTGAAAAGAAATCTTTATGATCTTCATGAAAAAAAAAGCTCATGATTTAAGTATCACACGCGATGGATCAACAGGCAAAAACAATGCTTAGTTTTTAGTTTTTACCTAAAATATTCAAATTATCGCTTTTATAAATAAATACTAAATAGGAACACTATCAATCAAATCCATTATCAGAATTTTAATTTTAACGAACCAAAACTGCACTTTTATTGAGGACAGGCAATGTGCCAGGTGTTGCAAAATCGAAAAGAGCCACAGAAGAGTTCACTCGAGCATCATCTCTACATGAGGAACGCGAAAATATTTTTGAACTGAAAAATATCAAAATATTTTTTAGCCTCTCGTGTTGAGATATATAATGATAATCTAAAAGCAAAAGCAAAGAATTTAAGCAAGGATTTCCGGATAAATTAAAAATATTTAAATTTAAGAAATATAGAACATTTTTCTAGGATTGTACCTAAAAACTCGTTGCCCACCCTAAATAAAAAATTACTGGTAAAAAGAGAGGAAATAACCACTGAACAAAAAAATTAGAAAGAACCTCGACATAATCTGCGCATGGATTTCTAAACCTATTATTGGACGATATTGTGAGGTCTCCATCGCTACACTGACACCATTCTGTGATAAACCGAGAATTTTAGTTCCTTTCATTCCGCTTTTAAATCTAAGAAAAACAATATTAAAAACAGTAACAAATAAGAAAATTCCAAACAACAACCACTTTCATATATGATCGAAAACAAATGATAGCAAAATTAAAGCAATAAAATAAGCCAAAATTTGAAAAATGTATGCAGATTAACAAATTTAAAAACAATTTTATCCAACAAAACATAACAATTGCAAAAGCTGCAAATTAAAAAAAAAAAAAAAAAAAAAAAAACAGGAAATAACCATAAATGAATACATATAGAACCGAGAAAAAAATTTGAAAAATATTATAAGTGAGGAAATTGAAGCTTAAATAATAAGAGCACCATTTTTCAAACTTTTAATATCTATTTCAACCAAAACAAAATGAAGAAGAGCGCTTAAATTTTTAGTCAATCATTTTTTCATTACATTAAACAAATGAAGAAAACAAATAAATAAGGAAAGTGAAAATTATTCAAGCCAGATTTCTAAAAGGATATTCAGATTTCCAGAAAAATGAAAGATTCATGGAACATTGATAATATCCGAGACTGTATCAAGGTTACCATCAGCATTTTTTGCAAGTCGAACAAGCCCTTTATGTACATCCAATAAAACATCTTTTGCTGCACCCTAAAAGAACTGATTGAAAATTTCAAATTTATCAAAAAAAGTATCTTGTAAATTCGCAAAATCAGCGAAAAAACATGAAACAACTTTGATTTCTTTTTAAATTAGATAATTTTACCTCGAGAGTTAATAAATAATCATCAAAAACACTTTGCTTTGAACGCATTTTGAAAACTGCTATAAGAGCCAATTCACATGCTGCTCTCACAGCTGTATTTTTCTCCTTTGTACCATTTATCATCATTGGAACAATTGCCTAAAAGCGTGATTAATTATTTTATTGTCGTAGATAAAAATTTTTATAGATAAAAATTTGCATTCATCACAAACTCCAATTAATTAGCAAGAAATAATTTTTTTCAACTAAAACAATTTGATAAACCTTCATTTCAGCATGTGTAAGATCTTTTAAACCAATATGATTTATAGTCACAGCAACCAATCTTTTCACATCGTTAGATGGATGATTAATAGTACGAACCAACGAAGTTAATAAGACTGCATCGATGGGTTTTATGCTGCAATGAAAATTCGCTAAAATGGTGGAATCGCTGAAATCAAGCAATTTCTTCTTCTAATACAACAACTAAGCGCTTTTACCAAATTATTTGAATTAATTATAATTTCAATTCATTGTAAATAAGCAAACCAAATAAAAGGTATACTTCTGCAAAATTTCAAAAGCTGCACGAACTGCAGCTGAAGCTATAAATGCTTTCTCAAATTGCATTGCAGACACCAGGACTGTACGCAATCTTTCTAAGCCATATATTTCAACAACTTTCTTCGCATCTTGTGAACATATATAATGCAAGGCAACTAACCGCGAATGCCTTAATTTCGTATCTACACTATTTTCAGCACCTAAAAGATAAATTTTCAATGATCAAAGAAAGACGTAAGTTCAAAAACGTAGAAATTCTTTCGAAATTACCTTTTAAGAAATCAGCATTCAATTTGTCCATCCTCATAACTGCTTCGCCATATAACGCAGCAGCTGCTATAATTGTTCCATCATCCATACTATCTTTCATATGTTTTTCAGCGACGTTATATGCTGATTTTAAAATTTCTACTGTTAACTTTTGATGCACCTGATTAATGAGTGAACGCAAGCTGATTAACGTCGACTCCCTAAATTTGACAACGAAAAATTTCAAGTAAAATAGAAATATGAAGAATAACGAGGAATATGAAAAGAATTGAAAATATTGCCATATTTTTTCAAATCGAAGAATTAAACCTTTCATGTAACTGAAAATTTCTATCATTTCTATTATCACTACGCAAAAAAAAGTATATTTGTTCTTCAAAAACACTTACGCGATTGAAATATCTTCAGTTACAGTTAACAATTTAATAAGTTCTAAGACAATTGGTTCCGGCTTTGGATGTATTTTGATTAGTCTAGACAGAGCTCCACCTGAAGATAATCTCACATTCCGTGATGCCGGTTCTTGTAGCGCTTTCAAAAAAGTACTCTGCAGCTGTGGAAGAAAAGGGCGAAGAAGAACATCAACCTTAAATTCAAAAAATTATGAAAGCAACCGTCTTATAACCGTCGTAAATGAGAAAACAATATGTTTAATTTAATATTTAAAATTGTAAACTGTAAATTAAACGTAAAAATGTAAATTGTTAATATAAAATTGTGATTTTTAAAATACAATACGTAATAATTACGCATATTTCAAGATTTTGAAGGGAATACTTTAAAAAAAATATCGATAAGCAGTTAAAAGATCAAAAAAAATAAAAAAAGAAAACGAAAAGAAGCATTGGAATATTTATTGAATGTTTATATGACTAGTTTTGTTTTCTTGCTTGGTTATTTTAAATAAAAAGCAAAACCTTTTCGAAAAGTTCGATAAGAGTGGATAAAATATTTAATTTTATGGCAGGTGGATAGCGATCGCCTAAAACTCGTATTAATGGACCAGTAATATTGACGACATGAGGCTTCAAGGTATCTGATGAGCTCATTTTAACAATATTTCTCAGAACATCACCGGCGATCTCTTTCATTTCAGAAGCTCCAGATAAAAGAACCTCACGCACAATAGGCAATAAAGGTACCAAAGCCTACAATGCACTTTCAAAGTAACGAAAACGAATAACGAAAAAAAATGAACATGAACTAGAATTTGAAAGAATATAAAAAAATTGAAAACCTTTGGGTGCGACATCCCTGGAATTAGATTTGTATCAGCCTGAACCTCAAGAGACGATAATGCAGTTCTCAATGTATTCAATGAATGAACTTGTTGCTTTTGATCAAGATTTTGAGAAAGGCAAATCAATGTTTGAACCGCATTTTCGATAATCTCATTCTTTGGAGAATTGTACAAAAGAAGAGCGCCAGGCAAGATGTCGTCAACGAAGTTATTCAAATCAATCTTAATAAGATGAACTTGAGCTTTTCATTCATTTACGGCTCAAATATCAAGAAGTAATTTTTTAATTCTTAATTTGATTTTATGATTCTGGACCAAAAATAATAATCAAATTTACTTTTGTCTCTTTAACATATAAATATAGCAAAAGTGACGACGGAACATGATTTTTAGAGAAAGCATTCTGCATTAACGTCGAGAGAATTAATGATACGGATTCTTGATCAGACACTGACAAGAGAACTTCTAGGCAACGATCAATATTCTGAAACGGAAATAAATTATGAAGTGCAAATTATGAACAATAGAGAATCATAAAATTATTAAATATAAATTACAAATTAAATTAAATTTGAAAATTACGGATGTATTAACATCAATAATAAGAATTTTTATTCTATATAAATATAAAATAAATAGCAAAATCGGAAAATATAACTTGCCTCTACTTCATCACAAGTTGCAAGAAGTGAATCTAGAATACGACCAATATTACGATTCAACGAGTCACCAGCAACTGAAGCTAATGCACATAGTGCTTTAGCATTAATCGGGGGACGAGTAAGTTTTGGCAAAACATAAGGCAACATTTGTCTAAAAAAATATTGGTGAATATTGAATAAAATATTGAATTAAAAATATAGACGCAAATTATTCTGACCAAAAAAAAAATGAGAAAAGAAAAAAAACCTGCTATTAAGACGCATAATCTGTACGAGGCCATCTAACATATAACCATCATCAGCAGTACCAGAAGCTAAGGCGATCAAAAGAGGTCCTACTACATCGTCAAAAACTGAATGTCCGATATTCTAAAACAAAGATATTTGATAATAACAATCAAAAAAATTTTTTAAAAAAATTAATAAAGGTAATTTCTGGTATACTTGGTAAAATGCACTGAAAGTAGCCGCAGCAGCTTTGCGGACAGCTATTTCACGATCACAAAGTGCTTTCCTGATAGGTCCAAGCAATTGTACTGAATACACAGCCATAATATCTTTCGTAGTATTCTCAATAATTTCACGAAGAGCAATCGCAACTCCTTGTCGTTGTTCAACTGATGGCAATTCAAGACCTAATTCTAGAACTGGCAATACATCGATGATGATCCGTTCACCCATTTTTTTAACGAGCTCACCAAGACATCTAGCGCCCATTTGCTGTTGATCCTCGGAATTGCTTGCTAAGCATGCAAGTAACATTTCAAATAAAGTTTTTAGTATTTCCTTTAGAGTGCGAGGCGTATTGGCAACTACGACCTGAAATTATAAAAATGACGCTACAACTTAATGAAAACTGATGAAAATAGCAAAAATTTCCAAAAAAAATTGATTTTTTGGTTAAAAATATTAGCAAAACTCACTTTCCATACATGGCTAGCCGCTTGCCTAACCTGTAGTGCAACATCGGAACGAGAGAGATAAATACCTGCCAGTATTTGATCTCTGAAATCAAAAAAGAACAAATAAGAACAAATATTTCAATTTTTTAATAAAAGGTCAAGAGCAAATTTTCTTGCATTTTTAATTTCTCTACGAAAGGCATGTAGCACTATTACGCAGGAACTTCTATGTTAAAAAAAGTAAAGAAGCCTGCCTGCATATTTGACCCAATTGGCGGATTATAATCCTTCCGACATTCTCTATTCCCATCGTATCATCCTCGCTTGATGTCGCCGATGTCATTTTTCCACTAATACCTGGAAAAAAAAATCACAATATAATTATGATTATAAATTATGAAACAAGAATAGAACGATCTCAAAACAATCGAATACAAAAAATAATTTACCAAGAAATCAAATTTATTAAGAGTATTTATTAAAAGTTTAAAGGTATTTTCTTATATTCAATACTAAAAGCCAAAAGCAATAAGCTTTCCAAACCAAAAAGTATTTTGGAATAAAATCAAGAAAACCGATGTGATTTTAGAAAATACAAAAAGATAACCAGAAATATTGAAAAGAAAATCGCCAATCAATGAAACGGACGCAAATCGAATTCGCCAATTATCATCGAATAAAGCAGATTGAAGTTCGGGCAAAAACAAACGGCGGGCATATGAACAGTACATTGTTATAAGTCGTTGACCTGCTTTGAGGGCACTTTCACGAACATATTCATTTTCGTCAGCTAAAGCTTTCAAGACACTCGGTATCACCTAGAAAAAATATAAATACAAAATCAAAATGATAAAAACCGACAAGTAAATAAAAGCATAGAGATATATTTCTATTATTGTGATTATAATTTTAATTCACTTACCTTAGGAAGATAATCAACGAATTCTTTTTCGAAAACCATCGGCAGATAGATATACAAAAGTATATATCCATCACGAACTTCTGGAGTTGTAGACGTAGATTCTGTTATATCAATTATTTCTGGCATAATTAATCTAAGCTGACCATCGCCGCGTGCTTTCATCACCTGATAAAAATATCATAAAGTTTTCAAAAGGGAAAGGAATTTTTCTATAGAAAAGTGAAAAACCTCTGCGAAGCCTTGTGCAGCTCCAGAACGATCTACAGAACTCGTTCGAGAAGTAAGCTTTTCTTTAAGCCAAGGTAAAATTTCATCATTCAGGCGTTCGGCTATACTACCACTTGAACAAGCAACGATTGCTCCAAACGCCTTGGCCGCTACTGTACGAATTTCCGGTACTGGATCAAGCAACGATTCCTGGAGTCCAGGGACAAGATCGCACAAATAGGGTTCAATATCCTGTGATATATTAGTTATAAAGCTTTAATATATAGGGAATCAATGGTACCTTAATGACACTTCTACCTTAAAGATATTATATTATAACCTAGGAAAATGAAAGTTCATCTCTTAACAACATCCAAAAATATATTTCCTGTAATGTAACTATGATCTTTTGAAATGAAAAATTTCATAAACTTACCTTGCTGTCAGTAAGCGAATAAATATTAGCAATAATTTGTGCAGCCATACGTCGCGTCTCGGCATTTCTATCAGAAAACGCTCTTCGTACAATAGGCATTATTAAAGCTAATGAGGCAGCATCCATATAATGGATGAATTTCGTGTTAATTATTGTTTGCAGGCAAGACGTTGTTTTACTTGCAGGATCGATCAATCCCGATAATAAATGCCCACTTATACCTTTAAAAAAAAATTGACAATTTTCAGAAGATTCATATTTTTTCTGTTTAAAATTTTGCTTAAATTTCCTGAATTTTCCTAAATTTCAATAAATCCAAAAATAAGAAAGAATGTCAAGAGAATAAGAAAATAAGAAGAGAAAAAAAGAAAAAAAATGTGTTAATATTTGAAGTAACAACAATTCAAAAAAAAACCCAAACTTTGGAATGCAAAAACTGGAAAAAATAAAGAAATTAAGAAATTATTACTAAGAATTTCGGGATTCCGAATTACATTTGCAATTTGTTTCAAGGCTTTCTCGCCTGATTTTTGAACTCTCGAATGAGAATCGGTAAGGACTTCAAGAAGTTTGGGTACAATACTCGGAAGACAGGCAGATAGCTGTTTCGGAGCACAGAATGACATTGCACCTAACAATTCGACAGAAGCACATTTTGTTCGCCATGAATCCGTATCCAGAGCAATCAAAAGAGATGGTAATATCTGCAAAAAAAATGAGGAAAATTTCCAAATCAAATTGAAAATCTGACAATAATTTTAAATATCATCCAATACTTCTGGTCATCCTGTGATAGATTGCCGTATTCCTGAATCAAATTGAAAATTCGAAAACAATTCTTCTTGCAAGTATCCAGTATTTGCGTTACCTAGGTTCCTAGAATTACTAACACGGCGAATTAATGCAAAAACAAACCAATTTCACTCCGTGTGCAGAAAGCATAGCCATCATTTCGCGTGCTGCATCGTGCGCTGCATGACGCACATTCTCTTCATTATCACCGAAGCAAATAAGCAACGCAGGAACAATGTGAACAATGTAAGGTTCAAATAATTTTCCAAGAGTTCTATAAAATTAAAAAATAGAATAAATTCAATATTTTAAATAACCACATAGATTGAAAAAAATTTTTTACCCGCATAATATCTCTAAAGCTAATAATGCACCCTCTCGATGTTTCGCACATTTTTTATAGTCCAAATAGGCTTGCAATTTTTTCATTAAATCAAGTTCACGAAGTGAAGACATTCCCAAACCCTACAAGATGAGAATGTTAAAGGAAAATATAAAAAAGGACTAAAAACGATAAGAAAAAAATTAAAGAATATAAAATAAAACTTTCTATCAATAAGAATTTTTATGATATGAATGTGTTCATTTGGAACAATGTACGATAAAAACCACAAAAAAACTCAGTTGACAAATTTACACTTATAAAAAAATAGGTGGACTGCCAGTATCGCTATTGGTTTTTCAAAGATCTATTTTTTTATAGGAAAGAAAATTCCACTATTGACGCTTTGGAATGACGGCTATCTGAACCCGCATCATTCTATCCCAGAATGATCAGAAAAAATCAGTGTAAATAAAAATGGTGAATTGTGGATAGGAATGGTGATGAATGTATAAATAATGTATATGAGAATTATACGAAAAAATTGAAGAAAAAAGAACTGATTAAAATGAGGAAAATAAATTTGATTCCTCAAACATAAGAAATCTTACTTTAATTAAACCAGCAACTCCATAAGCTGCCCCACGTCTTTCGCCATACGTATCTGCATCGACTAGCAAAGAAAGTAATGTTAATGCCAATTGTTTTGCGTCTTCCTTTATTGCTGGAACCAAAGGTGGAAGACATTTTGAAACGGATTCTTGAACCTTTAATTTTCAAAATTGTGGTCAAAATTTTTTTTTTAAATTTTAAATCAAAACAGATTAAACAGCAAAATACTTACTTGCTGGGATGGTGTTGACAATGTTTCTATTAGACGACCAGTAATCATACGAACTTTGCCATCGTTTTGATCGATATATTGCGCTAATGTGCCTAATAAAATGACCAGGCCTTGCCTCAAATTATCATGCGTTTTCTCCTTCGAAAGTGAATCCAACATCTTTTCGAAAAAGGGCAAAAGTTCGCTCATTTTTGATCGGCCATGCTAAATATTTTCAAATGAATTTTCGAAAATTGCTTAAAAGAGGCAAACTTTTTAAGAGGGCATGCAGTCAAAAAAATGAAGAATAAAACTTTGCATAATTTTCTCAGTCAAGTTATGCATTGCTTAAAAAAACTGTTCAGAAACTCAACTAAAACCGCCAAAGGAAACACATATATAGTTACAAAGCCTTATCGAAAAATGTGGACCAGAAATTACAAAAATTGGGATGGATTTGGAATATCACGAATCAACACAAATATTAGGAAGGAACCCAAGAAATAAAAGAAAGTAAAGAGCTAATATGAAAATTGAAAATGACCGATTTTATGAAACTAACATTTTAAAACTAACATTTTTTACAGTTTCAACTGCAGCATTACGCATAATTTCACGGCACTGCTCGTTTCGATCATCGAGACCTTTTGGCACAATAACTTTAATAAAAAGCATAACACAAGACTCAGCTAGATGACCAGAAAGAGCCAACAAAGATTCAGCGACACCCAACCGTTTCTTCCATGGATCAATTGCTTCTTTGATCATACGACCAACTTCATCTATTACTGCTCCACATGGCTGCAATATATCGAAATAGGCAAATAAAAATTACCATTAAACTTATTACAAAAAACATAAAGTTATGAAAGTAAGGACTTTTAAAAAAAACCTCCTTCCATTTCATATAAAGCTCATCCAGCTTTCTGATAGAAGTCTCAAGTTGTTCAGGAAACTTGATAATTAACATTTGCAGGGCACGTGAGGTTGATATCCTCATAAATTGTTCATCAGATACAATTTCTTCTAATACTTCACCGCACATATCTCTTAAATATTAAAACTAAAAAAGAAAAAAGAACCAGAGATACAAGCTATAAGGACTAAAAATTTATAAAATTTTTACAAAGATATGAAAAAATTTCCAGTAAATAATAATGAATAATAAAATATCACCTGTTAATAACTATTTTTGCATCATTCCATATTCTCTTTGCTAATTTTGAGCAAAATTCATTTTCATCGTATTGTGCAACAAAAATTCGACGATTGAAAAGTTTCACAAATTCATGATAAATATCAGAGGTTAACGAAAAGCGATAAATTCGAAGACATACACTAAGTGCCTAAAAAATAATTTGTTAAAATCGATAAATCGATATTTCGGAAAATTTCTAAAATAGTAATATAATGTAGAAAAAAAACATACACGAAGAACATTTTCTCTGAAATTTTCATCATCAACAATGAGCCTCTGCAACATTTCTTGGACAACAGCTAAAATTTTCGCATCTTTTGAAGTACACCCATCCAGAAGTTCAAAGAAAGTGATCAAAGTTGACAGTGCAAATTGACTTAATTCAGAAGGTGCTGCATGCAAGACGAAAAGCAAGAGATCGCATAAATTACTCAAAGGCAATAAACTTATTTCGTAATCCTGTAAATATATACCGACAAATAAAAAAAAACGACAATCGTATCAACTAAAGTTTTCAAAAATTTTTTATATTATTTGCAATTAACTTTTTAAACCTTTATAAATCTGCTATTGAGTGCTGTGGTCAAAAATTGGATACAATTTGAACGTAATACATATGGCATTCCCTCATGCCTTATTATAGCATCTATTAGAGGAAATACATAGCATAATTTAGCAATAGTGATGGTTTCTTCTTCAAGTTCTAATTGTCCTTCTAACTGTTCATTTGCAACAGCAGATTCTTCATCTCTCAACAATACAACTGGGTTAACCATACAACGAGCTGAAATATCATATTTATTGAAGATTAGAAAGGAATAATTCATCTTGAACTGAAAAAATTAACGAAATAATTTTTATTAATACCCCCAATATCTTTTAAAATTACCCGAGAGTAGACCGATGGTTCTTTCTAATTGTTTAACAAGAGGCTCTTGACTCCATGCCTTATCACAATATAGCGAATCAAAAATTCGCACTGATCCATATAATACAAGTTCATCTAAAAAAAAAAGAGTTCAACTTGATAAAATTCATTTATTCGATTTCAGTAAAAAAAAAAAGCAAGATACAAGCAAGACATATCTGATAAAGAACCAAAAAATAAGTAAAATTTTCGAAAAAAATACATACGAAGCAGATCCTCTGAAGGTTCAAATGTTGCATCACGAAAGGCACGGAAAGCCTCAAATGCTAACTGCGCAACAAGATGAGATTTTAGCAATGGTATGATTACTGAATATAGCAAAGAAGTATGCATCACTGAGATGGACGGATTACCTCGAATAGCAGCATTAAGAATGAGAAAATGTTCTTCACAAAGCGTATACAAGGACTTTAATTCGTTACGGATATTCTGTAGTTACAATTAGTGTAAAACCAAAAATAATCAAGCAGACAAAAATTTTAAAGAATTAAATAAGAGTAAACATCTGAGAAAAAAAGTTGCAGGGAAAATGACGATTTTCAGACTTCCAAATAAATTATAAAGACTAAGCTGAATATCAAATTGTAAATATCTCTAAAATTACAAACATGTTCAAGTTGAAGTTCAGCTTCCACTGCTTTTTTCTGTCGTTCTGTTAATTTTCCTTCTTTTCGTCGTTTTTCAGCCAGTTCCTTTCTAATTTGCACATCCAGAATTTGTTCTTTAAATTTATACGCCTAAATAGCTTGAAACTATTCTATGAAGGACTATTATAGAAATGTTTTAAGGAAAAATTAAGCTTTTCAAGTTTCTTCAACGATAAAATAACCTTTAAAAGTAAAAAAAACCACAATTAATATTTAATAGTGCAAAATATTTTCAAAATATCGTGTATATTTTTCTAACAGTGCAATGATACTATAAGAGTAAAACATTTAACCTTATTTTCACGTTTAACATTTTTTGTATCATTAGTTTCATCGCTATTTTGTTCGATTACTTCCGTGTTATACAGAACTCCATCTTTCGTTTTGAATATACCGATATCTTTTTCAGTGATAGATGTCAATCTGAAATGATAGTCAGAATCAGGTCAAAAAAGCACAAAAACCCAAGAAAATTTGTCAAATAAATAATTATAACAAAAAAAAAGAAAAGAAAATACATTACCGATCAATGTCCAATTTTGAGAAAATATTTTCACACTGATTCCAAACAGCATTTTGAAATGAGATTGTACTACCGACGGAAATCATCGTCTTTATAGCATATTCACGTACGCGTGCATCCGCACAAATGAAAACACTTTCAACCATAGAAGAAACCAAGTCCTCATTTAGAATCTCAGATAAATTCTTTATAATTGAAAGCCAATTTGACCACAATGAACCATTTTCTTCAACTAAAAACATCGTAAGATAGGCTAAGCTAAATATAATTTTAATATTTAATAATTAGCATGAAAAGAAAAGTACATAATATTACAAAGACACTGAAAATAAAATCAAATAGCTCTTTTCTAACTGCAAAACTACCTGAAGAAATTTTTCATGCTAATTAAATTATAATTATTAAATATTAACAATTGCCGATGAATTCAGATAAAAACATACCAATTCTTGGTAATGATGAAATAAGTAATCCAGAAACAAGTAAACTATTTATGGAGTCCGGAACCAGTAGTGAAGCATCGAATTCAGAGAATAAAGAAATCAAAACGGGGAATATAATTTTATAGCCCACATATAGATTTGTATCATCATTCCTCACAACATGGTGAGCTATTTTATGAAAAATCTGGAAATACTTAAGTAGCATAGTACTAACAATTTTTAAGAAAAATAAGACCAAAAGAATCGAATTATCTGATTACTTATAACTGCGTAAAAATATAGTTAAACAAATATAGCTATAAAAGAATGAAAAAACTGTCAAGAAAAGAAATTCGAAAGCCATAAGCAGATTTCAGAAGCTGAGCCAATTAAATCAATATTTTGTTACCATTAGTAATAATACCTAAATATTGATAAGAAAAAATTTTAAAGCAGCTATACTTGATCAGCAATCCCAGAGCTTAAATAATCGTACATTGTGCCAAGAAATATTTTGCAGAATTCTATACCATACCAGGAGATTACTTTTCCCAATGTAAGATTTGCAATCTTTCGCACGTGAAAAGTGGGCCAAAATAGAGTAAAAAGAAGTGATTTCAGTAAAATCTGAATTAAAATTAAAAATAAGATCAAACTTTCAGAATGTAAGAAAATTTTTAAATAAAAATAGTAAGGCGACAACTTATGAGAATAATTTTAAGAATAATTTTAATAATTTTAATAACGACTAAACTCACTTCTCGCTTATCATTAATCGAAAAATCACGAAGAAGCATTTCACATAACTGCACTAACAAAATAGCATCTGTAAAAATCAAATAATGAATAATAATAAATTCGCTGAATTTCCTTGTAAGAAATTTTCTGAATCTGCAAAAAGCATTAACAAAGCATAAAAAATTAAGAATTAATAAAAATTAAAAAAATTAAAAAAAATTAAGGAAAAACAATCTTATAAATGAATAACTTACCAGATTCAGTTATAGAACTGATAAATTTTTCTCGAGAGAGAAAATCATCATCAATCATTAACTGGCGTGAGCCATTTACGGGATTATGCTGTGAAAATTTGTTAAGAATGATCAAGCTGCATAAATAATCAGTTACATTTGAGTGCGTCTTACGAATTTCCTCGATGGCACTGATTAAATCATTATCAATATTTTCCAGACCACCTACATATTGATTGAAAAATCCATGTATTTTAAAAATGAAGCGAAATATAAGGTAAATCATAAGGTAAATGAAAGGCCGGAAGATCAAATGAAAGTAACTTACATTTATTAAGGACAAAAACCATCGTTTTTAGCGCATATGACCGTAAAATATTTGATTTTATGGATTGCTAAAAATGAATGTTTAAACTATATTTTCCAATGGCATAGGAAATATATATAAATAGCCAAGAATTATATTGAAAAAAATAGGAACCTTAAATAAGCCAATCAGCTGCGCAGAAATTACGTTCATTCTTTTGCTCCATTCACAAATTGTTTCCCACATTAAAGCACAAGTTCCGTCATGCACTAAAATTAAATCTTATTGTCGCGAAATACGATATCTTTTCTGAAATTATTATTTTAAACTGGTGACCTCGAGCCGCCAGAAGAAAACTTTCATTGATTTAATTGATTTTTTATTTATCCCATCTTATATGTCAATAAAAGAATAAGATAAATTTATAGTATATATTGTTTTTTTCAAGAAAATCGTTCTTCTTCCCTTATTGTTCAAAGGACCTGCTTGTGTCCCAATATCTGTATATTCAATCATTTTTTATTATTTTATCCTTTATCCTTTTATTCATTTCATTTGTTCTTGCCTTTATTCTCTTTGATTTAATCGAATTTTTTTTTTCTATTCGAATATTAATGCGATTTAATTACCCAAGTTTGAGGTTGGAGTGAAGAATAAAATATTTATAAATAAGTGCGGTGATCAATACAATTTAATATTACTGTCCAGAACAAGGTTTTTTAAAATATTAAATCGTGGCACGCGAGTATCATCCCAATGCTTTCAAACATTAATAACCTATTTTTTAACACCTATAGTAACGCTATCCATTCATAATCCATTTATCGTTTACTGTGATTTTCTGCGATCTCATCCAAATCATAAATCAAATTCTTCCAAAATTTTTGTGCTTTTGTGTTTTTGTTTGCAAGAAACTGGACTAAATAGCCATCTAAATATGAAAATTAGAAAAAAATTGCAAAATTTATCATGGAACCTTCAGCAGAAAGAAGTGGGATAAGAAAGGTAAAAACTTCATGACGAAGTTCATCACAGATCGTTGTTCCATAGAATTCATGGTTGCTTATGTTTCTTAATACTCGTATTACATCCATTCTTTGACTGGCTGTGGAGATTTTACCATCGGATCCTAAAAAATGATCAATGAGATAGAAAACAGAACAAATGAATAAAAAACCAACAAATAAAAATAAACAAGAGTTCATTCCATGATATGGTTTTTAGGCGCAAAAAAAAGAAAAGTTAAGCGATTTTTTTGAATTTGAATGAATAGTTATAGAGATTTAAAGATTTATGAAGAATTTGAGTAGTCAAGAAAGTAGTTGAGTTGAGTAAGAATTTGAGTTGAGTAATTTGAGTAGCCAGTATATATAAACAATAAAAAAATATATACCTTGTAAGGTATTAAACAACATTTTGATTATGCTTGATAGGACTGAACTATCAGATATATGCGAAGTAATTGCACTGAATGTTGAAACAGTGCATTCTCGTATATCATTATTTGTCGAAATCAATGCAACTATTTAGAAAAACTTTATAAGGTGAAAAACAATGTTGGTTTAATTTTATAAAGAGTCTATTAATTAGATTTAATGAATTTTTACCTAGCGATACTTCAAAAATCTACAATTAAAATATAAAAAAATCAATAAAATAAAAAAATTTACCAACTATAATTTTATAGACTTCAATAGCAAAAGGAGTAAAATCGATGCGAATGTAATGGAACAATCGCTCCAAACCTGGAACATTCGCATTTAATCACAAATTTTTATACAGATTGCATCTGCTATTTAATTTGTCAATGTCCAGAAAAAAAATCATTTATTTCTTCAAAAATTTATCCAAAAATTGGCCATATCAAAATTCTTCCTACTGCTCATCAAACAGCGTCTATTCCTAAATCCATTTATTCCTCTCTATCCCCACTTCGAAATATTCTAACCCATTATAAGGGCCTTTAAAGAAATATTACGAATTTAGCTCATCCAAAAAAAAAGTTATTTTACTAAATAATTAAAAGCAAAAAAATAATAATTAAACAAAATGAAAAAAAATTAACATACTCCATATAGCGACTTCTGGACTGCGAAGCATTGCCTTCTTAGCTGATGGCAAAATTTCATTTTCGAACTGAGCGGTTGTTATACTTTCGAACAATGGACAGCATGCATTCTGAAGTTAAAATAGACTAATATCTGAAAAACATGATAATGATGTAATTAAGATCAATAGAAATCAAATGCATAAAATTGATACCATAACGAATTTCGAAGGTCGTTGCTTTCCCATTAGCATATTTTTTATAAAAATTTGCACGAAAATCGTGTTGTAATCATTATCATTTTCGTGAAGTTCAGCTAACAAAACCAAAATTTTTTCAAAATCAGACGGGGTTTCACTGAGATATGCAGAACATATTTTCGAGATTTCATCAATCGAAGCAATATTCAATGTTTTGACGAGTTTTGCAAAAGAGTTTTGCGATTTTTTTGAATTTGAACTATAGAATGCCAATGAAGATAGGCAGATGAGCTAAAATATGCTAAATATAAATATAATAAAATATTTTCAAAAAAATTAAGATAAAAAGTGACATGATAAAGGATCGAAAAAAACATTGCTAAAAAATATGAATAGGCTACATGAAAGTGTAATAATTTATGAAAAAATGAATTGAACGGATTTATTAACGGATTATTGGAGAAGAATGCAAAATTACTTTATCAACTCGAAGGAAATAAAAGAAATTTAAGGGACCAATAATAGCAAAAAAATTAAGAATGGACTATTAACAAGCAAACAAATAAGATACATTTAGAAAAGATTTATCATACTAAAAACTAACAAATGATAGCAAAACATCCTTCCGACATTTTTCATTTTCTAATCGTTTTTGGAAATTTATGAGCCATTTCGCAGCGATAACAGATAAATGAACACTTCGTTTCCTGTAATAAAAGTTGCGATAAGTCGATGAAATTAATAATATAGTATAATCTAAAAATATGATAGAAATAAAAAAGAAATAAAGAATGAGTAAATTCAGTTGAATTTTATTCCTTCCTTTGAATTACTAATGAAAATAAATATTAAATAAGTAAATAAATATTAAAAAAATAAATAAATAATAAAATAAAAAATAAATAATGAAAAATGAATGATAAAGAATGATAAAGATAAGATAAATGAATGATAAATAAATAAATAAAAAAGCAAACATACGAAATGGATGAATTAGGAAAGAAAAAAACACAGATAAATGTTTCCATAAGGCATTTCATCGTCCATAACATTTTTTTTTTAAAAAGCGCTTCTAATAATTTGAAAGTATTATTAAAAGATTGCTTCTGATTGAACCGGTTAAAACAATTTATTACCGAAGTTCGTACCAACCCCTTGACAACTGTATCAGGTAATTCTAAAAAAAATCACGATGGTACTATCAAAAGATTTGTTGGGAAAAATAAAAAAAAAGAGTCGAAAGAGTTCATCTAATATCAGAAATTTAAGTACATATGAAAAGGAATAAATATGAACTGAGTATGAATTTCTCTAAACATTATTTAGCCAATTTTAGTGGTTATTATGGAATTTACTAAGAGTCTACTGGAGTCTCCGCACCTAGTTTCGTTTTGAATGGTACCCAGAGAGAGAGACGAGCAAAAGATTCCATGAATCTGAACCATTTTTAATCGATTTACTCCTAGATAACTGAACCAATCCAAAGGAATAAACGATTCGACGACTCAATTGCTCCCCTCTATTTTATGCTTTTATTTCTGCTTTAATTTAATTCTATTTTATTTTGTATTTTAAACCAAAAAGTTTATCAAATAATGCAGTTTTTTTTTGGAAAGGTTTTAACCATTTTTATCTCATTGTTCTGTCTCGTTAAACTTTGACCAGATAAATTTTGCCACTTAGCAATAGAATTACAGGTGGGTGGAAGGTATCATCGGATCTACTAAAAGACATATTTAATCCTAACGAAAATCCAAAAATCCAAGTATTGCTTCTTTAAAAGAAATCATTCAGTCACTTCAGCAACCTTAAATAATTTAATTCATAAGGCTAAAAAGCAAAACGAATCACCTTCTTGCCTTTCAATATTTGCAATTAGCGAAGATATTATCATATTTTGACGAGTAACACTCGTATCGCTTGCATTTTGAGCGTATTTAACAATAATCTCGCGAAATGCCTAAAAATTAAACATTTATCAAGTATTAATTCTCAAAACTAATATAAATGGAAAAAAATATAGAAAAAAAATAACCTGTTGATGCTGTTCGACTACTACTGTTTCACTCTCCATCATTGAAGAATCATGCGAAATTTGCTAAGAAGAAATAGGTCTGAAAAAAAAATAGTACTCGGAAGTTTAAAGTAAATGTGAAATAAGCAATCCATGGAATGATAGATTCTTTTTGAACGATAAATCCTTTTGATCTTTTTCAACTTAATTCGGCGAGAAATTAACCAAAAAATTACAAAATTATGAAATAAAATGCGAATTTTAGTACAGCGTATTAAATATAAAGGAAAATATACAATAAATAAACGCTGGACCAGATAAATTTGCAGAAAAAAAGCCAATATAACCTGGATTTTTGAAAAAAAAATTTATTTCTACTGGGAATAGAACCGAGCATCGTTGTTTCGAAATGAGAACAACAGCCCACTGAGCCATTTCAGCCAGTTCATCCCGACTTTAATCGATGAAAATGATTAATGATTAACAATTTGCGACAATTCAAAAAAAAAGGAGGATGTTCACAAAACTTACATACTTACATGAACTTTGACCCGAGGTCGGCAAAATTAAAAAATTCGACAATCAGAAAAAAGCAAATGTAGCAGCAATGTCATCTACACCTCCACTACACCTGACCTTTCACCTCTAAGACAAGAAGAAAGTTAAAACTGTACCACCTTTACTTTAGAACAGACCTTCAGCCCTTTGGAAGCTGAGAAATAGTAATAGATGCAGCCATTTTAGATATTCCACGGCCAGATAAGCGGTCATCGACAAATGAGCGGTCGTAAGTAAGCGGTTAATACCTTATTTCTAGTCCTAAGAAATGTGTGTCTTGGTAAGGTTTTTTCATGAAATAAATATGGTTGATTAAATAAATCAATAAAATATGATCGATTATAGGAAATATCGTAGAAATTCGAAAGCAATAGTTTCGCATATAGGACAATAGTTTTCACGGAAGATTAGTGCATTCTAACGATCATTGAAGAAGCCCTAATTTTTCCGTATCTCTTTAATATTTTAAAGTTTAAAAATTCCAGAATGTTTATAGACTAAATTTTTTTCTATTTTTACTTATGTCACTTGGCCACTAATGCAATCCAAAATCTTTCATTAATCAACATCTCTATTCAGATTTTATTGAATTCTCTTCGCTTTTAACGCTATCCGTTTCATGATTTTTTCACGTATTAAGATTTGTACTAATTTCTATGAACGACGAAGAAATAAAAACGACGAAATCTTCCTATGAAAAATTTTTTTACAGAAACGATGAAAAGATCCAAAATTTGCTTGGAACTTTTGGAATTTTTCTTTTTTCTTAATCAAAATAAACTTATTAGTTCTTCGACAAATGAGCGGTTAAGAAATAGAATTCGACTAAATACTAGTATTTCTCTTTCTAAATGGTTCCATAGCAAGAAGGCTAAATGTATGGCAAACATTCGTGTAACCTGCTATGTATTTATTTTCCAGTTCGCTTATAGCAAATTTTACTAATAAGGCTCGAATTTAAATACGAACTTGAATGGTGTTCGTAATGGCGTGAAAGCTTTAGAGAGAGAGTTAAAATTTAGATTCATTCACAAATAGTTAAATTAGCGAATGTGGATCAGTCGCCTTTGTATTGTTCTATTCGTAGTTGCATGGAATATCAGAATTCTTATGGTTACTGGGAATCAAGGCAAATTTTTTTATCCACACAGGAATAATCGCTTGATTGTCGGAGATTTTCGCTTCATCGTTCCCAGGTCTCGAATAGTTACTGTAGCTATAGTTCAGAAATATTGGTTATATTACTGTATAATTTCAAATAACCCGGGGTTTCGAATAAATGATATAGGTATTTTCATATCTTAAAGGAAAGGACTCTATCGATCAGCTCGGTTGGTTGATGGTGAGTTGACAATACGGGCGGTCTATTCTCGCTTTAAAGGGAATTATTCTTCATAACTCTTGACGCTTCGTGGTCTTTTACAAATAATTTCTTAGTCTATGTCCATGTGTATGGGTGGTACCATTCTATTATTGGAATTCTTATAAATATTCGTTATTTTTTTCAATAAGGCTGATTTTAACTTAAATTTTTAAGCAGTGATGACAAAGACGAAGATTTTTATAAATTCATCATTGGTTAAGTGATATTTTATTATCATCACCATTATCATAATATATTGGATAAATATTCACGTTGCTTAAATGCGATATTAATACTTCAAAAGATTTAATTTGTGATAAACTTAAAAATAGGCGATTTTGTATTCGAGAAATTTTTTTTATCCCACATTGCCTAAAATTGTTTAAAAAAATTTCTTTTTTATTCTAAGAATTTATGAGTAGAATGGTTTAGTAGGCTTAGTGTTCCACTGTGATGTCGAGGTGCATTCTTGGCAGAAGTAAATTTCAAAATCCTGGTGGTGCTGGCGTCCTATTTATACTTTTCTGTCAACAAGTGATTTCTTAGCAAAATCCATCTGCTCCGATAAGTCAACGAAATAAGTTAAATATAATAAAATAAAACCCTAACGAGAATCCTGGTTGGGGCTCTTAGGAATAAATAATTAAAAAATTCTTATTTTATCTATTAATAAAATATATAACATTAATGAAATTTTACATTACATATTTATATTTGAACTTAGCTTTTCACTTTCAAATTTTATTTCCACAATTATTTTATCGTATTTAGCAGATTTTAAGAATCATTTACAAACAGGTTTACTTTGTTTTTTTTTTTGTTGTACAACATTTATCAGTATTAATCAAAATTTTCATACAATTTTGAAATGAGCACTTTTGCAACACAGCACGGAAATGGTACCAATAAGTAATAAGTAATAGTAAGGAAAAATCGAAATGATTACAGCAAATTTTTATAATACAAAAAATTTGTAACTAAGAAATTTTTTAAAATTATTTGAAAAAAATTTTTTCTAACTTCTTAATTGCAGATTGAAACGGAAATGCATAGAAGATTTGTGAATCTCGCTTGAATTTTTTCATATATAATTATTCATTATAAATATGGTACCAACTATTCGATTACCACTAAATTAATCGATTTATATATATCGATTTATATAATATTTATATAAATAATATTTATTGTTAAATATTTTAAAATGTTTTTTATTTTATTTCTTTAATATTTTATAATATTCTTTTATTTATATTATTATAATATTATTAATAAAATATAATATTATTATATTTATAATATTCTTAAATATTTTATTTCTTTGAATATTTTTATAAAATATTTTATAAAATATTCTATAAAATATTTTTATTCCTTTGGCTATAATTTAAAATGTCCAAATATCTTGATAAATTCCATTCTTATCGAACTATTTTATTTTTCTAAAATATTTATTATTGCATTAAAAGCTTTAAGCCTTTTTTTTTATTCCATGAAAAACTCTCGTCTATTCTCAACTTAACCGACTTATGAGACCAGAAAAAAAAAAAAAAAATAAGAAACTATAGTTGAATAGTTAATGTCAGAATTGCTCTGGATTTTTAAAAGACGAATTTATTCCAACGAGGGAACTCTAACATTAACGCTTCGGAATAATCCGATCCGTTTTCAGTTGAATTTATAGTGGAATTTTAATTAATTGTGAGCTGAGCAGTGAATTCGATAAATTCTTAAGTATACTTGATTAATTAATCGAACACTTCAATAGATATTTTTTATTTTCATGTTCTATTTTTCAGCGAATAGCAACATTTTTTTTTTTTTTTTTTAAATGACAATTTTATATATTTCACAATGATAAATTAATTTGTTATATGACAATTTCATGTTTTTTTTTTTTCATGCATTTGTTTGAACGAATTTTTGTAAAAAATAATGTGAATTTTTCGAGAACAAATTATCTTTAAACGAATAAGTTTATTTGATCTTCGAAATTTCTTGCCATATTTATATTTAAATATTACCCAATGCTTTCACTTAAAATCACTTATAAATGAAATAAATTTTTAAAAAAATAATATAAATAAATAATATATGCATTATTTAAATAAATATTATGTAAAAATATAAAATAAAATATAATAAATATAATAAAATATAAATATGGATTTTTAAAAAATAATATAATATTCTTTATTCTTCTTGATTAGTTTATTCGATCTTAGCGCTTTCTACCAGTGTGACAAAATGAAGACCAAATACGAATCGAGAATAGCTCAAGCTCAAATCCGGTCGATGCATTAATACTTTCTCGATCGGCATTATCGTCGAACAGCGAAAGCGAAAGAGATAGAATGGTTGATTGAGCATGATTATTGCCTCATTTCGACACGATGACTCTGATTCCTCATTTAGAAGAGCGAAAATTTATATTTCAAAAATTTAAATTTGATCCTGATGATCAAAAAAAAAAAAAAAAATTTGTTTTTTTGCTAAAATTGCAAAATTATTTAAAATTAAAAATTTAAAATTATTTAAAATTATAAAACTTTTCCTCATTAATTTTCTTGAAAAATTTATAAATTTATTATTAAATTTCTAAAAAAATTATTTATAATAATATTTAGTGTTACGAAAATAGATATTTGATAATTCAATAATAAAAATTAAAAATTTTTAATGTTGCGAAAACCTTCAAATAACAAGAAAAAAAAAACAAATGCAATGCTTTATAAAAGTAATTATGAAAGATCATCGAAGGATTATTCTATGGATTCATTTCTTTTTTCAAGTCATCATTTGTGATTAGACTCATTCCACTATTTCCTTATCAGATCAGACGAATTTTGTTAGCGAATCGCTTAGAATGACGATAGAAGGCATTTTATTTCTTATCATTATTATTAATCCTATTGGCACTTTTAGAATCAAATGAGAAATAACTCATAATAATAAAAATAATAATAAGAAATAAGAAAAATAATTAATTAATAATAATAATGATAATATTAATAATAATAAATAATATAATAATAATAAATAAATGATAATAATAATAATAAATAATAATAATGAGAAATCATAATCGTTTGGCATTCCAAATAATTTCTCACTTAAAAACGATTTCGAAATTTTAGTTTTAATTTTTTTAATTTTATTATAGTTTCAATAATTCATGAATTTACAATCATACAATAAATAAATAAATAAATAAATAATCTATTAGGAGGGAATAAAAAATAAAGGAAAAGAAAAGGGATTGTGTAAAAAATTTTCCACGAGTAAAGTGACGACTTACCTGCCTGAAACACATAAAAATTCTTTTGTCGTCAATATTAAATTAAAATGATTCTCAATAAAAAAAAAAAAAATAATAGCAAATAATTGATTTTTTTTTCAAATTTTTTGGTTTTTTTTTTTTTGAAGATGAGAATAACGCAATTTTTTTTTTTTTTAATTAAAAATAAAAGAAAATATAAAAGCTGGAAATAAGTGAAAGTGGCGAAAGAGAGGACTCACGTTTTGTATTGGCGAAAGGCCTTGAAAGGTAGTCACTGCCTGGTGGTTACTTCAAGGTCGCACTTCCACTGATCTCGGCTCATTCATATTATGACCACGGCCACTGTCACCTACCATGAACTTCCACCTCTGACAAGCTGGGCATCTGATGGCCAACAAACTACTCATAATAATATTTTAAATGATCGTTCTCCTTCTATTTTAAATCCTTTAATCACTCCTCAACAATTCATTTGCAATCAATCCATTAATCCTTATAGAACAGGTGCGTTGTGTATTTTTCTTTATTTTATCTTATTTTTCCGTTATTTTTTAAAATTAGCTAATAAATATTATTTATTTTTTATGTTTTTCGTTTTTTTTTTTTGAAATTTCCTTTTTATTTTTAGTTAAATCATTTTTTCCTATATTTTTTATTCTATTTTCTTTCTTTAAAATTTTCTTCTGAAACAATGTAAAACATTATTTAATAGATTGCTTATTTTAAGAAATAAAGTAAATTAATAAAATAAGGCAAAATTTTGATCAAAAAATTAAAATTTTTTAGCATAAAAGAATTATTACAAGTATTTTGCAATACAATATGAATAAAAATATAAAATCTAAAATTAATAATAATTTTTATATGTTTAAATAATTTATATTTATAGCAATAATAAAAAAATAATTATTTTGTAAAATTCAATTAATTAAATTGAAAAATCAATTTTTAAAAAATTAGTTAATAAATGTAACAATTAATATTAATATTATTCAAATGAAATAATTAAAAAAATATTTGCAATTTACAATTTTATAAAATTAAATTAATAATAAAAATTTTTTTTAAAAAAATTTTCATTTAAATTTAAATTTTCATTGAAAATATTAAATATTAAAAAAAAATTCTAATAATTTTAATTTTTTGTTTTATTAAAAAATTTATTAATTAAATCATAAATTTAAAATTCAATAGGTAAATTATATGAATAAAATAAGGAAAAAATAGATAACAATCGAAAACATTTTATAAAAGGACTATTTACAATTTCGATGGGAAACCAAATGAGGTGAAGGTTAAATAATTCGACATTATAGAATCGAATTGCGATGAGATTTTATGGACAAATAATGGTTTCTATTCACCAACTTCATTTCATCATATTCATTCAGCAAATTCTCAGGTTTTTCAAAAATTTTAAAACTTAAATTTAAAAAAAAAAAATTAAAAATATTTTTAATTAAAAATATTAAAAATATTTTAAAAATATTTTATTATTTTATTTTATTTTATTATTTTATTAGAAATAAAATTATTTCTAAATAATAAAAAAATTTCAAAATAAAAAAATTTTTTTTTTAATGCATATTTTGATAAAATTTTTAAAATCTCAAATGTTTGAACTCAAGATTTTTCATGAAAAATAAATAAACAAAATCAAGGTTGTTCAATATTTTTGATTAGGCTCGATCTATTGGCTTGTCGAACTAGACAAATTTTCAGCCAGCGAGTTCATTTTCAGCGATGAAAGATGAAATGTGCTACACAAATGAGCTTCATTCATATCCGAGAGAAATAAAAATAGGTCCACTCCTACTGCAAATAGAACTTCAGCATAAGTGTTCCGAAATACGAGCAATAACCCACTGAACCATTTAAAACAAACATTGATACCTTTTTTTTTTTAAGTATACAAAATATTTTCCCTCTATTATTCAAAATTTATATTAGAAAAAAAAAAGGAAAAAAAATGGTTCGTTATTCTTTCCTTTTCTTTCCAAAATTATAGAAAATTTTTGGATAAAAATGAAAAATACGAAAAGTTTTGTGCGAGAATTTTTATCCTTGACCTACCTACCCTTTTGCATCAAATTAATCAAATTACAACGACAAAACAGGAATTTTTATAAATGTAAAATGCAAATTTTGTTGATAAAATCACGAAAAAAAAAATTTTTTTTTTTTAACAGTAATCATTTTTTTTTTTCTGCATCTATGATCATTTAAATTTTATCATAAAAAATTTTATGACAAATTAAACTAAATTTTTTTTTTTTCTTATAGCATCAAATCATCAAAATATTTATAAAAAAATGTTTTTTATCAGTTCAGCTTATCGTTTTATCATTTTAGTGAATTTATATTAAATAATAAATTTTAATTATTGTAATTTTGTTTCTTAATTGTAAATTAATAAATTTTCAAAAATATGAAAAAGAAAACGTAGCAATGAAATTTAATTTTAGGTTATTGGTAATGAATTTCGTAGCAAAAAACGTGGCAATTCATTTCGTTCAAATTCAGGACCTTCATCAAGTGGAATTTTAGCACAAACTATCTCTGAAGAATTATGCTTAGTTTGTGGTGATAAGGCTTCTGGATATCACTATAATGCTCTAACATGTGAAGGTTGTAAAGGTAAATCGGTTTTATTTCTTCAAATTAAAATTTATCATTTCCAAAAGATTAAAAATGACATAATAGATGAATTTGAAACCAATGGTGGAACCAATGGTTTCTAGAGATTATTATTTATTTATTCACCATAATTATTTCATTTCATAATTATTTTAGGATTCTTTCGTCGTTCGATCACAAGAAAAGCAATATATTATTGTAAATATGGTGAAAGTTGTGATATTGATATGTATATGAGGCGTAAATGCCAACATTGCCGTCTAAAAAAATGCATGGATATTGGAATGAGACCTGAACGTGAGTCGAATTTTTTATATTTCTATCCTCCTTTTCGTCGAATTTTCACGCTTAAAATGCACATTTATGCACAAATGAATTTCCCATATAGTTTTAGTTTTCGATTATGTATGTTATGTTTTTTTTTTTTCATTTTATACAAACTAGGCCTGTAAAGATCACCCGATTTGCCTCAATTGAGAATAAATTTGACTCTTATCTTTTCGCATGAATAGAGTTTTTAGTTAAAATCTTAGTGATACTTCGTATCGAAGCTTCACCTCTATTCGCAAGTTCTCTTATTATCACAAAATATCTTCTAATATCTTCTTCTTCTTCTAATAGCTCTCACCATTATTGGTTAGGCTACAAGGGTAAGAAGGATAAGTTCCAAGCGGCGCAGTCACAAATTATCAAATAGCAGCCAACTAAGAATAGTGCTTATAGAATACGGTCTACATCATGTAAATCTCATTGGCTATTATAAAAGGTTTGAAATCCGAATCGCCACAGTAAATCAGGAAATTCCTGAAATTTTATCATTCAGTCACTTCTTGCACATAATATGATATTTTAAGAAATTACATATTGCTGATCATTAAAAAAAAATTTTTTTTGAGGCAATAATTAGATGATTATTAAAATATAAAGTTTGCATGCAATTTATGATTTGATAAGCACTTGCACATTCTGCATGTATGGCACACATTCAGGATTGCGAGCTGATTCGCGAGTGCCTTTAGTTGTTATTCCTGAGGATCAGTGTCGAATCAAGAGAGAAGCGAAACAGAAGTTAAGGATTGTAGCAGATCAACGCAAATCAAGTAGTCCATCAGCAGTTACTTCTACAGAATCACTTGATTGTGGCCTATCAATTGAAACTCGAGAATTGATTAGTCGTCTAGTGGCAATTGATAATCAATTTTTGGCTCCATCTAATGATTCCTTGATGCAATTATCAGTAAGCTTATGTTATTAACGATTTAACAATTTTAACAATTTTTATTTAACGAAATTTTTATCTCATTAATTTTATAGATGAGTTTAATTTCTAACAGGGCAAAATTGTCTGTCAGGCTTTTAATTTAATGGTAACATATGATAAGATTGAAGAAATGATAAGACATTTTTGGGTACAAGTAAAGTATATTCTAAAAACTTTCAGGATTATAATGTCGAAGGAGGATCTTATCAGCATTTAGCCGAATTAACAATACTGAATGTTCAATTAATCCATCAATTTACTGCCCATTTGCCTGGTTTTTCTAAGTTATCTGATGAAGACAAAAGAACACTTCATAAGGTGAGTGTATTAGAAGGAATTTTTAAATTATCCAAATTTTAGACATCGATAAATTCGTCGTTATTTTACTCAGTTAATCAAATAATGGACTTGATTAAATAAGACGAGTAAATTTACTGATTTAATCAATCGTAACGATATAAAATAAATTTATTAATAAAATTTATCATTACGCAAATAAATTAATATATTTATATTAATAAATAATTACATATTTATTTAAATAATAATTAATAATAATAATAATTATTTATATTAATTATTATTAATATTAAATTATTTATTATATTTACGGTATTTATATTGGTGAATATTTTTTATTATTTTTTATTATTTGCATTATTTTATTTAATTAATATTACCATTTCATTAAGAATTAATATCCATGAAAAAAAATAAGAATAAAGATAAAAAATTTTCTATAAATAAGTAATAAATCAAGAAAGACTTCATTTATTGCTTTTTCAGTTTTCAAGATTCCATTTCTTATACGCTATTGATAAATCGAATAATATTAATGTAAGCTTTATGTTAAGGCTTGTAAAACTGAAGTTTTGGTGATAAGAACTGCTCGTTCATATGACTGTTGTGAAGAACGTGTAATATTAGGCAATGAAACAAAACAGTGGCGCTACGATCGAGAACAGTATCGCGCTTTTATTGGATCACTAGCTGATCCAATATTTGATTTTGCTCATTCGTTAGCCAAACTTGGTCTCGATCAAGCCGAATTCGTTATTCTTACAGCTATCGCTATTTTTTCAGGTATTTTTTTAGAAATATTTAATATTATTTATATTTAATATTTAATATAATAAATATTATTAAATATTTCTAAATTATTATTTATTTATTAATAAATTTGCAAATATTAAAATCTTTGGAAATATTTCTAAGGTGTTATTTCGATCAAAATTCATATTTGCAATTCAATACGACTTTTTCTATTTGGTAATTTTTTGATTCGATGAAATTCTAAATTTTTTGAAAAAAATTGAATTGAAAACATAAATAATGGAAAATGATGGAAAAATATTTTTCATCTTATTAAAAGGGCAGAATATTATAGCGGATAAAAATTTAAGCATTGAACCATGTTGAAAAACAAAGGTACAATTCCTTCAGGAGTATTACTTATAAAAAAATTCAAATATTGCTTTTGGATAATCTTTACCTTTAGCCAAATGTCATGGAAAAAGGTTTTTTAATATATTAGTCGTACTATAGACAGTGGAATTAGCTGAAATGGTGTTAGACTTATTTAACTTTTTATCACCGTTCATAAAATGAATCTACAAATCTCCTCTCTTTCCCCTTCAATGCCTCGTTGAAAAGAAAAACTCAGAATTAAATTTTTTAATTTGTCGTAAATTTATAGTTATTTTTATAATATATAATATAATATAAATATAATAAATTTTAATAATAAATTTATAATAAATTTTTATAATATAAATAACAAATTTATAATAAATCTATAATAAATCAATAAGTTTCATAATAAATTTATAATATGATGATCATTTATAATATATTATATCAATAATATGGTATTACATTATATCAATTTTTTATAATATATTTATAATATGATAATTTATATTATATTAATTTTTTATAATATATTAAATTTATAATAAATTAATAAGTTTTATTATAAATTTATAATATGATAATTTATATTATATCAATCAATTTTTATAATAAATTTATAAAATATGATAATTTATATCAATTATATCAATTTTATTCGAGTAAAATATATTATATGCAATATTTTATTCATCCGTAAATTGAAATCATAAACTCGGAATTTCGCGAAATGTGAGGATCATATCAAAAAAATAACAAACAGTTCAGTAAATCTTTATGCATTCGACCCTATCTATTTATTTTTAGACCGACTTGGTTTGGTACAACCGAGAGCTATCGAGGATATTCAAGAAGTTTATACATCAGCTTTACAATCTTATATTGATGTTCGTAGGCCAAAACAAAGGACGATGTTTGCTCGACTCCTAATGAAACTTACTGATCTTCGTAGTCTAACTTCCGAACAGGTAATTCTATAAATAGCTCTTTATTTAGCCAAAGCTTATTTATTAATTACTAATCATTGAAAATTAGCGATTCATCAAAATTTTAAAAAATTTTAATAGAATTTTAGGCTGAAATTTTCTCGGAAATCGGTACAACAAATATTAATTCAACTCATTCACCAGCGGTTGAACCAAAATATTTCCCATCAAAACCACTTCCTTATGAACAATATTCGAGTGATCATTATTCATCGGGACGATATCATGAAACGACATCACCTATGAATTTTCATTAATTTTGAGCCAATAGAAATTTAAAAATTGAACTTTAAATTTGCGTGCCTCAGGCATTCCATAACTTTTTTTTATCATCCTTATATCTTGTTTTGCATGAAAATATTTTAGATTTTTTGCGAAGGCATGTGATATTTTTTTGCATTACAGTTTCATTTTTTTCATTGAAAACTTGAATATATTCTTCTAAGAATTTTTTTTTTTTTTTTATTTATGATTATATTCTATTATATTTCATTATTTTATTGGCTAAGTAGAGGAATTTTTTTTTTGTTTTCTTGCTTTTTTTATTGTAAAAATTTTAAATATTATTACATGCAAATCTTAATTGCATGCAAATTAATGATAGAATTTACTTAAAAATTCTTTCTTATTTTTTCTTTTCTTATTTTAATATTCATTGTGATTTTTTTCCAAATTTTTATTTGCATTATTTGCATCTTTATTATTGTCATTATAAGACGAGTGGTTTTGTGGTACTTAAGCATTCCATTATTTTTTATTAAAATCTTCTTTTAGCTCTTTTTTTTCAATCTTTTTTTTGATAGTTCTTTGTTTAATTGAATAGTGTTCCACTTTTTATTGTTTTTACTTTATTTTTGTACAATATACAATATATAATAAAAATTTAGTGAGCGAAAATAAAATACAATTTGTAAAATCGTCATATTAGGCCAACCAACTTCGAGGAGGCTAATAGAGGCTAAAAAAAAAACTGAATTTATACGTCAAAACCCGAACCCGAACCCTAAAAATATTTTTTTCATAAAATAAAATATTTTTATGCAACGACAAAAATTTTAAAGCGAAAACTGGTTAATTATAAAATTATATAATTTCAAAGTTCTACTTTCTAAATATTTGTTTATTATTTATTTATTCGCTTAATAATCTATTATTCTTTGGTTTAATCGAATTGAATAATCGATCATTCGTTTAAAAATTTATAAAATTAAAAATTAAAGGAAAAAAAAACCGGTTAAAATGAAAAATAAGAAAAGAGAGAATCTAAAATCGAAAGATTTTTTTCTTAAAAATAAAATAAAATTATTAAATTTTTTTTGCGAATGATTATGGATAATTGAATGAATGAATGAATAAATGCGAAAAATTCATAATAGAACGATTAAATTTGCGTGCCTCAGGCATTTCTAATGATTGGATTAGCTTGCCTTAGGGTATTCCTATTCTCGTGGTTAAAAACATTAAACTTTTTATCAATTTCTTAAAAAAAAATGCTCAAAATGAAATGAATTTTCGTCATTTTAAAAAATAGGGAAAATAAATTTTTCATTTCAAAAAAATGAATTGAATGGAATAATAGAAATTAAATCTTTATTTATTTGTCGATATCGATGAGATTATTGAAAGTGGAGGAGATTAAATCGTCTAAGCCTAAGAGCCTAAGAGAGATTTAGCCTAATGTTAATAATATTAATATTAATATTAATATTATTCGTCGATGAAGGCCACACGCTTAACCTTATTTATTCTACACTTCGGTTTATCTATCTCCTTCTAACTTAAATCTCATTTACTGCCATTGTTACACCCCAGCAGATAGGATGCTCATGCTCATGCTCATGTTTCATGCTTCATACCCAACCTAATATTTACTCGCCCTAAGTCATACGATTCGTGATTTATTGTGAGAAATTAAATTCTCTTATATGACTTGAATTTTTATCACATTAATCATTGAGAAAGTCGACTTTCTCGTCAATTTATTGGTTAATATGAAAAAATAATTATATAATAAATAAAATAATTTTAAATGAGCAAATATGAGAAAAAAAGAAATTAATCGAGGTTAAACGAATAGAAAACAACAAATGTTTTATCCATTAAAATGTACAACTGGTATTTTACAATTAAATATTCCACAGAAATTAAAAAAAAAAAAAACTTGTATTATTAAATGGTTTTCGAAATTTTGAAGATTGAAAACTCAAAACTTTTTGTCTATTTTAATCGAAAATAAAAAAAAATATTAAAAAAAATTTTTTTATAATTCACGAATTAAATTGAAAAAACTGAAAAATTTTATAAAAATCTCGAAAAAAAATATTAAACAAAAAAAAATTTAAAAATTAAAAGCATTTTTTTTCAACGAAACGATCATATGAAAATAAATTAAATTTCGGAGAATACTGTTTATTTAAATATAGAGCATTGCAAGTTTCGTATGGTCGGCTGGTGCTGGCCATTTCACCTGTATCACCTTTCTCTCACCAAAGGACTCCCTAGCATGTTTGTCTAAGTCAACAAGCTAACGGACTGAGTTTAATTAGCAGTAATGCGCACTTTGTAAAAAAAAAACCTTCGTATAAACTCGTGAATCAGTAGTACACTCGAGGATCATAAATCTGAAGTTGACGACGTTTGAGACGAATTAAAGGTTTTTGATTTCGAAGAAAACTGAATCTTGAATCTTGTCATGGCCTAGTTTAAGATAAATCTTCCTATCTTTACGAATTATTGAAATTTGATTGTTTTTTAGTTTGTAACTACATTTTCCTAAAATATGAAATCTATTTACAATGAAGTAATAGAGAAGTTTTAGGACCAAATGGCTCAAAGAGTTGATGCGTCGATATTCGACTTCCACTCCACGGCAAGAGTAACAAGACTAATCTAATTTTTACGGCAGCTTCTATGACACTCTCTTCATGTGACAATATATTTTTTTTGTTCTTGCATTCATTAGTCTTGGATTTCGTAAAAATCCAAGTGGTATCCATCTGTATAGAGTTACGCCACTATCCCTCTATGGAAGTACCATTAAGTGGCATTTCTTGGCGAAATTTACCTAATAAACCAGCGCAACGAGGAACTAACCAGAAAACTTGAAATGACTCGTATGTGTTTTAAAAGAAAAATTAAAGAACGAGAAAAAAAAATCTCTTCATTAAATGCACAAATTTTTCTCATTAAAAAAGAAAAATTAATAATTAAAGATTAGTAAAAATATTTTTTCGAAAAAGAAATTATCAAAAAATTTTAATATTTTTTAAATTGCTATTTATTCATTTAATGTAAAATACTAATTTCGAATATTTATTAAAAAATATTTAAAAATAAATTTTTAAAAATAGAAAAACGAATCGAAAACTTTTTTTTGCATTATTCTAAATCATAAATAAAATTTTTTTGGAAAATTCATAAAAAATTTTTTAAATTTTTTAAAAATATATAATAAAATTTTCTATTTATTTTAGTTTTTCTCACTTGAAGTCGATTGTTTACATTAAAAAATCGCTTTCTAAAAATTATTTATTATAATTATAATAATTATAATAAATTATAACTGTTTATTTGTAATTAAATTTTTTACGAGTGATTTCAGCAGGTAATCTAACAATCCAGTTGCATCTTTTTTTTTTTTTTAAAGAGTCCTCACAATTACTGGTTAAACTCGCTCAACTGACTTGTTGCATTACGCAATATGCCAGGGAGTCTCTTGGCGATAGAAATACAGGTGAGTCGCCAGCATCACCCGGATTTTTGTATAGGTTTACTCCTGCGGAGAATCAAACCCCAGCATCGGTATTTATCATTAAAGTGAAAATTGGCTGAATCCTGGAAATCCATTTCAACTTTTACACCTATGTTGGACTATATTAGTAGCAATAAAAAAGCCAATGTAGTTTACGAATTTCTTTAATAAAATAATTACATTTTAAAAAAATGAATAAATAAAAAAAATAAATAAATAAATGAATAAACATAATATTTAAAAATATTTAGTCAAATATGTCTCCTTTTTAAAGAATCGACAAGAATTAATTTATAACAACAAGTCTCTAAACGTTTTTACATGAATGGCAAAGTTGTCGATTGGTGTCAATTTTACGTGAATAGGAAAGTCGAATTGGCATCAATTACTACGAGTTCAATTGGTACCTTTTGACCTGTCGACAGGAATAATCCGAGCATTAAAATTGAAACCCACTGCTGAGATTCTATCTTGGTTCTAGCTTCTATTTTCTAACCTAACTGTCTGGCTATCTAAACTTGATCTTATCAAATGTTTTGATAAATGCACATTATAGCGGTACAGTGGCTCAGCGAGTTGCATTTTCATCCTAAATTTCCTTATTTTTAAAGAATCCGGCTGGTGCTAGCCGATCTATACTGTATCACTGGCAATTTCCTAGCAAAATAGATTTCTTTCGTCCAGTGGAGCGAATGCAACCAAAAATGATAAGCACTAATCACTCACTTTTTAGGTGTTACCACAAGTAATACCATAAATTTATCGGAGAGAAAGTAAAGTAATATTTCAATAATAATAGGAAACTATTTAAAATTTCATTTTTATTTTGTTATTTTCATTTTCAACACAAAATTTATCAAATAATAATAACAATAATAAATAATAATAATAGTAAAATTAAAACTATTTTAGGTGAAACATTATAAATATTATTTGTGACGCAAATAAATAAATAAAAATAAATTGGAGAATAGTACAAAAAGGTTTGTATTATAGTTGAGAGGTTCCATTTGACGAGGACCTGTTTCATGTTTATCAATTTTCAATTTATTTTATAGATGAAATGATTTTTATTGTACAGTGGACACATATTTTAAAGGCATTTTTCTACGCTTTTATCAAATGATTTCTTTGTATTTTCATTTATTGATATCGATATTGATATGTGGAACTTATGCCTCTTTTTTATATGCAAAATGGGATAATTATCGTCATAACATTCATCATACATGTGCTAATAATGAGGAATGTGACGAAAATTTTGGTTTGATTTGGCCATCGTATAAATTCATTTGTTGTACAACAATTGTATGCGATGAAAACTATGGTGATTATTATTTTGTTCATTCCGGTTGTGCAACACAACAACAATGTATTACAATTATTCAAAATAAGGATAATACACGATTTGCAGGCGAGTTATTCACCAAAAAAATTTATTATTCAGCGACTAAATCATATGTTTTGCGAGAGGATAATATTTATAAAGATATTAAAGATAACAATAGGGATTCACCTATAGTCACCAAGAGCATATCTCTCCATTGTGATATAAGTGAATCCTCATCACCGAGCCCAATTTCGCTTTTATTCCTACCAAGCGATATGAACTAAATTCATGAGGCTTGATCTCATTCTAAACAAACCTCATCAGTTGCAAATCCTATAATACTAATTGCTTTTTTATATACTCTATCACATTTAAAATTAATTTTAACAATTTCAAAATAGAATATTTTCTTTGTAAGCTAGGTTTGCATTGCTTTCTAAAATAAATAGGGATAAAATTTTTTGTCACTTTTTTCAATTTATTAAAAAATTGGAAATTTTTAAAAATTTAAAGAATAAAATTTTTGAAATTCACCTTAAATTTTTGATGTAAATTTTCTAACAAAGGAATCGCCTTAATTTTTATCCACATCGATCTTACTTCTAAAAGTAGTGACTAGACTTTTTGATTTGGTTGATTCTACTGATTGTAAGGCTAAAAAAAAACTTGACATTGAATAGGTTCGAATCCTTCTTCTTCTAACAACTCTCACCATTAGTAGTTAGACTGACTCCAACGGTCACAAGGGTAAGACGTTTCCAAGCGGTGGGGTCTGATGCCATCGTCGACAGAAATGGAAGCAATTCCTTTTTCCATCGTCTAAGTCCATATATTGCTCGTCCACATATATGTTCAAAATCTTTTCTGACCCTATCAGTCCAAGTGTTGATTGGTCCACCTCGCTTTTGATGCCATCTATCACACGGTTTAGCAAGTAACAAAATATGCGTCAACTCTTGTCATAGACGACGGAGAACATGCCTTAACCATCGAAGGCGAGGCTCTACAATAATATTTTAATATTATTAATGCAAGTGGTATTTGAACGAAGGTGGATGCGATCATGTGATATTTTATCCGCTCGACGGATCCGTAAAATATACCTCAGACAAGAGTGGTCAAAGGTAGGCCACTGATAGCTCGCTAACATACCACTCGATATTCCTCAGATAAAAACTGTCGAGATAAAAACTGTCGCGTTATGCAACTTCAATCACATTTTTCTATCTGACTTTTTTATAAAATCATAATAACTGTATGAAAATTTTCAGCTCGACTTGAACGAAAAATTTTCGATTTGTTGATTCCAAGTATAGAAAAAGGCTGTTTTGCAACAAGGGAAAATTTCCTCTCGCAAAACTTCAATAATGCTATCGTTATAACTGAACAATCGGTGCCATCAACTACGACCACACTTCCACTTCGAATAGTATCACCTGTAAGTTTAAGTTTTAAATAAAACATATAAAAATAAAATATTAAGATATTCAAATAATAAAATTTAGCTTAAGCTATATTATAGTTGTAGTTGTGCATAAATTTCATGTTTTTAGAATTCATTTCATAAATAGAAGTAAAAAATCAAGCCAAATTTTTATACCACAATGGCCTATAATATTAAATGATTAACATATTCAAAAGAAATATGAAACATTTTCCAAAAATAGTAGCCTACTCCATATTAGCTTTATTACTCCCTTAATGCACCTTCCCATCTCGCTAATATCTCCAAATCTCATCACCTTACTTTCCTAGCACTTTCTTATTGACAACGCTCATATTTGGTTTCATGTTTTCTTAAAACCAGCAAAATTCCATATTATATAGTTCGTTCGTAGCTCAAACTTTTTGTTCAAAAATTTCTCTAAAAATTTCGTCTGAGTTCTTATAATACAATAATTTTATCATCTTAATAATCACCAATAATCACCAATTTAATTATGGTACAATGAAACTGGTCCAACAGATTGCAAATTCAAGCCATATTCATTATTTTGCGATTATTCTAACTCTTTTTATAACGATGTTGAATTATTACATAAATATTACATATTAAAATATTACATTTTAAATTATTACAATTATTACTTTTTAATAAACTCGCCTTGTTAATTGTTTATCTTATTTTTCAGGCGAATTGTTCATGCCCCATTGAATTGGAATGTTGCATTCATATAGAATGCTCAGATAATCTACAGATTGACACAAGAAATTACGATGTTAAATCGGAATGTTCATCAAAATGTCTTACGATTGTTAATCGAATTGGTCAACAATATAGTTGTCAGTAATTTTTTATCAACTGAAAAATTTTATCAAAATATTATCGATTAGTCTTAATGAAATACAAAAAGGCAATAATGCCTTTAGATCTGGAAATATTTTTTTCTTCTTCTAACAGCTCGAACCATTATAATCTGTTAGGCTATATAGATATAAATATTTATCTGCTATACTCAGGATTAAAAAGAATTAGGTATCACTTTTATCAAAATTGCACGCTTCAGGTAAATTATCAAAATTATCAAAAAGCGATAATTTTCGATAAATAGATTTTAAAACATCTTTAGATCTATGTAGCCAGATAGAAATAATAAATTAGAAAATCATGTATAATATTAGAAATGACTAATTAAAATATCACCTTTTTCCATTTGTCGTGTTCGTTTCGCTGGCTTTGTATTATCGAATCAAGCATATTTTATCATGGAATCAAATTCACAGATTATTATCAGCAGCATTATTTGGAACTAAAATTGTCGTGTTAAAAGAATTTGATAATTTCAGTTTATTTACCAAAAGATATATGGCAAAAGAGGGTTGAATATGAAAGGGAAGAATCCGCTCCACCAGTTGAAAAAAGCTGTCGTGAAACTCGGTGAATTCTTTTTTTTTTAGCTCTTATCAAGTTTAAAGTAAGTTTATTGATAGTAAAATATAGTCAAACTAACCATCATTATTTTTATCTTTACGATTTTAATATGCAAATTTCGAGTTTTACTCAATTCACTCAATTACAATCATCGAATACCTATAAAATGCTAAATTGATTATTAGAAGTAAAGAAAAATCGTCCGGATTTTTGAGAAACAGATTTACTACTCCGACGAATCCTAGAAATACGCTTTGAAACGAACAACACTCTACTGAGCCATTCTCGTACGACAACCTATTTATTCAACCTATTTATAAATTTCAGCTATTTTTATTATTGGTCAATTGGGCAAAAATCGAGGAGGAAAAATCGTTGAATAGAATTTTTCATGGAATTTTCATTATCCACAAAATTTTCCATGTTTTTGCTGGTAAAACATATGAGAAAGTTTTTTTTGTGCTCACAATAACCATATCTTTTGCAAAAGGAAAATTGTTTAAAATCGTTGATTTGATAATCTTTAAGACATTTTCATTTTTTTGACACATTCTGACATTTTATGTAAATTTAACTAACTTATAAATCTAATTTATAAAATAATTTAAATTCGCAAAATTTACAAAATTGATTTCCAAAAAGTCTTATTTTAACTTTTATTATTAAAAAATAAGCAAAAAATATCAAAAATATGTCAAAAAATTTTCAAATTCATAAATTTAAATAAATGGATTGTTTTTTTGCAAAAATATTTTGTTTCTTCTATAAGTAAGTTTACTTTTTTTCATTGTTTTTTCATGTTTTTCATTGTTTTCCTTCTTATGGATGTCGAAAAAGAATTAAATAAAATAATTTTATTACAATCATTGAAAGACAAAGATGAAAATTTCAGAATTTGAACTTTCCTTTTTTGTTACCTTTGGAGACTCGGTCGTCATTTGTACGAAACGATAGTAATATAATATAATACCAACAAAAAATACAAAAGGAGCTTGACAGATTAAATCCTCCTTCTAAGCTCCTTCTGCTACTGATTAGCATAACTTCGCTGGCTACAACGATAAGATGTCCAAGCTGAAATGAAACAGAAAAATACATATTAAAAATGCAACAAATCTTCCAACACTCACCATCACTGGTAAGGGTAGATCTTCTGGATATAAGGATAAATGTTCCCAAGGGGCTCGATCTGATGCCAACGTTGATATAGCAGAAACCACTCCTTTTCCCATCGTCTAAGTCCATATATCACTGGTCCACTTATATTTTCAAAACTTTTCTCGACTGTAGTCCAGGTCTTGATTGGACCTTATCGCTTTTGACGCCATCTGTAAGGTTTAGCAAGAAATATGCAACAAATCCTCTAGAAAGAGACGAAAATCTCTACACAACGATTGCCAAGCTTAATAGTATTAACGCAGATGATATCTGAACGAAGGTGAATGCAATCAGGTGAGATTTTATCGCTTGGTTTAAATTTAAAATTTTAAAAATAACTTCATAGTACCACAGAAACGTTCTGACCTTCTTTTGTGGCAAAGAAAAAAAATTTCAAACTACTTAAATGGCAACGAAAATAACTTCTCTACTTTAACCTCGAAACTTTTAACCTACTACTTTAAATTTTTAACCTCGAAAATAACCTCGAAATTTCAAAAAAAAATTTTCTTCTTTTTCCCAAAATTTATTTTTTTAAGAATCCTCACCATTACTGGTTAGGATTAACTCGCTCCACTGGCTTGTCGCATTGGGTAATATGCCAGAGAGTCTCTTGGCGATGAAAATACAGGAGTCGCTAGCATCACCCGAATTTTTAGACAGGTTTACCCCTGCGGAGAACCAAACCTCAGCATCGGCGTTCCCAATTGAACAACAACCCACTAAGCCATCCTACCTCCCTTATATATATATATTCACTTTTATTATTGTTATTGTTATTTTATCATTTACTTGCTCTTATGCAGCGAATTCCTTTTTTTGCACCTTTTTTTCATTATTTTACATAAAATTCTCTTACAAATTTACTTATCAATCAAATATTTTCCTTCGTTCAACTACAAATTTCTCGCATTGATTCATCGGATTTTTACAGGCTTATTCCGGAAGGGGAATCGAACCTCAATATCAGCGCTTCAAACTGAGCAACAACCCACTGAGAAATTCTATCCCCCCTACAAAAAAAAAAAAAAAATTTTCGGGGAAAGGAAGAAAAATCTTTTTTCTCCCGAAATTATAATTTAAAAAGAAAATGCATTTTTTTTCCTCATTTGGAATTTTGGTTTTTGCGATTTTGTGATTTTCACAATTTTAAATGGATTCCAATATTTAATAAAATTAAGTTATAATAAATAATAATAAATAATAATAATAATTTAATAATAGCTTAATAATAATAATAATTTAATAATAATAATAATAATTTAATAATAAAATTAAAGAAAATTTGGCAAAACAGCCAATTAACAAGTAATATAAATAAAAATGAGGAAATCTCGTTTCTAGTAATTTCAAGCAATGTACAAATTTCGGATTTAAAGAACCATCTTAAAAAAAAAATGGCTTTCGGCTATGCCAACCCCGTCGTCTGCATTAGAGATTTTACCAGACAGTTAGTTGGTGAGAAAGTAGTTATCCACAACAATACATCCCACTACTACCTAGTGCAACTCCACTAAACCCCCGCAAAAAAACGACTAGCAAAAAAATCAACCCACTCATAAAATCTCGATTCGGATACTTGCGGCTCTAATAATCTGATAAATATGAAAAAATGTGCGGGAAAATTTGAAAATAATTTAATGATCGGAAAATTTTGTAGATCAGCGAAAATCCTATTTATTGTTGGTACTTGAGAGGGAATGCTAGAAAAGCTTAGATTAAATAGTTAAAAGGGAGCTAAAGGAGTCAAGGGAAAATGAAATTTAACAGTGGTTAGAAGTAGACCAAAATTAAATCAACACAAGTGATAACTTTTATCAGCTAGAGCGTTTCTCCTTTTATTTTTTGCAGAAAATCGGGCTTCAAGCCTTTCGATTTTTTTCCAAGAATGGATTACCCATCATGGATATCGGAAAGTATAATTGATGTATATCATAAAAGCGGTTTAAAAAAGCTCTTTCAATGGCAATATGATTTGCTTATAAATGATAAGATAAGATATCCATTATCATCGAATTTGCTTTATTCAGCACCAACAAGTGCTGGCAAAACGATTGTCGCTGAAATTTTAGCATTGCATACGATAATTGAGACAAATCGCGCCGCTCTTTTTGTATTTCCATTTATTTCAGTGGCCAAGGAAAAATTCCGCAATTTGCAGGTACCACCAATCATCTATTTTTCGCAATTTTTTTTTTCAAATCCTCTTTCTTCTTGACGGTGAAAATCTGGTAAAGTTAAAAGGAACTCTATTTACTGAGGGCCTTTTTCTCTAATTGTGTAGAACGATTTATCATTCGTAGAATTTCTCTCGTTCGATTTGAGGTTCAGGCACAGATCGTCTTTTACGGAGCCAGGTGGCTAGGCCCAGCCTCTACTATTCCTCAGCTTTTTCTCAGGTTTTCAACCCTCAACTTATGATTTTTTGATAAGTGATGATCATTACTCCTTAACCACTTTACTATCCTCTTTACTACATTCGATGATGCATTGATGGTTTGTGTTTCACCTTAAAACAGCTAAAGTTTTTCACCCACTGCTGGTTTTTCTCGCTCCAACTGGTTGCTCGGACCATGCAGATTTAGTTACTTGGTGATGAAATGCAAACCGGCAAACAAGAGGAGTCATTCTATCCTCCCAACTGGGATTACTTAATTACCCTTGTTACCCTTATTGAATACAGTAAAAAGGATGGTAAATTGGTTACCCATCATGGATATCGGAAGGTATAATTTCTTTTGTTAATATTCAGATAGCTTTTTAAATTTTTTCTGATAAAATTCTATGGTTTCTCCATCGTAAATGAATATTTATTAAGCTTTTTTTTGCAGAAATTATGGCGTAATTTTAATTTACGTGTCTGTGGTTATATGGGACCAAATTCAGCACCATTGACTGCATGGGATACAGCAATTTGTACAATTGAGAAAGCCAATTCATTAATTAATAAATCAATTGATGAGGACGCATTAGAGAGAATAAGTAAATTTTTGCTTTTTTTTTTATTAAAATTAATAGAACAAATTTAAAATAAAAAATTATACAAATAATTTCTCGGCTAAATATTTCTCATCTAAATATTTCTCGCTTTTAAATCCATTAAATTCGTTGCTTAATTTTCTATAAAAATTTTCTATTGTAATTTCAGGTGTTATTATTATTGATGAATTCCATATGATTTTTGATCCACATCGTGGACAAATTGTTGAAAATATGATCGCAAAAATTCGTTATGCTTCCAAAAAACTGAAGTAATTTTTCATATTAAAAGCAATTTATTCGATCCATTGATTAATTTTTATTGATATTCATTCTTTTGATCTCAGTTTTAATTTCTAACTTTTTTTAGTAATCATATTCAAATCATTGGTATGAGTGCTACTCTCCCGAATCTGGAAAAGTTAAGTAAATGGCTGAATGCTTTTTCGATTGCTAGCGATTTTCGACCTGTTCATCTCAGTCAATTAATTTTAACGAATAATACGCTAAAGGATATAAATACTATGGAGACTGTTCGAACTTTGGAACTTGATCCTAATGGAATAAATGGCCAAGATGACATAATTAACGCGTAAGATTTTTTTGCGCAATAAATTTCCTCATATTTTTAAAAAATCTTTAGCGATTTTAGGAGTTTTTTTAGCGATCTGAACATAAGACTCTCTTTTTTCCATTTTGTACGATTTTTCTTCTTTACTATCATAGAATTATTTTAAGAGATTTGAAGGTAAAACCATCTTTTGATCATCTTAGCCTCAGATAATAATTCCATTGAATACAATAGTTTTCCAAATTTCGAGAAAAAAATTTGCAGTTTATGTATGGAATCGTTATACGCCAAGCAATCAGTTCTTATTTTCTGCAGTTCAAAAGCAGAAACCGAAAAAATTTCCCTGAACTTTGTTTCATATATGATCGATGTTGATTTTGATTCAAGGAGATTATCATCTTTGTTGGATTTGGATCAACTTTCCATTTTTCTTAAAAAATTTCATTCAAGAACACAATCGAACGATGAATTACTTCGCAAAACGATTCCTTATGGTGTTGCATTCCATCATGCCGGTTAATTTTTTTTTTTTTTAATGATCCATTTTTAATTTCTAATTTCTTCAGTGATTTAATGGGTGATCGGGAGGTGAAAGAGTTTCAAGCTAAGTAATCAAGTATTTTATTGCAGCGATATAATAAATTTATTATTAATTCATCATTTTTGGCTATTCTAATCTTATTTTTTATTTTTTTTATTTTTTAGAACATTTTATTTACGAGGAATATTTATTTTATTGTTTTTTTCTGTGAAAAGCTTGTTTTTCATCTGCATTGATAACTTATAAACTGGTTTTTGTTTGTAAAAATAATTAACAACACTTGAAATACTTCTATATATATATATATATATACATACATCAGTATGTCTTTTATGGATCTTTAGATCAGTGTTTGAGAACAATTTCCAGTGAATATTCTTTCATCAACATTTGACATTTTTTTTAATTTGATTTATTGGAATTTAATTGAATTAATAGATAAAAAATATTTTTATTGTTATTTCAATTTATTTTATTTAATTTTATTTATTTATTTATTTTTATTTATTTATTTAGCTTTTAGGGAATAATTTTATTTATTAATATTAAAGCTTGAGAATTTCATTTTTTAAAATAAACATTTAGCGATAAAAATGAGTCGAACATTTTTTATTATTATTTTTCTTATATTTTGAAATTATATTTAAAGAAAAAAAAATTCTTTGGAAGAAATGTTTCATTTGCAAAATTGAATCATAAAATCATCCAGTCATTGAAGTTAATTGAATTGAGTCGATTGAATAGCAAAGTAAGGAAATTCTTGGTTGGTCATTAAAGTCTATTCATTCACTTTAAAGGGGCAATTCATTCAGCAATGGTCATTAATGTTATGTGATGATAATCCTTTTATATAGTCTTAGTTAATATCGTTTATTGCTGAATATTCATTCATTCACGCATTTACTTATGAGTTATCATTGAATAAATGCTTTTAAACATATTCCTTTCTAAATGACATTTCCTTTTCTTTTCATTCATATCATCACATATTTCCTTATCATATCACTGAGAATTACCTTTCTTCGCATTTTCCTCGCTTAATTTCGTCTTTTTTTTCATTAAATATTATAGAAAAATGTTTGATGCTTTTTTTTATCTTTTTAGTATTATTGCAAAATCATCGTGCATAAGAGAAAAAGATCTACAAACGGAGAAATCGCCTTTATTATTAGCTCAAAAACTTTATGCTTTTCACTTTTGGGATCTCTTATTTAAGCTTTGCAGAATTTTTTACAGATTCGAAATTTATGACCTAAGAATCAAAGAAATTTTGTGGCCATTTTTTTTCTAAGAGTTTCTGGTTAGGCTCACTATTCTTATCGGATCACACAAATTTTGTAGAAAAGTCATTTGGCGACAGAAATACAGGTGGTCACCAGCATCACTGGGATGCTTGAAAAAGCACCGGTGCAAAAATCCATTGAGCCATTTTAATCAATGAATAATTCCATTGATTTAGTTTCTTCCTTTTCTAATTAAAATTTTCTTGATTACAGTGATGAATAAAACAGCGTAAGCCTAACTATAAAATTTGGCTCAATGATAATGATAACAAATTTCAGGATTAACAGTTGAGGAACGTGAAGAAATCGAAGATGGTTTTCGCAATGGCTTATTGAAAATTCTTTGCGCGACCTCAACATTAAGTTCGGGTGTTAATTTGCCGGCTCAAAAAGTAATTATAAAAGCTCAATTTAATGGTCCTCTTGCTCTATCATCAATAACATATCACCAAATGATTGGTCGCGCTGGTCGCTTAGGCCAAACGGTAGATGGTTAGTTATTTTTTCTTTCGACATTCATAATTTTATCATGACTATTTCCTATAATTTTTTATCTATTCTAAGCTATATAAAATTATAAAATTATAATTTTGTTTTTTTGTTTCTCCTTTCAAAAGTTCAATGCATTCATTCGGAAGGAGAGAAATTCTCTCCTGGAATCAATTTAATTTAAAAAATCAAAATCGAAATCCTCAAATTTCGTATTTTTTTGCTTTTAACAGTTGATTTCCTTTCGAAGAAACTTGACATCGATGTAATAGGTGATTTTTCTTTTTATATTAATATATTTTATTAAGCATTTATTTTTTTCCTAATAAATAGTTTTTTATAAAAAATAAATTAAACAATAAATAAGCTAAAAGTAGATAGAATAGCTGAATTATGCTTTAGGAGTTATTTTAAGTAATTAAAAATTAATTAAATTTTTATGATTTATGAATTTTTAACCGTTAGTTAAACGCGCTTGACGAAATATAATAGAGTTTATTGTCTGTTGAATTGTTATCTCTCGAATTTATATTTCAGCTAATTGTTCAGCTAAGTAGTAGCGATTCATAGGTAATTGGAATATATTGAAATGTAATATATCTAACTTAATTTATGATGATAATTTTTGGATTTTTCTAAATGTTCACTTATTAGGAATTTTTAAAATAAAATCAAAATATAAAAAATATGAATATTTAACATTTGGAATTCTAATATAAAATATTTTCATAATTCAAACTCATTGATATCATTGATAATTATTCTTATTTATCAAAAATATTTTGTTCAAAAACAATTTTAAAGGCTATTCATTTAGTAAATGTAATATATTTTTTCATTCTCATTTCGAACTACTATACCAGAATATTATTCCCAATAGAAATAAGTCTTTCATAAATCCAGATATTTCATAAATCCAGATGATAATGACAACCTATCTGTATTTCTTTCGCCAAGTCACTTCCTGGAAAAATTCCTCTGGTCCAATAAGTCAAGGAACTAGAGAAGATTTGGGAAATAAAGGCCAAAGTAATTCCAGTGATTTACGGCGCTTAGAACTCACTCCTAAACTATAAAAGCAACTTTAGCAGATTCCAGGAACAATATCAGAGATCTCTATCCAGAAGAGCGCACTATAAGCAAAACATACTAAGCTACTGCACATAATCCTCAATCTCCTAAGTCCCTGGCTGAGGATCGGAGATTAAAAATGATCATTATCACCCATAGTCGATGAGAAAAAAATTTTTTTTTAATTGAGTTAAATTCCTTTAGTGACAAATTCCTTTAGTATAATATGTGAAAGAGGAGTTTAGAAGTAGTGCAATTGCTTTCGCCAAATTGAACCAATCATTTCAGCAAATATTTCTTTCTTTCTAAATTGATGATCATCGTCTTCTCTCTGCATTTGCAATAATATCTCTCTTATTAGAATTTTATGGCCAATCACCGTATACCTCCTTCATTTCTCGTTCTCAACTACATTTTATTTTCTTCAAAAATAGTAAATAATGTTTGCCAAACAATTTGTGAATGATTAAGGTTGATAAAGGCGAAAAAAATATTTGCAATTTATCAGTAATAATTCAAATTCAAATGATTATAGAGAAAGAATTATACTGTGGAAAGCGATTTACTTCCTTAGAAAAATCGCTGATAATGAATTAATGAAAGAGCGAGAAATTTGCATAGTTTAGAAATAGATTAAAAATACATTAAAAAAATTGCATGAAAAAAAATCAAAAATTCAAGATATTGAAAATATATGGAAAATAGTAAAAAATATCAAAAAATGATAAAAGGATTATTAACGAAAGATTATTTTAATGAATGAGTGAATGAAAAAGGAATTGAAAGGAAAATTAACGACAGTAAAAATGCATAATGTGAAGGAATTAATATGAATGAGAATAGTCTGCAGATTCGCTACAAGATAGAATAGTATAATCGAATTAAGAGTGAGCGAGAAGGAAAAAAAAAAGTAAATGAGAAGGAATAGGAATAGAAAAAAAAAGGAATGATGAAAATGGAGAATAAAATTTAAAAGAAAACGATTACGACGCTAAATAAAATTGATTAAAATAAATTAGAGGAACTATAAGGAATAGTAATAGGCAAAAAAAAAGTCTAGAAACTTGAGACAATTTTTATTGAAGATTTATAGGGTATTTATATTTTGAATTGCCAAAGCAGTTTATCTAAAATTCGGCTGGAGTAACTCTTTCTCCGAATCACTTCCAACAATAAAAGGAACGCTTGGCTGATTGCGTTTATTGTTAACAAAGTAGAATTGGTACTTCCTGTTAGGAAAAAATTTTGTTTCATGTTGATATTATGATAATAACTTCCGATAAATATTTTAAATTTCTGATAATATTTTATTCAATAGGAAATGCGAGAATTTTTTTCTAAGTCTTAGCTAAGTCTAAGTCTAAGTCTATGAAAATTTTTCAGCCCTAAACAAGACGATATTCGATTCTCTTTTCTCTAATTTCTATTTTTTAATTTTTATACCAATAAATAAAATCAATTTAATCTCTTTTATAACCATTTATTTATGGCGATATTCAATTCAACGCAAATAATTCCTATTTATTACTTGTTGAACATATGTTTTTCTCAATGTATTTCAATATTTATTTACATAAAAAAAATTTTTGTTTTTTTAGAAATAATTCGAAAATCGAAATATAAAATTTTATTTTATTAAATTTTTTTAAATTTTTATTTTTTATATTATATTTTTTAGTGAATTTAAAAATCAAATTAGGAATTATTTTTAATTATTTTTAATTATTTTTATTTTTAAGTTAATTTGAAAAATATTTTTTTAAAAAATATTTTATATTTTTAATTAAAGATGTCGATGATTTACGAAAATAAAATTGTGTGTGCTCTCTTTCAAAAAAAAATTTGTAAAAATTTGTTGAAAATTTCAAATAACCCACAACAATTTTTTTTTATTTTAGATCGATTTTTATAAAATATTTTTTCTGATTTTTATAAATTACAGAATATTGAAATATTGAAATCGATTATTGAAATTTTGCAAAATTTTATTTTATTTTTTTTTTCAATGCTAAAATTGATTAATATGATAATGGAAAATAGAAAAATCGTATGGAATTTTGCTTCTGCTTAAAATAAATTAATAATTCTTCTAGTGGTACATCTCTTCTCGGATTTGACTGGCTCTATCAAAAATTTAGCGTAATTTAATGATATGTTTATTAATCGACTTGTAATATAGAGGAGGGAAGGGGAGTGGATGGTGGGGGGGGGGCAATTTCAACCAAGTTTTCTATCAATTTATTGTTTAGTTGTTTCAGCGGAATGTTGCCTTTAGGAAATTCAATTATCGAAATTAGCCAAAGGGAAGAAAATGGAAATTTTCGTATTTTTGTTGAAAATCAATTTTGTGATTTTAGAATAATTCAATTAGAATTATCATTTGCTTTCATTTTTTTTTTTTTTAAGATTTTTACATCGAATTTTAAGATTTATTAATCTGAAATTCTAATTAATAGTTAGGAGAATAGTTAGGAGAAAATACAAATATATATATATTTATAAATATGATTAATTATATTTTATATGGTGCTTTTATTGGATAGAGGGGGAATTTTGTGGGATATTTGTTGCCGGACAATTAAGTAATCTTATTGAAAATTGTCATCGAAAAGCGTAATAAGAAATATGGTCAAGGTCGTTATTATGGTTCGATTATAATACTGTGGAAATTTTATTATTGCATGAAATAAATTTTTTTTAAAAAAAATTATTAGCAGATAATAAAAATTATATTTACAATTTATTATTTATTTATTATTTATATAATTTATTTATTATTTTTAAATATTTTTGAATTATTTCTTGGATTTTTTTCTTTCTTTTTTCTAAAGGAACAATAAATTTAAGTTTATTATTTTTAATGAATTTTTTGATTTTCGGTTGTTTTCAATTAATGTTGGCTGAATTATGCAAATTTTTTAGTCATTTTTTTGATATTTATAAAATTAAGAATTATTTATTAAAAAATATTATTATATTGATATAAACAAACTTTATCGTCATCATCATTGCTATTATCATTATTATCACTGGTTGTAGTCGGAATTTCTTGTGGAACAACATCATCCTCATCGTTTGAATCTTTATCAATTTCACCATTTTCTAGATGTGCAGCTGCTTCCAAGCTTTTCTTATGCATTCCTTCAGCATTAATTGGATTGGATTTTAGATTATTGGTGAATTAATAAATGGCCAAATTGAATTGTTTGGTCTACAGTTGGTCTACAGTTGTATAATTTGTGATTCTTAATTCGAGTATTATCGTTATAAAATTACCGCTTGCGTTAAAATATTTAATTTAATTATTTAAAATATTTAATTTGTAATCGCTTAAATTTTGGCTCAATTGATTGGGAATAGGTCAAAGGGCAACGTAAATTAGTAATTTAATTTGTGAAAGTAAAGGATATAAATAAAATACCCAATAGCCATGGTGCAGCACATTCAGTAGGATTATCTGATGTCTTAGTAATTGTCTCTGGAAGAGGTAACGAATGTCGTACCATGGCACCGTATAAGCCATATTCAGCCATTATAGTGCTCTTTCCCCAAGTCTTTTCAGTTCTTCTCCATTTCGCTCTCCTATTTTGAAACCATACCTAAAGTATTACTATCATTATTAGATTATTTTTATATCATTGATCAGTTTGCCATTCAGTTGACCCTTGACCTTTCTTTAATCGAAGAATTATAAATTACTTGTATTCGATCCTCAGCAATAGAGGTCTTGATTGATAGCGCTTCTCTTGCATACATATCTGGATAATGAGCTTCCTTAAATTATTCCAATTACTTAAAAATCATTGTAATTATTATATTATTACATTATTATTATTATTTATTACTCCTTAATTTATTTTTTATACTTATAAATTGTTTTAATATTTATTTTTTGTAAATGAAAAGTTTTCGATTTTTCTATTGGTTAATTTTAAAATATAATTTATTCTTGTAATATATTAAAAATTTACTTTTATAACGTATATATTTATTACTTTTATAATATATAAATAATATATATTTAATTTAATTTAATAAATAAAAGGTCAAATTGAATAGATAAATATTATTTGTTCGTAAATATTTTCGCTAAATTATTGCATTTGATCAACGAAATTGTTGATTATTACTTTTGGAAAATTTAGTCAGGAAATTCTCGTTCATTTACTGAACTACTAAGGCTTTTAAAATCGGTCATTCAAAAATTTTCTTGCTAATTAAGTATTTATTCCTGTAATATTTGCCACTAATTTGTTCATGGTATCTTCTTTTACTCGATTATCGAGAGGAAAAGCTTAAAGGCCTTTTTCGAAGAGCAATATCATATCATAGAAATTTTTCTGATATATTATCATTAATCAATATATTTTCATTTTTTAGATGGACAATATCAAAGAAATTTTTCAGTTAAAAGTTAATATTATGTATTAATAAATATTCTGATTAGGCTTGCTACGCTGATTTAGTGGAATCAAGTGAGTGTCACGCGAATTTTTGGAAGCTTCAGGCTTTGTACTTGAAGTAGAACTCTAACATCGGCGAGGAAAAATGAGGGTCATCGAGCCATTCTACTCCTATCATCTCTCTATGAATTCAATATCTAAATCTTCATTAATAATTCGCTCTTGATCTATTTGATTATTTTTATTTCTCCACAATCCTTACCAATTTATCCATTTATTAATTCAGTATTATCGTCTCATATTACTAACATATTTTTCCCACCGTATTCCTTTTCACTTCTGACCATACTAATTACTATTACATTACCACTATATTGCCTACAATATTTTTCAATATTTTTCACTATCTTCATTCATGTTAAGCTTTGAATTTAGAAAATTTTGAAGATCAAATTTTTAACTAATAAATTTCTTCGTAGATAATCAAAATTGATATTATAGATTCTTATCATCAATCATCAGTTTTCTTATCAAAAGAATTTACTTATTTAGTAATAAATTAGGTTTAAATTGAAAATACAATCAAGAGACAACTGTATAAAATGATTATCGTTTTAAATTTCGATCGAAATTTTTAAATGTAATTTATAAGATTTAATATAAAAAATATAAAATGTTGGAATTTTAAATATATTTTAAATAAAAATAAAATACCCATTCAAAATGAGATTTAAATTTTAAAATTTTCAAATTTTATTTTGAGATACTATTTTTAAAAACATTCAAAAAAAACTAAAAAAAAAAATTGCTAAAAACCTGGAATGCTTTTTCTAGTTCATCGATTTGTGTCTGAGTAAATATTGTTCGTTGACGTCGCTTTTTGTATCTATTATGGCTAATTTTTTGTGAATTTGAATTTCCTCCGCCTATATTTATTCCTGCATTTAGTGCTATCGTTCCTTCTTCTCCTTCACCACATCCTTCAATATTCATCAACAATGTGCTAGTATTAGTTCCTGTCAGATAATCCAATCGTGCTAAATCTTAAATTTTTCTTTTTTTAGTTATTTTTTTGTTTCTATTTTAATCTTGATGATAATTTTCTAATAAGAAAACAAAACAGTAGAAATTCTTGATCTATAAGAATTTTTGTTTTGTGTGAAGAGGATAAATTTTGGCTAATAACGAAAAGTTGATTTTATTAGTGCTTCTTAAATTTCGTAAAGGAACAAGTAGTATTCAATCGTATGAAGTTGTGCAATGATAACTCCTTAACAATTCTTTCATTATAGGTTAAATGTTTTAACCTTTTTCCCCTTTCTTTAAACTATCTTATACATACAGCTAAGGAAAAAATTTTTTTAAAGAATCGATTGAAATCTCGAATAAATTTTTCTTTCATTATAATCCAATTTTATTTTACTCGAAAAATAATTTTTTTAACGGTCGAATTTAATTTAAAGAGAAAATTTTATTTTTTATTTGTTTAATCAATGTATAATAAATTAAGAATTTTTAAGAACAATTATTAATTTACTTAATTTTAATTAAATAACTCACCTTGATTGTTAACTTCATGATGACATGTTGTTGCGATGGTTCGATCAAAATGTGTTTGTGCCATATCCATTGTGAATAAATTTGATGGATTGGGATGAAAAAATGTTGTAGCCTGAGTTGGAGGATAATATTGTTGAGCATTTGGTGAAATATATGAAGGTTGTAGCATATCTCGAGCTGAAGTTGTTAGACCAAGTAAACTATGAATACCAAACGACATTCCCATACGATTATTGTTTATCAATTGAGGAGGTGATGAACCACAAATCATTTTTTTTTCTTTTTTTTTTTAACAATTTTTTCTTTACAACATTGAATATTATTGGCTCGTTTTGTTTCTTAAGAAATATGCAAATATTTCGCGTTTTTTTCTTTCGAATAAAGAATTTTCAGCTAAGAAAATTTTTTCCGCTTTATCACTTCTCTTGCGCGCGCGCAATATTCAGTCGGAATGTTTTCACCACGCACGTTGATCTTGACGATAATAATTATTGTCGGGTCGTTAATTCAGGCGACAATTTCATTAGACAACAAAGTTGACAACAAGAAGAAGCGACGATGATGCACATTCATCATCTTCGACAACTATTCATCTAATAACAACACTTAACACAATTCATTACAGTATCATTGTTATAAATAGGCGTGGCCATTATTATTTAAATAGCCAATGAAAATCAAAGAAACGAATTGATGATTATGTTTTTAGTGGAGACGCGAGACGATTAGAATAAATTGATAATTTTTCTAAAATTTTTCTAATTAACTTTTAATTTTAATTTTAATTTTCTATAATTTTTAATTCAAATAATTAAATTTTTTGAATGAAAAGGAGATAAAAATGGAGGAGATAAAAGGGCAATAAAGGGATTAGAAGCAGGAAAAGGAATTAGAAATGCATTAATTAAATATTAGGCTTATTATAAATAACGATCAAACTGAATTATTGTTTTTTATTGAATATCAAGCATATAATATTTTTTAGTCATGAATTTTATTTTTTAGTCATGACTTTCATTTCTTCAATATTTAATTAGAGTTAATTTGCTTAATTTAATAATAGTAATAGTAATTTGTTACTATTACTACTTTAGGTGAAAGTATTGTTATTTGTCGACCTGAACAAATCGATTCAGTCAAACAAATAGTAAAAACTGATTCACTGGAAAAGAATTCCATCAAAAGAATACGTACTAAGCTAATTATTGAGGTTTGCATTCATTGCGAATCGGTCAAAAATATCGAATTCTTTTTTTTGGTTATTTTTAAGAGTTTTGATGAATATATTATAAATTGAATGAATTTTTATTTGATTGATTTTCAAACACGAAGCACGAAGATCTTTTTCTAAGAGTGCTTGGCAGCTCTATTTAAGCTCATTACACTGGTTATAAAACCAGACGAAATTTTACCATCCGAAGAGCCATCTGACGATGGACAGTTGAGTCAATATTATTCCGATTCTTAACGATAAATTTATATTTATTGAATATCAGCGCTCTGAAATACAAGCAGTAGTATCAATGGACTAATATAGTCATAGGAAGCTATTTATTTCCCTACAAATTTTTTATAGGCCGTACAATTTCTTTCATTTTTCGTTTATTAAAATATATTAATTTGGAGGCAATATGTAGTGGTTTATGCAATTCAAAAAGCGATGTAGAAGATCTCCTCGAATTGTTATTCTTTGAGAATGTTTTCACGTTAAATAAAGAATTGGAATGGCTTATTAATCAAAAGCTGATATCAAAGGGTAATTTTACCTTAAAGCTGTTCAGTTCTATCGTTAACTAAAGAGATGCTATATTGGTCTTCTTCATATTAAATTTGACTAAAGTAAAATTTGACGAACGATCTCGATTGACTTAATTTTTCTATGAGATTTCTATTTATATTTGATTCATGAAAGGTTGTCTTCATCTTATTTATAATTTTAGAAGAATATGAGGAAAGTCAAAAATTACGAGGCACTCAATTAGGTCGAGCAATATTGGCATCTTCATTATCACCTGATATTGCTTTACTTATTTATGACGAACTGGAACGAGCAATTCAATCATTAGCGCTTGATAATGAGCTTCATCTTCTTTACTTGGTCTGGTAAATTTTTATAGAAATTAAATTTTATAGGCAATAGGCAATTTTAGTTTTTTTGTTGTTTTGTTTTCAAAATATCGCAGATTGTCTTTAGGTAACACCTCTTAATAATGTTCCTCTTTGGTCGAATTACATAAATTGGCATAATTTTTATAATATCTGGCTGAAGCTACCAAAACAGTTGCTGCGTGTTGGCCGATTAATTGGAATTTCCGAGAAATTTTTCTTTGAAAGATTGCAAGGTCTCAAAGTTCGTAGCAATCGCGAACTTCAGGTTTTCCGGATTTAATTATTTTTTAGCATTTGAGGACAAAGTTGAGTTCAATTAATATTAATCGCGAATCGTAGAAATTTATTAAAATTAAAATTGCAATTGCAATTTTTAAAGGAAAATTCTCAAATTTAGGTTCATCTTCGTTTTTTATCATCGTTAGCGCTTTATGAGTTAATAAATGAACGAACACTTTGCGAAGTTGCTGAACGATTTTCTATAAATCGTGGTGCGTTACAATCACTTCAACAACAATCGTCTACCTACGCTTGTTTGTTTTTCTAATTATCCTTTTTTTTCCTCTCAAATATATAATATTATATTATTAGTTAATAAAATAAGATTATATAATTAATATAAGAATTATTGTTTGTAATTGATTAAGTAGTTATAAATGTTTGAAGAAGGATGCGCATTACTTTTATGTCGTTTTATTGAAGAGGCACTTAAGAATTGACAAAATTGCCTTTGTTATCTCAACAATTATCCCCTCTCTTATATTTTTATCCTTAATTCTACCGTAACTTATAATATTTTATAATTAAGGAAATTAAATATAATTATTTTTTTCAACGTTCAAGGAAATAATTAAATTTTTTTACTGACAAAATTTAAGCAATTAATGAGAAAGCCATGAAAGTTGAGAGGAAAAAATATTTAAAAATTGAGGAAAAAAGGCGATATAAATTTTCGAGAAATTTTTTTGGATCGATTAAAATGAAATTAAATGAAATTAATCGAATGTTTATACCAATTAATTCATTGATTATCTTCTGGAAAGTTTTGGTACTTTAGTTGAACGCAAACAGTATTGATTGGATTCCTCAGCAGTTAATATCATTATTTGTTTTTGGAAAAGAAATTTTTTTATTTTTTTGGGTTTATGAAAATTCTTTTTTTTTAATTTTCAGGTATGATTGTTGCATTTTGTGATCGCTTGGGTTGGAATTATTTGAAAATAATTTTAGAAGGTTTCGCTGAACGATTAATGTTTGGTATTCGAAAGGATTTAACTGATTTAGTAAAAATTTCTGGAATTGATGGGAAACGTGCTCGAGCGTTTCATAATTCCCATATAACGACGATAGCATCACTCGCTGTTACTCCGAAGATCGAAATCGCTAAAATTCTTCGTTCAGCTGTGCCCTTCATTAAGTACCATCGTTCTTTTGCCTACTATTATTAGCCATTTTGGATTTCAGTTTCTAATTTTAATTAATTCCTTTTAATTTTATTATGTAATTGCTGTTCAGGAAGGTCAAGAAAGTCTAAAATTTTTAAATTTTTTTCCCAATATTAATTCGCTGAAATAATTGGTTAGTTATAAATCGTTATTAGCACTTTTGATATTGTCGCAAAGGAATCATTTAACGATAGAATTACAAATGAGTCGCTAAGTTAGCAACATGGAATTTTAAATGATAGATTTGTTTCTGTTGGCAACAAAAGCCGAATCCTTATAGTCTAAGTGGATATCCGTTCGACCACTCTATTTCTAATTTTCCAATCGTGAATGAGTAAATTTCTTAATATCTCGATGTTTTTAATCGACTGTTCTGAATCGACTGAATGTATGATAAGTACATTTGTTTTTGTGAAAGAAAAGCTATCGGTTAAGCGGGTTTTTCGAAGCGATTCACAATTCTTGTGAACGGACACCGGGGGATCGTGAAAATATCTTGCTTTGATAATTGTATTTGATAATCTCAACAGCAGGGATACAATCAATATTTTATTAATAAAGCTTATAATAATCCGATTGGTTATTTTGGCAATTTTCTAAGAGGTTAGCAAATCGTAACTCTATCTCCCACAGATTCGTATAAATTTTCACTTTCATCCTCTTCAATTCCTTTTTTTGTTCCTTCGAAAATTCATTTATATTTTTATAACATCGACAAGAAAATCATTTGTGCATTTATTCATATTTATTAATTAATATATATTTTTATATAATCTTAACTAATATAACAATTATTTTTGATTAATAATTACAGCATTCGCCTATTTTATTGTTATTTTTTCTTTTCTCGTCTTAGTTAATTTGTGGGAATTACGATTTTTTTTTCATTTAATTAACTAAATTCAAATCAAAAAGTCATTTTGAATCGCCATACGGTTTGAGGGCAATCGTATTGTTTAATAGAATATTTAACTCTGATAGAGAGACTTGCGCAAGTTATATTATTTGATAAAATAATATTCTTGTTACACGTTCGTTGATTTATTCGATTAAGTCAACTAATTATTATAAGGCCAAATTGAAAAAATTTGTACTAAAAAATTTCAGAATATTTGCAAAGAAATTTGGAAATTTTTAGGGAAACAAAATTTACGAACAATTTTTGATAGTTTTCTTACAATGAATAAAAATATAAAAATTTTTCATCAACATCGTTTTTGGCGATTAATTGAGAATAAAATGAATTTGCTGCATAGATTTTGTTGATTTTGTTTGATAACACTTTAAAATTTTATGGATTCACTATCAATGATAAGTTTAAGGTTTAGTTAGATACGGAAAGTAAACAAAAAAGAACTGATTATTTTGTGATTGTGAAGAAAAATTGATATTTCAATTAAATGATTTGATTAAATACTATTCCCTATAAAAGATAAGCAGGATTGTTTTTCAGAAGCAAAAGTCGTGATGGTCGTAATAAATGGTTGATTGACGAGGATCCAATGACCGATCTTGAGGCAGCTTCAGTGTTAATCGAACGTGCGCGTAACTATATCGCTTCATCAATTCGGTAAAGTTTATTTTTGAATTTTGAATTCAGATTTAGTTTTAAGCAATATTTGATAATTTGATAATTGAAATATTTGATAAAATAAGCGATAAAATTTCCTTTCCAAATAAATTTCGAATTTCATGGTAAAGAAATATTTCATTCGTTTTAATTATCGTTTTTGAATGAATTCATTTTACAGGGATTTGGGTATCTTCGACGATAATAAATTATTAGAATTATTTAAAATTGAGAAAAAAGATAATAAAAAATCAGTTGGTTCGAAAAAAAATGCCTCTAAAAAAACTACCAAAAATAATGTTTGCGAATTTACATCGAGGGATTTCTTGGATGCTACATCGGTTAAATTTTTCAAATAGAAAAATACAAATATTTTTTATCAAATAAATAAATATATTTTTAGATATAACTAATAAAATTATAAATAAGTATTTCTTTTGTAAATATTTATATTTTCTAAGTTAAGTTTTTTATATTTTTAATGTTATATATCTATTTTTTTTATAATTTTAATGATTTTTAAATTTTTTAATATTTTTAATAAATTTATAGTAATTTCAGTGATAAAAATTATCTTTTTTATATTTGAAACAAGAAATAACCTACGAAAAATTTTTTATTTTCAGCTTGAATCAGCTTTATCGTTGCAAATGACCGAACCTCTCGAAATTCGTTCACCTTCCTTCTTAGATCATCGAATCATTACGAATGAAGAAAACGATATAATGGAACACATTACTTCACGAATGCTTCCTACATCGTTGTCTTTTGGAGAAAATAGCAAAAATATTTTACAAAATCGAAATTCTAAAGAACAAATTAGTATTCACGAGAATGAAAATTGTTTAAATAAAAGTGATAAAAGCCTTTGGTCAACCGTCGATTATGCCGAATCGTTGTTACCGTCAAATATTTCACTTTCAAAGAAAGGCAATTCAAATTTGAAGAAACTAAAAGCCATAAATTATGGTGATTTAAATAGTGAATTAGCAAAAATGGATCGAGAAATCACTAATCAAATCAGTGAAAAAAATAAAAGTGATGATCTTTTCGATCGTTCACAATCGATCACATATTCATCGACGACAATGAATGATGGACCATCTTTTCTAGCGATTCCATCCGATTTATCGTCTATACTTTATGCTTCATCAGAAATTATAAAAAAACGTCCACATTCAATTTCCGATAGTTTTTCATCGCTTTTACTAGATGGTTGTAGTCCATTATCGAAATTGCCGAAACATTCATCGCCATTAATTGACTTCGATCCAAAGAATAAATTGAGGAATTCGATGCGTCGATCGGTTCATTTTCCTTGTAAACCAATTATCGATGATGTTTGTCGGTTCGTTATGAATTTCATTTTATTATTGGTCTGCTATTATTGGTTATTCTTCCAAACTGATATAAGATTCACCTTTTTCATTGTTCATAATTTCTGGTTTTCTGATTAGCTGATAACATGGAAAGATCTTCTCCAAAGCGATAGAATTATGCGTATCTATTTACTATTATTTGAATTTTTTAAATGATTCCTTAGATTAATTCATCATGCTTGATCTTAAATAATTTGAAATAATTTATTTATCTACCATTTACATATACCATTTAAAAAATTCTAGCTAATTTCAGGTCTAAAGAAAGATGGCATAGCTTTATGGATGAAATAAAAAGTTGTGAAGCTATAGGAATAGCTATCGCTATGAATCGATCAAATGATTTAGTTGGTGTTGCGATTTGTGCGAAAAATAATTTTCCTTGTTATATACCTTTTGACGATGATCATATTTATGGTAAAAATTTTTAATTTTTAATTTTCTTTATTTTTAAAATTTTTTAATTTTCTTTTCTTTTTCAAAAGAAATAATTTTTCTTAATTTTAGGCGATAAAGATGATGAAGAAAATTATCGAAGTTATACTCCTTTAGATAGTATAAAAATTAGTGAACGAATCGAACTATTCCAATCATTGCTTATTTCGAGGAAAAAAAAATATTTTTTCGATGTTCTTGAAAATATTCGTCGAATTCGTTATGCAAAAATTTTTCAAAAATTTCCTATTAATTTAAAAAATTTAATATGTATTCAATATCTCGCTTATCTTGCTCATTATCGATCAGCGGATTCGGCTATTTCATTTCAGGTTTGTTCTCTTTATTGTTTTTTTTTTCGGACAGTCTTTTTTTTTAATAAAATTTACTAAAGAGCGCGGAAAGAATGTATTTATGTATTTTCGAGAAAGTAAATACTTATGTCATTATTGTTACGATTAATCCCGATTCATATGATTTTCTTTATGAATCTTATTTCAGAAGCTTATTTCTAATTTATCATCGACAATAAATATCAAATTTCGGCAGAAATCATCGCCGCGTATTCGTTCATCGCTTATTGCTTATGTAAATATTCATATTTTTAATGAGTTAAATACGAAAGCCATACAGTTATCTTCGCAGAAATCCGTGAATTTGGAACTAAAGGCTATAGCAATATTTGTGCATATGGAATCTATCGGAATTCACTTCAATCAGTCACTAGCTGAAACTTCAATAAGTCAGGTTAATTTGCTTTTTTGATAGGTATAAGGATTTAAGAAATTTATTTTGTTTAATTTATTTTAATATTTACCTGAAATCTATTGGCTGAGTCGTTTATTGCTATAAGTGAGATCAAGCAATATATTTTCTTCTCTTGAAATATTCGTTTATTGCTGTAAAATCTATTACGGAAAGTAAAATTAGAATACTTGGGCTATCTTGGGTTCTTCCGAAACGGTTCTTTAATGAAAGGATCTCAACTTAAAACTTCCTGCGAGGTTTATTAGGTCATTGCTCTCATTGCAGAACTACTGAAATACTGGATTTCTATTCTTGGCAGGAGAAAATCTTTGAAAAATCTAGGTAATTGATGATTTATATTTTATTTCTGACAACATTTGCCTAGTCCGATAAGCCAGTAAGACAATAAACTTTAGAAATTGTTGGCGATATTCGAAGGAAAAATATAAATCTAAAAATACAAATATAATATAAATATAAAATATAAATATAATTTAAATATAAAAATATAAAAAAATATTCTTATTGTAAAAAGTTCTAGAGGTAATGAAATGAACTTAAAAATAAAATATTTTCCATTTAATTTAGAATGAAATGAACAAATTCATCCTTTTTATAGCCTTATTTTGCAAATTTGTTTCAGATTAAAGAAGAAATGTCACGATTGGAAGAAGAAGGACATCGATTAGCAACAACACCATTCAATTTTGATTCACCTTCAGATATAGCTAACGTCAGCTTTTCGCTAAACTTGCAATGTTCCAAGTGAACCTACGGAATTTCAATTATTATCAAATTCTAAATTCTTATTGCATTTTTTTTAAAGAGTAATTAATCATTGTTGATTAGACTCGCTCCTCTGGCCTGTCGTACTAGACAACTATACCACGTCTCCATTTTTTTTTTTTCCATTAGACGAGACACTAGTGCATGTCGAAAAGCGATTCGAATCCAGGCCTCACTTCTCGATGGCAATTATCTTGTCACTGAGTAATAGTAGCGACTATTTATTTTATATTATTTTTTAGATACTTTTCGTTCGACTTGGTATTCCACCTGTTAAAGGTGCCATTGGTTCAACAAAGCGTCACTATTCTACGAATAAATTTGTATTAAGTCGACTTTCCGAAAAATATCCAATCGCAAACGTGATTCTCGAATGGCGAAAATTGAAAATAGCTTTAACAGTTATTTTTTTTGGTTTATTAATTAAATAATTCAATTAATTTTTGAATGCATTAAGTAATTCAAAAAGTGTACCTTCTCGATTATTTGTATTTTCATGCTAAATATTAATTAAATTAATGTATTTAATTTAATTTTTTAATGCGCATTACTATTCCATCTAACTATTTTGTTTATTGAAATATTTTTTCAAATGACGTTTTAGATTTGATAAATTGATAATTGGTGAGTGATAACTTTGATAATTTGCAGAAATTTATTTTTGGTGAAAATTTAGAATAATAATTTATAAATTAATAAATTTAGAAATCGCTATTAAATTTGGTGAAAGCTTGTTATGAAAATGATAGAATACATACCTTATTTGAAATTTGTATACCGAATGGGAGAGTACAATCAACATCTCCAAATATTCAAAATATTCAGAAGGAAGAGATCTTGAGCAATTTTTGTCTTCGATCCTTATTCGATGCTCCTATCGGTATGTCTGAATTTTTCTCTCCCATTTTTTTTAAAATTATTGTTTTACGCGATAAATATCAAGTCAACTTGTGAGATCTTTGGATGGTACCACAATCTACTAGCTTTATATAGCATAGATTTGAGTTAATCTTCACCGGAGCGGGTTTTTTTAAAAGAATACTCGCTTTGTTGGTTAGACTCGCTCTGTTGATTTATCGGACTAAGTAAAAGTGTTAGGGAGTCCCTTGGCGATAGAAATACAGGTGAGTCGATATGTCTGAATTTTCCCCTATATTGCCCGTTTATAATTCCATTTTGTATATAATATAATATTGTAATTCTAATTTAAGCTTTAATTTTTAATTTCTTGTCTCCTATCATCGTTTGTTTATTTGATTGATTGATTAATTCATTCAATTAATTTATTCATTCGACAATCGCGTTGGTTTATTTTTTAGTTTATAAAAAATTTTTTAAAAGATTTATTTTTAAATAAATTTGACACCAATCAAAAACTTTAGTTTTTTTTCTGCTTATAATTGTAAAAATTTGTTCTTCAAAAAAAAACACTATAAACACTATAAACTATAAAACTAGTTTAAAGAGAAAATGTGATTTTTTTTGAAATATAAAAAAATTTTGCAATTTTAGGTTGGTTTTTAATATCAGCGGATTATTGTCAGTTGGAATTACGCGTATTAGCTCATTTATCCAACGATGATAATCTTAAGAGAATTATTCTCTCAGATGGCGATTTATTTCAAATAATAGCCGATCAGTGGAATAACGATCCGCAGATTCCTATAAAAGTTAATCGCAATCACGTTAAGAAGGTACTTAAAAATTTAAACGTTCGTTTTTATTTTCTATACTGAAAAAGAATATTTTTGGAATATTTCCAAGTATTTTATTAATATATTAAATTTATTAATTTATTTGTTAATTTAATAATTTATTAATATGTTAAATTTATTATGAATTTATTTAAATTATTTTAAATAATTATAAAATAAATTTATTAATAGAATTTTTTAATAGTTTTCAGTTGTCATATGGTATAATTTATGGTATGGGAGCAGCTAATCTTGGTGAACAAATTGATACGGATAAAAAGCATGCTCAGACAATGATAGAGAAGTTTTATAAAGATTTTCCAAGTATTTTTTTTATTTTGAACTGTTAAAATAATCATAATAGCTTCATAATAATTATTTATATTAGTTATTAGATTTGCAAATTTTCTTTAGTCGAAAAACTTTTGTGAAATTCTTGATAGTTTTTTTCTCAGTAAATTACTTAAATTCTTTATATAATACCAAAATAAATTTAAGCTAAAGTTTTTTTTGCCATTTTTTATATTCATGAAATTGTTCTAAAAAGATATGAAATATTTTAGGAATACGGAGTTGGATGGATGCAACGGTCGAAAAATGCCATTCTCAAGGTTTTGTGACTACAATGCTAGGCCGAAGGCGATATTTTCAAGGAATTAATAGTGGAGATCAATCAGAAAGGTCCAAAATCGAGCGTCAAATTATCAACTCTTCGATACAAGTATGAAAAATCATGATTTGAGTGATTATTTTATCAAGACTTACCGATTGAAAATTTTATTAAGATTTTTAATTCATTGATATTTTTCATGATAAGAGAAAGGATTCCATGGTTACATTTTGTGTGGATCATAAATTTGCCTCCATTATTTGATAAACTATTCGGCATGCGATGTAATTTTTTCACTGAGATTAATGTGGTCATGATTTCTAACTCATACTTATGCCGAATTTGTGATCTCCAGCTTAATGCTTTTTAAATAATTTTATACAGATAGAATATATATAGAGGAATATTGATTCTCGATTACTCCACGAATTTCATAAATTTTTAGGGATCAGCATCTGAAATTTTTAAAATGGCTCTTGTGAATCTCGAAAGCAATCTACGAGGTAAATTTTTTGCATAATTCTTTAATGCACTGAGGATGATGTACAATTCAAAAATATGCTTTTAAGTTAGGCATAAAATTATAATTTTTAATTTTAATATTTTAATTTACTTTAATTTTTTTTTTATATGAACTGCTAAGAAGGATAAGGAAAAATTAGAAGCTTCTAAGAAGCATGAAAATTTATGGAGTAAATAAATAAATAAAAGTAAATTTTGAGGATTCGATGCGAGAATAGTGATGCAGATTTACGATGAGATACTAGTTGAAGTTAATGAAGATTCACTCGAAAGCGTTACGAAGATAATTTATTCAACAATGACCAATGTTTATCCAGAATTCATTGTACCACTTAATGTAAAGTTGTGTACCGGAAGAAATTGGGCTAATTTGAATCCTCTTCAGACTTTCCTTTAAAATAGATATTTTAAAAAATTTTCCTTGTATTACAATATTATGAAGTATTTTTGCGATTAGTAGTTTTAGCGGTTTTCTTTTTTTTTATTATTTTAAGCGAGATTTTTCAATTATTTGGTATAACGAAATGGTCAAATAAAATTTTATGATGGACTTATTGTTTTCATTGTTTCATGTGGACATTGTTAATGTTTGATTATAATTGGTGATAATCAATGATAAGCTGCAATTTTCCTTTCAAATTTCATTTATTTGATAATTATAGAAAAATTATAGGAAATTTTATATGATTCACTTATTCCTATGAATAAAATTACAGGCAAATTCATTAAGCTTTTCATAAATTTACGTATCCATTGATTTGTGAATTCATGCCTTCACGTTCATATTTTTCATGAATTTCATGTTTCATAAATTTTAAATAAATTTATAATAAATAAATTTTTTGTGATTTTTCATTTGTGATTCGAACTTTTAGTAAATTTATAGTATTTTTATTCAATGTTTCGCTATTATTGTTTTTAATCGTTGAGAATTAAATGTATTATTAATTAATTAACTAATTTATTTTTATTCTTATTATATAATTGTAATTTTTTTTGAAAATTTTTTACTAATCTTTATTATTGTAAAAATTTTCATTTTTTTAAATTAGCGAAAAGCAAAATTAGCGAAATTTTTCAAATTAGCGAAAATTAAATTAGCGAAAAGCAAAATGTTTTAGTTTGATTTTTATCCTCTTCGAGAAAATATCGTTGGCTTTTTGCAAATTCTCAGACAAGCGAGGGAATTAATTGTATTAGCTTGCATTAGAAGTAAATATTTTGTATTTACTTATATTTTATTACTCGAATTAATTGTTGTATTTTTTAAAATTCTAAAAAAATCATTTGCATAAGTCTCATAATATTTCAATGTTCACGCCAGAAGAGGCAATAATTTCAATAGTTTTATTTAGTTAATAATTTAATAATTTAGTTTTGATGCATGGAACTAGTAAAAAAAAAGAAAATTTTATTATATTCAAGCATTTTACACATTTTACATTTAAAAAGAAATTGTTTTTAGATAATTTGCGAAAAGAAAAAATATTTTTTTCAAAATTCTAAATTAAAATGCGAAATTTATTACAATAATAGCGTAAATTTTCTATTTTCTAAACATCGAAATTATTATTGTAAAAAGTGTTCATAAATTTTTGTATATTTGCAATATGTTTGTTAATATAAAAATTAGATTTAATTATATCAAATGTTTTCGAATCAAACTACTCGATTTTAATTGTTTCCTGGAATCATCGCTGATTCGGTGATAAGTAATATCGATAAGGTGATAAGAATTTTATGCGAATTAGAAGATATTGGACCATTACTTTGGAATAATAAAATTCTAAAAAAATATTTTTTAAAAAATTTTTCTTAATTTAATATAAATACTATTTTTAAAACGATTAAATGATAATATTTTAGTTGATTGGCGCTTAAAAAAAAACCCACCTGAAACTTTTTCCGAATTTGCAATTTTTTCACTTGGATGGACCGCACCATGTCGAAAAGCCATTTAGCGATGGCGAAAACATGCAATCGTAATATTGCGGTTTTGGCATTGCAGAAACGATTGTCGTTATAATGAACACAATCAAAGCAATTAGCAAGAAAAGATTCTTAGAATCCATTTTTTTATAGCAATTTCTCTCAAAAAAAGATTTTTTTTTGGACTATTTTTTAAAAATACGAAAAGAAAAAAAGAAATTAAATAAGCGAAATAGACTAAAAAATGGATAGTCGTTTCGTACAATTTATTTTTAGCACAAATGAAATCCACCAAATTATAGTATAAAAATTTTACCAGAAAATTATTTAATTACTTGTCGATAGAAGTATAAATATGGGTCACTAATGCAAACCGAAATCCTATCACCACCTATTACTCTACTAAAATTCTTACGAAGATTTAAAATAAGAGACTTTATTTTACTCGAAGAAAACTAGAATAAGCGATAAAAATATTCGCAAAAGTCTAAATATTTTAGCAAGTGTAGAGGAAAGAGAGAGAGAACTTTAGGCCACTAATAGGCTCGTACATACGAATCGATCCACGTTCTTCCTAAAGATTCCTAAAGACGAATGGATGAATGGTGATTATAGGTATTTTTTTTTTTTTACGTTTATTTATATATAAAATTGCACGGATGCTGTGGGTGGCTTAAACTTGTTTTTTCATTATTATTAACTGATTGATTTATAAGCGAATAAAATTAATTGATTAGTCAATTTTATTTGACAAATTATATTAATTCAATCTTTATTCTATTTTAAATGGAATCGAACAAAATAAATAAAATCATTCATTGTTGAAAATTCAAAAAGAAAATTTGTAATATAATGTAAAATATCGCTGAAACTGTGGTTCTATTCTTGGTGAGAATAATAACTGTCTCTCAAGAATCTCATTGGTACTTGCAAATATTTGCAAATTGGTACTTGCGATGCTTTTGTGCTTCGATCGCTTCTTGGTTCTCTTGCCAAATATGTCTAGTTGAGTGAGCCTAGCCAGACTAATTTTTTCCTATTTTAATTCATTTTTGAAATATTAACTACAAATAGTGAAGGTTCTTCAAAAAAAGAACAAGGAAAAAAACCATTAAACATTGGTCTTATAAAAATAGGTTTTTTTAATTTAGAATAGGACTTATACTAAAAAGCCAAACTGATTACGGTATTATGAGAATGCAAAAAGGAAACGATTTGTTGCTTCCCAGATTATACCGTTAAATTCTATCTTCGTCAGGAGCAAAAACTTGTCAAAACTTCTCGAACTAAGAGCCCATAATATAAACCTAATAAAATGATGAATGGCTTATCGCTCATTCTGCAGTAATAAAAAAAAAATTAAGAATAAGAATGGCGGTGCTCTTAAGATATGAACCTGCAGCTTATGGTGAATATGATGATATTGCTCATTTTAAGTGTTGACCTTGCAGATTGCTTAACTGTGGAGGTTATTTAAAAATAGGACAGCAAGTTTAGAGTTTTAGATTTAAATACAGGCGAGTGTCAAAGCAGTATGAAATGAAGTGGTACGAGTGGTGAGAGGTGGTTGAATTAGACTTAAAGTAAAAAGTAAAGTGTTCTATTTTCTTCTCAGTTTGCGATGATGACCGAATATATATGGTATATTCAACGAATGGAGACTTGTTGGATCGTATTATCGTCAAAAAAAATAGAACCAAATAAGGAAATTACGATAGTATTCATTCGGTTTGCTTCCGCAAAATTGTTGAGATCTAGATGTCAACCATTTGTAAACCTTATATATTATATCATCTAAATACTCAATGAGTGAATATTCTTCTTTCTTTCAACACCTTGCACCATTACTGGCTGTCTGGTTCATAGCTACAAGAATGAAGTACCTGCAAGCCTTCCGAATGTAAAAATGGTACTTGAAAGCAATAGAAATCGGAGTATCTTTCCTAAGTCTCTGCCTATGCGTTCAAAGCTCCATAAGAATCTTGATTGGCTCTACTCACTTTTAATGTCATCTGACGCAAAACTTATGAAGCGAGGTTCTGCCAATTCCTATACTGAGCAGCTAGAATTTAACTAAGCGACGCACGCCGCTCTATTGGAAGTACGATGTGGAAAGTAAAAAATTTTCGAGTGAAGGGGTACTGGAGTAGAATGGCTTAGTGGTTTATCACTTCGTAGAGCCGATCCTCTCAGGGATTTTATTTTACTTTCAGCAGGAATAAGGCTATCACTTAGAGCGAGGCTAATCAGAAATGGTAAAGAAAGAAAAATAATGATAATATCCGAAAAATGAATTAGATTGCGATAAAATATATATTTTATTATTTTTAATTTATGACAGATTTATAAAAAAATTTCCTTATTTTAATTAGTATTAGTGTTTTTTTTCCGAGCAATTATTGCTAATAAAGTAACTGTTTAATTTTATTAATTTTAATTAATTTTAATTTTAATTGTTTTTTTTGTCAATTAAATTTTTTTCCTCGTGATTTTTGAATAAAACACCGCTACGATCTACGATATTTTGGTATTCTTCGGTATAACAAATATTTAAACTATGCGGCAAACTGGAAGTAAACGAGATTTTTTTGTTGTCGAAATTATGATATCATGAAAGTTTTATTTTAAATGTTGGTGATAAAAATTGCGAAAAAAAAACAATTACAAAAATCACTACTTTATTGCATCAGCTATGAGTTTTTCTAAAAAAAAAACTCGATACGACGCTTGTTAGAAAGTACTAAAATTGCAAAACAATAAGTGTGAATGCAAATTCTATCGAGAAAAGTGGAAAAAAATGGCTTCTATCATTTCGATAGTTGTGGTTTAATTGTGGCTTCCGATCAAATCAAAAAATTTATAAAGATTTCTATGGTAATCAGTGGAAATCAGCCTAATCATTAATAGAAAATAATGCGAATGAAAGAAGGGAATAACGTAAAATTTAATTGAGAATTCATACTACAACAAGATAAGATAAGCAAGATAAGTAAGAATTTTCTAATACTAATATTATCAAATGAATTTTAAGTGATATAGTAATAAAATGATAATGTGATAAGTGATATAGTGGAATGAAGCGAGTTTTTTTGCAAAAATTAATTAATTAAAATTAATTTAAAAAATATTAAAAATATAAAAAGATAAACATTAAAATTAAGGCAATCAAAAATTAAAATCAAAAATTAAAATATTAAAAAAATAATTAAAATATTCAAAATATATTGAAGAAAATAATTAAAGAATTTATATTGTAAGTGAAAACCGAAATTTGCGATCAAAATGCGGTCAAAAAAGTACGAAAAATATTGTCGGATTTTTTAAAAAATATTTTTTAATCTTGTAAATTTTTCACATTTTTGCAATTGAAATAAAGTACAACTTTTACTTTAGGAGCGTGTAATGACGTGACGTGTAATATTTTAATATTTACGCATTTATTTCGAATCTAAATTAATTCAATAATAA